ATGGTCAGCTTGTCCACATCTCTACGACTTTGGTACCTGTCACTTATATTTTCACGTAGTTCATTATAGGTCAATACCATTTCCTCGAGTTTAACCGCCACTTGTAAATCATGAGTTGCACAACACAACCAACACCAGTCCCTTTTAATAGCCGTCACAGCAACTATCCACCCATCAATGTTAACGACTGGACTTTGATCATCATCATACCATAATCTACATCTGGACTGTCTCGTCTCACTGTCAGCAAACACCATTTTATATCCACTATTCGCCAATCTTTTCGCTAAATTTTGCTAAGTTGCAAAAGTAATTATTTGCAACAAAATGTTATTTGTTCATACTGTTGAAAGATTGGCCAAATCAGTTGTCAATCAAAATAAACAATACACGTTTTAAAAAATATTACAATTAAAAATAAATTAATGGTTGAACACAATGTAAAACATATTTGGCGACATTATGTAAATAAACAGATGTTAGAAAATCGTGCTCCTCTCTCACATCATGTACAGCCCACGCAGGCTTAAGGTAATGCGTTAGAGCAACAATAAATAAATAACTAACTAACAATAAAACAATAACTAACAATAATCATTAATAACTAACTATAGCCAACAGAATCCAATAACAATAGAAGAAAGATTGTGGAGGAGTTTGTTTACCATGGCAACAAGATCAGCCAATCAGGTGTCACAGATGAGAGGTAGGACGTGCATGAATTAAGATACCAGTTACTTCTTCACTGTTCTGTGGCTTGTATGGAAAACTACTGCCAACTCTACAACATTAAAGATTAGGCTACTGTAATTACACGTGAAGGCGATCTTAAAGTTTGGAGCATAAAACTGTAGTCTCCAAGAGGAGCACAAATAGGACACGGATCTTTACAAACAGCAGTCTTTGAAGATACTGGGATTAAGAAGGCAGGACACAGAGTTCTTTACACAAACATTAGGAGAAGTAAAAAAATGTGTCTTGGGCAGCGAAGACGAGACAATGAAAGTGGCGCTGGATTGGGCGAAGACACCAACATAACATTTATAAAGTCTGGGGCTTGAGTGGAACCCCCACGGGTGGCGTAGGGAAAGGTGCTCTAGACAGGCCTGGAGAAAGAATTTTCTGGAATAATTTAAAACCGTAGGGATGTCTAGTGAGACGACACCACGGCCAAGGATCGTGTAACTGGGAAGAGAATGGATCAGGACCTACACCACACAAAGAGTAAAGAGAAAAATGTCAAGACATGCTAGCTCTAACTATACACCAAAGCGTTCAATTATATGATAGTTTTAGTCTAAATATAAATAACAGCGTGATTGTGCATTAAACTTATTTCTATAAAAAGTATATAAACATTAATGCAAGTTGTAATTGTACTTGACCGCTTTATATTTTGACCACATATGGTCAGCAAGGGACGTGTTGACATTTGGGTAAGTAAAGTATCGTCACATTGTTTCACCTTCATTTTTGAAGTATCGATATCAAATTCTAAATATAATCGAGTCTGGAAATTAGAGATGTGTCCATTGTGACGATTAAAAGCGAAACGTTGAGTGGGTTTTTCTTTAAAGGCCAAACACTCAAACACGAAAAAAAAAAAACCCGCCCCTTGTGTTTTTTTTTTTACAAACGTAATAATAATTTTATCGCGTGCCATTTTTATATTTTTTTTTCAAAAGTTTAATATGATTACATAGATTTCGCAAGCAGGCAGAGTTATGCAGTAACGAGATGTAACTCCCATATTTCACCAACTTCATTAATAGATCAATACGATTTTCTATGAAAGCTATAGAAACACCATTTTTAAATTCCATGGCTTCAGCTTTGTTTTTGCCGATAAGAAATTCTTCACCCTCCACAACAGCATCCAAGAAACCAAAATGTTGTGCGATTTCTAAAGCCTGAATCCCGTTTTGACAAGACAGGAAAGCGCCACGTTGATGCAGTTCTAGTACATCAGTTGTGTGCCCCTTGTCGACAGCAAGCGACAAAGCTGTATATCGGCCATTAATGATCTGCTGACATTCACATCAGCGCCAGCTTTAACCAGAGCTCTAAAAACTTGGAGATTTGCTCGTTCTATAGCCAAAATTAGGGCTGTGTCTCCACTGTTGGTCATTCTATTAATGAGGTATTTATTCTATAGCCAACATTAGGGCTGTGTCTCCACTGTTGGTCATTCTATTAATGAGGTATTTATTCATCTCTGCACCAGTCTGAGCAGCTTTGTAAATCTCATTCACCGCCCTTTGACCTCCGTCGTTAAAACACATTTTGGTGCAGTAAGATCAAAATAAAACTCTAAATTTATTCCACGATTTTCATATAGATCTAGTACTCACTCTTAAAGTTCCTCAAAACAAACTTTAAAACTACCGAGTTCTCGATAGTAAAAATCCAATGCAACATCTTGTTAAACAAAAGTATAATGCATGTCTTATATTTATTTGTATTTCAACGATAAGTTCATACTTTTTCCTCTCATTACATTTATAACTTATAAAGCTATAATTTTTTAAAAAATGCTAGGGTAAGTTGATATTAAGACAAATCTTTCCTCCATGAAAACATCAGGTTTATTAAAGGAGTCGCTTATAACAAGAAGTTTTTGCGGTATAAGTTGACAAAGCATTTGATGGCGCGATTATAGATCTTTAGATCCAAATTGTTTGACTAAGTCTCATTGACAATTTTTGTTCTTGTGTATAGGCCTACTGGATTAAAAAAAATAACACGAGTCTCTAAAAAGGGAAATTTATTGTATTCCCACCTACATTGCAAAATAAAAAAAATAAAAAAATCCTTGACAATGGAAAATCAAAATGACAAATTTTCGAATCAACTGAACATATTTCTTTAAAAAATTTGCAGGGGGGGGGGGGGCGGAAAAGGAAGTTAGTTTTTTTTATTGAAAGATAATAGGAAACTTAAACTACATTTAAATAAAACAAATATTACAAACCTTTATAATAATAAGCTTTTAACTAATGCACTGAAAAAAAAATGTCTTTTTAGTAAATGCTTTTAATTAAAGAAAAATAAAGTTATATTTTCTTATTTTCAATGCATTTGAAAGCTTGTTATTATAAAAGAATACATTTTAATATCAACGTGACCTCAAGAACACATTCTTGAATATCTTTTCAGATTAACGCAAACAATCGAGATTTTTAAAAATCATTTCTGTCATCCCGGGTTTGAGTTTGTTCCGGCGATTTGTAAAGCAAAAGAAATAAAAGCTGTGAATAAAATCGTATTAAATACATTACAAATTAATAAAACAGAAAAAAAACATTACTGTGCAGACAAAATACGTTAGTCGAAGAGTTTTATTTTCATTGTTAATAAGATAATTAACTTTCCACGTTAAGCAATACTTACGCCAGTTTGCATATATTCAAAGTAATAACCCCTCCCCCCTAGAATTATTGGTTTTTTCAAATCACTATTACACGCATGAGGTTACGTATCTGTCTGGATTTTGTTCAGCCTTCAGTCAATAGCTGTGGTAGGGGTTTTGCCTACTATTGCCATTCGTGGTATGGTGTTTGTCTACTATTGCCGTCCGTGGTATGGTGTTTGCCTACTATTGCCGTCCGTGGTATGGTGGTTACCTACTATTGCCATTCGTGGTATGGTGTTTGCCTACTATTGCCGTCCGTGGTATGGTGTTTGCCTACTATTGCCGTCCGTGGTATGGTGGTTACCTACTAGTGCAAAAATCAAACAGTCACATTTTTTATAACCATATTTATTTTAATAACATCGTACAGGATTTAAAAAATATTTAATGGGTCCATGAGAAGCTTAAAATATTTTCCGCAAAAACTGAATTATGATGTCATCAAATTAAGCGTAAACATAAGTGAATAGCGAAAAAAAGCGCCGGATAAATGGACTGATGAACAAGAAAAGTATTGAGATAACTAAATACGCAGATAAAGCTAGGTGTATTTGTGTCCTGGCTAATGATTATTCAGAGCGCATTTTTCATTTAACAGCAGTGCGCAAACTATTCGTAAAGAAAAATTCACTGATGATGTCATCAAAATAAGGGTAAAAACAAGAATAGCCATGACAGTACGCATTAATTTTATGTTGTAAACAAACTTCCGTCAGATAGTTATTGTTTTGAATAAAGGTGTACTCAGTATGGCCAATCTGTGTATAGTGTTTTGGTCCGTTGAATACAACTGAGTGAGTATTTCATTCACGTAACAATCTGATGGCATCAGACGTATTTCAACATCAATTTGAATTTTAAATATTTTTTTTTACATTTGAGTTGAGATTACACACACATAGAGTCTAGAATAGTGCTTAAAATCTATTCTAGATCTCAATCTCGAGGTTCTACTATTGCTAGAGTCTAGCTTATAGAATCTAGATGTAAATGTGTGAAACACTCTAGGGTTTCTGCTAGAATAAAATTAAATGCGTGCAGTACTATACAGCCTACATATTTTATGGCGCTGATTGGCAAAACTATAAGTTTACATATTAGTACTTAATATGCGAAACTACATTTTCTTCGGGTTGTTGAATGTAGTGTATACTTGTAAGTGTGTAGAGGCCAGTACATTTATACGGAGGTGTGATTTAAATTAACACAAGTCCTGTAGGACAAAATTATCGTCGTAGACTACCAGAATCGAGAAGATATTACTTTGAATAACAAGGCAGACTTTACAACTTTGACACATCTATTTCACAGGGTGCCTCCTCTAGAGAACCAGCGGAAGGAAAATCAAAACCAGATTTCAGTCGTAAAGATCGTCAGTCAACTTTAAAAAAAATGTCAGTAGGAAAACGAAAACGAGAATGTGAACGATTGTTGCAAAAAGGCGATGTTAATGCGTGTTCAGAAGGAGACTTTCCACGTTTGTCAAAGGCTGTAGAACTTGACGATGTGGAACTTGTCAAAAACATCCTACATCGTGGAGCTGACGTTGTCAAAACTGACAAGAATGGGAGGACGTGTCTTCATGTTGCCGTCTCCAAGATGAAAGAGTTTAATAGCTTTAATGTTCCAGATAAAATTTTACAACCTCGACTAACACAGAATAGAATTAACAAATCGTTAGAAATATTAAAGATACTACTGGCTCACGAATTTGATGTGAACATACGTGACAACTACAGGAAAACAGCTTTACATTACAGTGTGGAATATGAACAGTTAGAATTTACACACATGCTGCTTGAGGCAGGGGCTGATGTAAATTTACTTGATGACAACCATGACACGCCTTTAGTTATTGCTTGCCGCTTGTATCTTAACCTGCAGAAAATAAACGAACTGGGTGATTTTGGCGGAAGTTCATTGGATATTTCCCACTATAAAGGTCTAATGACATCGACAAAGAAAATGCGTTCAAGGCTCAATTACTTGGCCAAAATGGTAGAATCTCTTATCACTCCAGATGCGCGTGTAAACATTGCTGACAAAGATGGCTACACGGCCTTACATCTGGCTGCTGAGACGGACAACGTTCAAATAGTTCAACGTTTACTTGGTGCAGGTGGCGATGTCAGGGTAGCGGCCAACACTGGGGAAACTGTGCTACACTGTGCAGCAAGAAGTAGTTGCAGTGAGATTATGGATATACTTTTAAGTGAACCACAATCAGCAGATGCCATTAACGCCAGAATGACAGAGCTATTTGAAAGATCTAACAAACGTCTGAAGAGATTTCACGGTCACGAGCAGGTGTACAACAGTCGAGTACACCAAGTTGATTATTTAGATCACAATAACAAACGTTCACAAGTTTGTCTAAATACTTTGTCTGGTAAAACCGCTTTAATTGTTGCGTTAGAGAACAGCAACGAGCAGACAGCTTTGAAATTGTTGTCTCGTCACCCTGACCTCAAAGTCCACACAGATGAAGGCTACACAGCGTTGCACTTCGCTGCATTTGAATCATGCACAGACGTAGTGCGGCATATGCTACAAGCAGGATGTAATGTAAACGTACAGACGGAAGAGGGACACACGCCTTTAATGTTAGCTGGAAATAAGGAGATTGCTCTCCTGTTGTGTGACGCAGGTGCTGACGTGAATTTGGTGGATAAAAACGGCGACAAAGCTCTACACCTGGCGATATACAGAAGCGAAGCAGACGTTGCTCAAGTTTTGATAAATAAAGGCACTGTCATTGATGGAAACTTTCCTGAACCTCTGCCACCTCTGGTATTGGCTGCAGCTCTGAATGCGATCACCATTGTCAAAATGTTACTTAAAGCTGGAGCTAACGTTAACGTCTTGTCTTCTTCTGGGATATCTCCATTGATGGCAGCAGCTGCTTGTGATTCTAGTGGGTACAATAACGCCGAAATATTTCAAATCCTCAATGAACACGGAGCTGACTTTAACATGACAGGCAAGAAAGGCAGAACAGCTCTCATGTATTTAGTAAAGCGCGGCAATCCGCAACTTCATTTAGGTACATTTTTGTTCTATGGAGCTGACCTGAACATTGAAGACGATGACAATAGATCAGCACTAACTTACCACTTATTAGAAGATGAGAGTAAATTCCAGATTAGTTTAATAAAACTCCTATTAAAATCTGGACAGAATCCACTAGTTGATGTCAAGTATCGCTATCTGCTACAAAAGCATAAATTACTGTTACACGAAGCACAGTTTTTTTATTTTGTTTTTTTTTTGTCTTATCCTATGGGGTCTAGTTTTATATTTCCTGAAGATTCGTGTTATCTTCTGCAATTGCATGTTTGCAATGGGGTAGTATTAAAGCATTCATATAATCTACAACCTACCAGTGAAATAAATACATTCACAGCTTTGATGCTATCTATACACTTTGGCAACTTGGAGTTGATAAAATATCTTTTAGCTACTTGCTACATGACTGTACAAGATCTCAGACAACTACGTCAGGTTGACCAATCAACAACTGGGGCATATAACACACGTCTTGAGCCTGAGCTACTAAATGTCATAACCGCAGCTGTTTCCGAACCCTGGCCCCTAGTCAAACTTGCTTTTATAACGGTGTCGACAATGTTGGGAGAAAGCCCAGAACGAGAAGAGCGTCTCTCACAGACCAACTTACCCCCACAAATGAAACAACTTTTGATGTTCCAATCTCCAGTTTCATTTCTTCCTGTCGACGATTGGTGCAAGATTTCCTTGTGTTATGATCCTGTTGATTATGAAACATTGCCGCGACCTCGACCTTTGATGTATCACTGGCCTATGGGCATTAATCTTGTTAGCTAAAATGGTTCTATTTTCAACGCTTTAATAATTATACCATATTATATTACATCATCTGCCATCTTCAACCAAGCTATGCATCTATACAGCATCTCACATAATACTGCAGCAAAAATAAGACAAGTGGATCTAGTCATTGAGATTTAGTTGGTTTTGTTTTTGTCTAGGGAGGATGTAAATAATATATAAATACATCGAGGGAGGGAGGGGGGAAAGACTAGGGCTGGGTCACCATAATAGTTATAGAAATATAAATTACAAAAGTTAAGAACAAAACAACTTATATAAAATGCAACATTCTACAAATAAGCAAAATATATAACTTTTTATAAGCCTTCATGTTTTTTTTAATTATTCATTTGTAAATTTATCTATGCTAGTCACTAGATCCACTTATGCAATACAAAACTGCAACACAAAAACACTGACTTCAAATACACAACATCTTTGTACTTTTAACCATACATTTTATTTACAATCACCAGACATAATTATGTTTGACATCTAAGTTGTTGAAGGCAGAAAGTTGAGCTAGAATGTTTATATAAGCTTTTATTAATTAAAATGATAACAAATCTAAAACGGTGTCATTGGTATACTATAACATGGTTACATATAAAATGATTATGACTCTAGATGTAATTGTGTTCAATGTTTAGCCTGTTGCTGTGTTACTGTTGTCTTGTTATAAACTTATTAATGTTTGTCTAATGTGAAGTTATTAGGAATCTATTGTGATTTTGCAATATGATAATATACAAAGGTTAACACTTAATTTTATATCACCAGTTTTTAATAGACAGATGCCCAATTTCAACCTCCCCACTAAACAAAGCATAACTCCACATTTCAACTCCCCCCCCCCCCACACAAACATAACTGCAAATTTTAGTCTCCACACACAACTGCACATTCTAGTCTCCACACACACAACTGCACATTTCATTCTACACCCACATATACATCTGCACATTTTAGTCTACACACACAAATCCACATTTTAGTCCCCCACAATCAACTGTAATTCAATTCATTAAAACTTACTCCACTGTGTGGATGAAGAGACCACCTACACCCCAGTCTGTATACCTGAGCCCCGCTGCTACCTGGACAGGTACACGTTGTGTACGAGTACCTGTACACATTGCCCACCTCCTGCCTGCATACCTAGTGACCTACAGAGACACTATAATGGTCAGCTTGTCCACATCTCTACGACTTTGGTACCTGTCACTTACATTTTCACGTAGTTCATTATAGGTCAATACCATTTCCTCGAGTTTAACCGCCACTTGTAAATCATGAGTTGCACAACACAACCAACACCAGTCCCCTTTAATAGCCGTCACAGCAACTATCCACCCATCAATGTTAACGACTGGACTTTGATCATCATCATACCATAATCTACATCTGGACTGTCTCGCCTCACTGTCATCAAACACCATTTTATATCCGCTTTTCGCTTATCTTTTCGCTGATCTATCACATATTAATCGGTATATAAGAACATTGAATTCCTTAAATAAAGTTGCAAAAGTAATTATTTGCAACAAAATGTTATTTGTTCATACTGTTGAAAGATTGGCCAAATCAGTTGACAATCAAAATAAACAATACACGTTTAAAAAAATTAAAATTAAAAATAAATTAATGGTTGAACACTATGTAAAACATATTTGGCAACATTATGTAAATAAACACATGTTAGAAAATCGTTCTCCCCTCTCACATCATGTACAGCACACGCAGGCTGAAGGTAATGCGTTAGAGCAACAATAAATAAATAAATAATTAAAGTAAGAGCGGCAAAAAAAAAAAAAAACATTAACCAGGAATGTCCAATAATAACTAACAATAATCAATAATAACCATCTATAGCCAACATGAGCAATAACAATAGAAGGAAGATTGTGGAGGAGTTTGTTTACCATGGCAACAAGATCAGCCAATCTGGTGTCACAGATGAGAGGTAGGACGTGCATGAATTAAGATACCAGTTACTTCTTCACTGTTCTGTGGCTTGTATGGAAAACTACTGTCAACTCTACAACATTAAAGATTAGGCTACTGTAATTACACGTGAAGGCGATCTTAATGTTTGGAGCATAAAACTGTAGTCTCCAAGATGAGCACAAATAGGACACGGATCTTTGCAAACAGCAGTCTTTGAAGATACTGGGATTAAGAAGGTAGGACACAGAGTTCTTTACACAAACATGAGAAGTAAAAAAATGTGTCTTGGGCAGCGAAGACAAGACAGTGAAAGTGGCGCTGGATTGGACGAAGACACCATCATAACATTTATAAAGTCTGGGGCTTTGAGTGGAACCCCCACGGGTGGCGTAGGGAAAGACACTCAAGACTTGCCTGGAGAAAGAATTTTCTGGAATAATTTAAAACCGTAGGGTTGTCTAGTGAGACGACACCACAGCCAAGGATCGGGTATCTGGGAAGAGAATGGATCAGGACCTACACCACACAAAGAGTAAAGAGAAAAATGTCAAGACATGCTAGCTCTATACACCGATAGTCTAAATATAAATAACAGCGTGATTGTGCATTAAACTTATTTCTATAAAAAGTATATAAACATTAATGCAAGTTGTAATTGTACTTGACCGCTTTATATTTTGATCACAGTCAGAAAGGGTCGTGTTGGCATTTTCCAGTGTCCAGCTTTGGGTAAGTGAAGTAATGTCACATTATTTCACCTTTGGAGTATCGATATCAAAGTCCAAACTGGAATTTGGTGATGAGCCCATTGTAACGATTAAAAGCGAGACGTTGAGTGGGTTTGTCTTCAAAGTCCAAACACTTAAACACTCAAACACTAAAACACTCAAACACTCAAACACTAAAACACTAAAACACTAAAACACTCAAACACTCAAACACTCAAACACTCAAACACTCAAACACTCAAACACGGAAAAAACAACTCGCCCTTTGTGATTTTTTTTTACAAATGTATTTTACATTTTGTTTCTTGCCATTTAAAAAAAAAGATTTCTTCAAAAGTTTAATATGATTGAATCGATTTTTCAAGCAGGCAGACAAAGCTTAGTGTATTTGTTTCCTGGCTTATGATTATTCACAGAGCGTTTTTTATTTAATAGCAGTGCGCAAATTGTTGGTGCGGATAAAAAAATTCACTGATGATGTCATCAAAATAAGCGTAAAAAACAAGAATAGCAATGACAGTACGCATTAATTTCATGTTGTAAACAAACTTCCGTCAGATTTTATTGTTTTGAATAAAGGTGTACTCAGTATGGCCAATCTGTGTATAATGTTTTGGTCCTTTGAATACAACTGAGTGAGTATTTCATTCACGTAACAATCTGATGGCATCGGAGTAATTCAACATCAAATTGTATTTTAAGTATTTAATTTTTTTATCTACATCTCCATCTCGAGCTTCTACTATTGCTAGAGTCTAGATTCTAGATTCTAGAGTCTAGATTCTAGAGTCTAGAGTCTAGAGTCTAGAGTCTAGAGTCTAGAGTCTAGATTCTAGAGTCTAGAGTCTAGATTCTAGATTCTAGAGTCTAGAGTCTAGAGTCTAGATTCTAGATTCTAGAGTCTAGAGTCTAGATTCTAGATTCTAGAGTCTAGAGTCTAATCTAGAGACTAGATTCTAGATGTAAATGTGTGAAATACTCTAAGGTTTCTACTAGAAAAAATTAAATGTGTGCAGTACTATATAGCCTACATATTTTATGGCGCTAATTGGTAAAACTATAAATTTACATTTTAGTACACGATATGTGAAACTATATGTTCTTCGGGTAGTTGAATGTAGGGTTTACTTGTAAGTGTGTAGGGACCAGTATTTGTATATGCAGGTGTGATTTAAATTAATACAAGTCCATTAGGACAAAAGTGTTATCGTCGGAGACCAGCATAAATGTAACCCATCCCACCACAAACCAAACCCCCTTCTCCCTCAACATGGATCAACCCCCTCCCCATATCATCGATACAACAAACCCAGCCAATTCCCCATGGTGACTGACCCCCACCCCTCACACCATGTACCTCCTCCTATTCCCACCCCTCACACCATGTTCCTCCCCATATTCCCACCACAAGCTAACAGCCGTATTCAACCCTCACCCTGTTGACCCACCCCTCACATCATGTAACACCCTCCTATTTCAACCACGGACCCCCCCCCCCCAACGTCTATTTCACAGGGTGTCTCCTCTAGAGAACAAGCGGAAGGAAAATCAAAACCAGATTTTGACCAGTTGTAAAGATCGTCAGTGAACTTTAAAAAATGTCAGTAGGAAAACGAAAACGAGAATGTGAAAGATTGTTGCAAAAAGGCGATGTTAATGCGTGTTCAAGAGACGTCCCACGTTTGTCAAAGGCTGTAGAACTTGACGATGTGGAACTTGTCAAAAACATCCTACATCGTGGAGCTGACGTAAACAAAACTGACAAGAATGGGAGGACGTGTCTTCATGTTGCCGTCTCCAAGATGAAAGAGTTTAATAGCTTCGGAATTCCTGATAAAATTTTACAGCCTCGGCTAACACAGAATAGAATTAACAAATCGTTAGAAATATTAAAGATACTACTGGCTCACGAACTTGATGTGAACATATGCGACAACTACAGGAAAACAGCTTTACATTACAGTGTGGAATATGAACAGTTAGAATTTACTAACATGCTGCTTGAGGCAGGGGCTGATGTAAATTTACTTGATGATGACCACGAAACGCCTTTAATTATTGCTTGCCGCTTGTATCTTAACCTGCAGCAAAAAGACGAACTGGGGGATTTTAGCGGAAGTTCATTGGATATTTCCCACTATAAAGGTCTAATGACATCGACAAAGAAAATGCGCTCAAGGCTCAATTACTTGGCCAAAATGGTAGACACTCTCATCACCCCAGCTGCGCGTGTAAACATGGCTGACGAAGATGGCTACACGGCCTTACATCTGGCTGCTCAGACGAACAATGTACAAATAATTGAACGTTTGCTTGGGGCAGGTGGCGATGTCAGGGTAGCGGCCAACACTGGGGAAACTGTGCTGCACTGTGCAGCAAGAAGTAGTTGCAGTGAGATTATGGATATTCTTTTAAGTGAACCACAATCAGCAGATGCCATTAACGCCAGAATGACAGAGCTGTTTGAAAGATCTAACAAACGTCTGAAGAGATTTCACGGTCACGAGCAGGTGTACAACTGTCGAGTACACGAGGTTGATTATTTAGATCACAATAACAAACGTTCACAAGTTTGTCTAAATACTTTGTCTGGTAAAACCGCTTTAATGGTTGTCACGTGACTCTGACCTCAATGTCCACACAGATGAAGGCTACACAGCGTTGCACTTCGCTGCATTTGAATCATGCACAGACGTAGTGCGGCATATGCTACAAGCAGGATGTAATGTAAACGTACAGACGGAAGAAGGACACACGCCTTTAATGTTAGCTGGAAATAAAGAGATTGCTCTCCTGTTGTGTGACGCAGGTGCTGACGTGAATTTGGTGGATAAAACCGGCGATAAAGCTTTACACCTGGCGATATACAGATGCGAAACAGGCGTTGCTCAAGTTTTGATAAATAAAGGCGCTGTAATCGATGGAACCTTACCTGAACCTCTACCACCTCTGGTATTGGCTGCAACACTGAATGAGATCACCATTGTCAAGATGTTACTTAAAGCTGGAGCTAACGTTAACGTCTTGTCTTCATATGGGATATCTCCATTGATGGCAGCAGCTGCTTGTGATTTTAGTGGGTACAATAACTCCGAAATATTTCAAATCCTCCATGAACACGGAGCTGACTTTAACAAGACAGGCAAGAAAGGCAGAACAGCTCTCATGTATTTAGTAAAGCGCGGCAATCCGCAACTTCATTTAAGTAAATTTTTGTTCTATGGAGCTGACCTTAACATCGAAGACGATGACAATAGATCAGCACTAACTTACCACTTATTAAAAGATGAGAGTAAATTCCAGATTAGTTTAATAAAACTCCTATTAAAATCTGGACAGAATCCACTAGTTGATGTCAAGTATCGCTATCTGCTACAAAAGCATAAATTACTGTTACACGAAGCACAATTTTTTTTGTATTTTGGTTTTTTTTTATCTTATCCTATGGGGTCTAGTTTTATATTTCCTGAAGATTCGTGTTATCTTCTGCAATTGCATGTTTGCAATGGGGTAGTATTAAAGCATTCATTTAATCTACAACCTACAAGTGAAATAAATACATTCACAGCTTTGATGCTATCTATACACTTTGGCAACTTGGAGTCGACAAAATATCTTTTAGCTACTTGCTACATGACTGTACAAGATCTCAGACAACTACGTCAGGTTAACCAATCAACAACTGGGGCATCTAACACACGTCTTGAGCCTGAGCTACTAAATGTCATAACCGCAGCGGTTTCCGAACCCTGGCCCCTTGTCAAACTTGCTTTTATAACGGTGTCGACAATGTTGGGAGAAAGCCCAGAGCGAGATGAGCGTCTCTCACAGTCCAACTTACCCCCACAAATGAAACAACTTTTGATGTTCCAATCTCCAGTTTCATTTCTTCCTGTCGACGATTGGTGCAAGATTTCCTTGTGTTATGATCCTGTTGTTTATGAAACATTGCCGCGACCTCGACCTTTGATGTATCACTGGCCTATGGGCATTAATCTTGTTAGCTAAAATAGTGCTATTTCAACGCTTTAACATCATCTGCCATCTTCAACCAAGCTATTCATCTATACACCATCTCATACAATACTGTAACAATAATAGGACATGTAGGCGGATCTAGTCTTTGGGATTTAGTTGGTTTTGTTTTTGTCTAGAGAGGTTATAAATAATATATAAATACATGAGGGGGGGGGGGCAGTGGTGTTGGGTCATGATAATAGTTATACAAATATAAATACAAATGTTAAGAACAAAACAACTTTTAATAAAATGCAAAAAGTCTACAAGTAAGCAAAATATTTAACCTTTAATTCTTCATTTGTAAATATTTCTTTGCCAGTCCCTAGATCCGCCTATGTAATAGAAATTAGAAAACAGCAACACACAAAAAATATTTTTAAAAATCTGCCTTCAGACTCAAAATCTTTGTACTTTTAGCCATACATTTTATTTACAATCACCAGACATAATTATGTTTGACATCTAAGTTGTTGAAGGAAGAAATTTGAGCTAGAATTTTTATATAAGCTTTTATTAATTAAAATGATAACAAATTCAAAACGGTGTCATTGGTATACTATAACATGGTTACATATAAAATGATTACGACTCTAGATGTAATTTTGTTCAATGTTTAGCCTTTTGCTGTGTTACTGTTGTCTTGTTATAAACTTATTAATGTTTGTCTAATGTGAAGTTATTAGGAATCTATTGTGATTTTGTAATATGATAATATACAAAGGTTAACAGTTAATTTTATATCACCAGTTGTTAATAGACAAATGCCCAATTTCAACCTCCCCACAAAATAAAGCATAACTCCACATTTCAGCTCCCCCCCCACACAAACATAACTGCAAATTTTAGTCTCCACACACAACTGCACATTCTAGTCTCCACACACACAACTGCACATTTCATTCTACACCCACATATACATCTGCACATTTTAGTCTACACACACAAATCCACATTTTAGTCCCTCACAATCAACTGTAATTCAATCCATTAAACCTTCCTCCACTGTGTGGATGAAGAGACCACCTACACCCCAGTCTGTATACCTGAGCCCCGCTGCTACCTGGACAAGTGCACGTTGTGTACGAGTACCTGTACACATTGCCCACCTCCTGCCTGCGTACCCAGTGACCTACAGAGACCTGCTTACAACAGCCATGAGGATGTGACACTATAATGGTCAGCTTGTCCACATCTCTACGACTTTGGTACCTGTCACTTACATTTTCACGTAGTTCATTATAGGTCAATACCATTTCCTCGAGTTTAACTGCCACTTGTAAATCATGAGTTGCACAACATAACCAACACCAGTCCCCTTTAATAGCCGTCACAGCAACTATCCACCCGTCAATGTTAACGACTGGACTTTAATCATCATCATACCATAATCTACATCTGGACTGTCTCGCCTCACTGCCATCAAACACCATTTTATATCCATTTTTCGCTAATCTCTCACATATTAATCGGTATATACGAACATTTGAATTCCTTAAATAAAGTTGCAAAAGTAATTATTTGAAACAAAATGTTATTTGTTCATACTGTTGAAAGATTGACCAAATCAATTGTCAATCAAAATGAACAATACACGTTTTTTACAAAAAATTAAAATTAAAAATAAATTAATGGTTGAACACAATGTAAAACATATTTGGCAACATTATGTAAATAAACACATGTTAGAAAATCGTGCTCCTCTCTCACATCATGTTCAGCACACGCAGGCTGAAGGTAATGCGTTAGAGCAACAAAAAAATAAATAAATAATTAAAGTAACAACGGCAAAAAACATTAACCGGGCAATGTCCGACAATAACTAACAATAATCATTAATAAATAACTATAGCCAACAGGATCCAATAACAATAGAGGAAAGATTGTGGAGGAGTTTGTTTACCATGGCAACAAGATCAGCCAATCTGGTGTTACAGATGAGAGGTAGGATGTGCATGAATTAATATACCCGTTACTTCTTCACTGTTCTGTGGCTTGTATGGAAAACTACCGCCAACTCTACAACATTAAACATTAGACTACTGTAATTACACGTGAAGGCGATCTTAAAGTTTGGAGCATAAAACTGTAGTCTCCAAGATGAGCACAAATAGGACATGGATCTTTACAAACAGCAGTCTTTGAAGATCCTGGGATTAAGAAGGCAGGACAGAGTTCTTTACACAAACACGAGGAGAAGTAAAAAAAAAATGCGTCTTGGGCATCGAAGACGAGACAATGAAAGTGGCGCTGGATTGGGCGAAGACACCAACATGACGAGTCTAGGTCTTGAGTGGAACCCCCAGGGGTGTGTAGGGAAAGGTGCTCAAGACTTGCCTGGAGAAAGAATTTTCTGGAATAATTTAAAACCGTAGGGTTGTCTAGCGAGACGACACCACAGCCAAGGATCGGGTAACTGGGAAGAGAATGGATCAAGACCTACACCACACAAAGAGTAAAGAGAAAAATGTCAAGACATGCTAGCTCTATCTATACACCAAAGCGTTCAATTATATGACAGTTTTAGTCTAAATAACAGCGTGATTGTGCATTAAACTTATTTCTATAAAAAGTTTAAAACATTAATGCAAGTTGTAATTGTATTTGACCGCTTTATATTTTGACCATATATGGTCAGCAAGGGACGTATTGAAATTTCCAGTGTCCAGCTTTGGGTAAGTGAAGTATCGTCACATTGTTTCACCTTCAACTTTGAAGTATCGATATCGAATTCTAAATATAATCGAGTCTGGAAATTAGAGATGTGTCCACTGTGACGATTAAAAGCGAGACGTTGAGTGGGTTTGTCTTCAAAGGCCAAACACTCAAACACCGGAAAATACTCACCCTTTGTGTTGTTTTTTTTACAAACGTAACAATAATTTTATCGCTTGCCCTTTAAAACAAAAAGATTTCTTCAAAAGTTTAATATTATTACATAGATTTTTCAAGCAGGCAGACACATCTTGGTGTATTTGTTTCCTGGCTTATGATTATTCACAGCGCGTTTTTCATTTAATAGCAGTTGGCGTCGCTAGGTCTAATTGAAAGCTTATACTATTTTCCGCAGTTTCTTTGGCAATGGGTAAAAAAATGCACTGATGATGTCATCAAAATAAGCGTAAAAAAACAATAAATGCCATGACAGTACGCATTAATTTCATGTTGTTATCAAACTTCCGTCAGATATGTATTGTTTTGAAAAAGGTGTACTAAGTATAGACAATCTGTGTATAATTACGTTTTGGTCCGTTGAAAACAACTGAATAAGTATTTCATTCGTGTAACAATCTAATGGCATCGGATGTATTTCGCCATCGAATAAAAATTTAAATATTTTTATATTTGAGTTTAGATTACACATTTAGTCTTAATAGTGTTTATCTAGATCTAGATCTAGATCTGTTCTTAATTCTAGATCTCAATCTCGAGCTTCTTACTACTATTGCTAGAGTCTAGATTCTATGTGTAAATGTGTAAAACACTTTAAGGTTTCTACTAGAATCGAATTAAACGTGTGCAGTAGTAGAATCTATACAGCTTACATATTTTATGGCACTGATTGGTGAAACCATAAGTTTACATTTTAATTCAATGATTTACGAAAGTACATTATCTTGGGTTGTTGATTGTAGGGTTTAGTGTAGGGACCAGTGTTTGTTTATGCAGGTGTGATTTAAATTAATACAAGTCCTGTAGGACACAAGTGTTATCGTCGGAGACTAGCTCAATGTGATGTGGCTTCTAGATAGTAACAAGGGAATAAATGTAAATCCTCCCATCACAATCCGACCCCCCTTCTCTCTCAACACGGATACAATCCCCCATCTTATCGATGCAACAAACCCAGCCAACCATTCCCACTTTCCCTTTGTTGACCAACCACCACCCCTCACACCATAAATGTTACGAAACGTGTCATCAGTATGGTTGGTATAATTTGACGCCGTTGATGACTGCAGTGATGGTTGAGGTGTTAAGGCAACCGTTTAAGCCCTGATTGAGTAACACTAACACACTTTTAAGACTTTTAATACACTTGAGTAATGGAAGTAAACTCGTTCATTAATAGCGGCCGGCCCTAGGGGCCAGCCCTACCGCACTTTACAAAAACACAACACGACTACATGCTTCTAGTTCCCAGGCTAACACTCAACATACTTGATCTATCACATGCAACAAACTAATACACTATGAACAGTAACAACATAGGTAGGAAAGCTACATTCCAAACATCTGAGTACGATAATATAGCTTCCTCATGTAGGTGACACAGCTGTGTCTAAATAACAACGTAGACGTTACAACTTTGACATGTCTATTTCACAGGGTGTCTCCTCTAGAGAACCAGCTGAAGGAAAAACACCAGATTTTAACCAGTCGTAAAGAGCGTCAGTTTAAAAAAAAATGTCAGTAGGAAAACGAAAACGAGAATGTGAACAGCTGTTGCAAAAAGGCGATGTCAATGCTTTTTTAGAAGGAGACGTTCCCCTTTTATCAAAGGCTGTAGAACTTGACGATGTGGAGCTTGTCAAAAACATCCTACAGCGTGGAGCTGACGTAAACAAAACTGACAAGAATGGGAAGACGTGTCTTCATATCGCCGTCTCCAAGATGAAAGAGTTTAATAGATTTAATGTTCCAGATAAAATTTTACAGCCTCGGCTAACACATTATACAATTAACAAATCGCTAGAAATATTAGAGATACTACTGGCTCACGAACTTGATGTGAACATACGTGACAACTACAGGAAAACAGCTTTACATTACAGTGTGGAATATGAACAGTTAGAATTTACTAACATGCTGCTTGAGGTAGGGGCTGATGTAAATTTACTTGATGACAACCAAGAAACGCCTTTAATAATCGCATCTCGTTTATATCTCAACATCCATAATATGAAGTCTGGTGTCAGTAGAGAAGACATATCTGTCTATAGAGGTACAGTCACATCAAAAGTTAAGTTAGGGTCTAGGCTCAAATATTTGGCCAAAATAGTAGCATCTCTCATCACCCCAGCTGCCCGTGTAAACATTGCTGACAAAGATGGCTACACGGCCTTACATTTTGTTGACCAGACAGACAACGTTGATCTAGTTGAACGTTTGCTTGCTGCAGGTGGCGATGTCAGAGATACAGCGAACAATAAAGTAACAATCCTGCATCTTGCAGCGAAAAACGGCTCCTGTGATATTATGGATATTCTTTTAAATGATCCACACATTACAGATGTCATTAACGCAAGAATGACAACGTTACATGAAAAATCAACCAAACGTCTGAAGAGGCACCATGTCCAAGAACGTTTGGGTCACAGTCCGGAAGAGAAAATTTATTTTTTAGATCGCAATGACAGACGTTCACAAGTTTGTCTAAATACTTTGTCAGGTAAAACTGCCCTAATGGTTGCGTTAGAGAACAGCAACGAGCAGACAGCTTTAAAATTGTTGTCTCGTCACCCTGACCTTAATATCCACACCGATGAAGGCTACACAGCGTTGCACTTTGCTGCACATGGATCATGCACACACGTAGTGCGGCATTTGCTACACGCAGGCTATAATATAAACAAACAGACGGAAGAAGGATACACGTATTTAATGTTGGCTGGAAATAAAGAGATTGCTCTCATGTTGTGTGACGCAGGTGCTGACGTGAATTTGGTGGATAAAAACGGCGACAAAGCTCTACACATGGCGATATACAGAAGCGAAGCAGACGTTGCTCAAGTTTTGATAAATAAAGGCGCTGTTATTGATGGAAACTTTCCTGAACCTCTGCCACCTCTGGTATTGGCTGCAGCTCTGAATGAGATCGCCATTGTCAAAATGTTACTTAAAGCTGGAGCTAACGTTAACGTCTTGTCTTCTTATGGGATATCTCCATTGATGGCAGCAGCAGCTTGTATTTCCGGTGGGTACAATAACTCCGAAATATTTCAAATCCTCCATGAACACGGAGCTGACTTTAACATGACAGGCAAGAAAGGCAGAACAGCTCTCATGTATCTAGTCAAACACGGCGATATGCTGGCTTATTTAGAAACACTTGTATCGTTTGGAGCCGACCTTGACGTCAAAGACAGAGACAACAAAACAGCGCTAGTCTACTGTTTATCGCACACACAGCAGTTTAAGTATTCAGAAACGTTGCTAATTGCTGGAGCTAATCCTATCGTTGGACCAGAGTATCGCTACCTGGTGGGTAAGCTTGTATTGAGAGACCGACGTCCGGTCTGGAATAGATATAATATTCACCCTTATTACCTTCAAATGCTGGTATGTAACGGTGTTGTATTAAAAGGTTTAAATTGCGCAGAAAACAATGGAGAAACAGAGAAGATGACAGCTATGCTGTTATCTTTAAAGTATCCAAACATTGACGCGATAAAATATCTTCTAGCAACTTGCTACTTAACGGTACACGATCTCAGAGAACTACGCCAGTTTGACCAATCAGAAGGGTACCAATACGCTACAGATAAGATAAAAAATGTCATATTCGAGGCGATTACCGAACCCTGGCCCCTGGTCAAACTTGCTTTTATAACGGTGTCGACAATGTTGGGAGAAAGCCCAGAGAGAGAGGAGCGTCTCTCACAGATCAACTTACCACCTAAACTAAAACAACTTTTGATGTTCCAATCTCCAGTTTCATTTCTTCCTGTCAACGATTGGAGAAAGATTCCCTTGTGTTATGATCCTGTTGATTATGAAACCTTGCAACGACCTCGACCTTTGATGTATCACTGGCCTATGGGCATTAATCTTGTTAGCTAAAATGGTTCTATTTTCATCGCTTTATACCATATTATATTACATCATCTGCCATCTTCAACCAAGCTATGCATGTATACACCATCTCACATAATCATGCAGCAAAATTAAGACACGTGGATCTAGTCATTGAGATTTTGTTGGTTTTGTTTTTGTCTAGGGAGGATGTAGATAATATATAAATACATCGGGGGAGGGGGGGAGTAGGGCTGGGTCACCATTATAGTTACAAAAATAAATTACAAAAGTTAAGAACAAAACAACTTATATAAAATGCAAAAATTCTACAAATAAGCAAAATATATAACTTTTTATAAGGCATTCATGTTTTTTTTTATTCATTTGTAAATTTGTCTATTCTAATCACTAGATCCACTTATGCAATACAACACTGCAACACAAAAACACTGACTTCAAATACACAACATCTTTGTACTTTTAACCATACATTTTATTTACAATCACCAGACATAATTATGTTTGACATCTAACTTGTTGAAGGCAGAAAGTTGAGCTAGAATCTATAATATAAGCGGGCTGTGTCTGTCCTTCCTTCCTTCCTTCCTTCCTTCCGTCATCGCAATAGATTTTGGGACTATAAAAGTAAACTTCGCACCATGCTGTGCTTTTCAGTGCACCGCAGTGTCTTATTATAAGTAATTGAGTAGGGTTTGTTTATATAACGGCATACAGCTATTTTATAATTTCCACTGTTTGTACAATTTTGCATAACGTAAAGAGAATATTAAATACACGCACATTGCTAAAACATATTAAAAGGATCAATGTCAAATATCGTTTTCGTTATATTCCCAGAAAAAGTGGATACATATTAATAACATAATAACAGTACGGTAGAAAAATCAAATTAATTTAACTTTTCTAATTTTGACAAAGGAGGTAATTTAAAAATACATTAAACTCACGCTAATAAAAAAATGTGAATGCAAATATACGTTCGTCATAGAAGGAATTAGTGTTGCAATAATATAATTAGCAAAATGTGAATGCAGATTATTCGGATGTGTAAGAGGAAATTATTGTTAGAAAATTATAATTAGCATGGATTGATAAAAGGCAATCTTTTATTTATTTTATTCACTGAATGTACTGTTTACTAATTATAATTTTTAATCAACTATTCTCCATTACTATATTAAGTCATCACGTTCATTAGGTGCGCAATGGTTTTAGTCATGAAACTTTATTGTAAATTTTTAAAAGTACTGAAAAAAATGCATGAATTTATAAAGTGCAATATGGTCGGTAAAACACGGATATTCTAAATACTGCCTTTAATTTATTTGCGGAAAAGCTAGGGGTTTTATAACAGAGGCGTAGCAAGAGGGGGGGGGGGGAGGGTGGAAATCGAAAGTTTGAGGGAGGTGGGAGGGTGTAAATCGAAATTTTCCGCCGGCGATTGGAAAGGGCGCGATTTGGCGCTACAGGATAGACTGTGAGCAATATGCCTTTATGATTACATTTAAATTGAGTTTATGTTGAGTGTTGTGTTTGTTTTTTCGTTTTTGTTTTTTCTTTGCGTTCGTTTGTGCTGTATTTAGTTTTGTTCTGTTCCCAACTTGGTACATTTAAAAAAGATTTACCGTGTGTTGTGGTTGTGGTTGTGTTGTGGTTGTGGTTGTGGTTGTGGTTGTGGTTGTGTTGTGGTTGTGGTTGTGTTGTGGTTGTGTTGTGGTTGTGTTGTGGTTGTGGTTGTGTTGTGGTTGTGTTGTGGTTGTGTTGTGGTTGTAATGTGGTTGTGTTGTGGTTGTGTTTTGTTTGTGTTTGTGTTGTGTTTTTGTTTGTTTTGTTCTGTTCCAAAGTTGGTATATTTTAAAAAGATTTACCGTGGCGGAGCACGGGATGCAGCTAGTGTTTATATAAGCTTCTCTTATTTAAAAATGATAAGAATTCTAAAACGGTTTTCATTGGTATACTATAACATTGTTACATATAAAATGATTACGACTCTAGTTGCAATTGTGTTCAATGTTTAGCCTGTTGCTGTGTTACTGTTGTCTTGTTGGTCACTTATTGTAATGTTTGTCTGATGTGTAGATGTTAGGATTCTATTGGGATTTTGCAATCTGATAATATACAAAGGTTAACACTTAATTTCAATCATCAGTTTTTAACAGACAACTGACAATTTCAGTCAACACACAACTGCACATTTCAGCCACCCCCCCCCCCCCAAAAAAAAAACCTCACACATAACTGCACATTTCTATCTCCACACACATAACTGCTCATTTTAGTCTACAAACCCACAAATAACTGCACATTTCAGCCCCCCCCCCCCCCCAAAAAAAAAAACCTCACACATAACTGTACATTTCTATCTCCACACACATAACTGCTCATTTTAGTTTACAAACCTACACATAACTACACATTTCAGTCGCCACACACACACAACTTTACATTCCAGCCCCGCCCCCCCCCCACACTACTGCACATTTCAGTCCCCCCACAAGCCATTGTAGTTCAATCCATCAAACCTTCCTCCACTGTGTGGATGAAGAGACCACCTACACCCCAGTCTGTATACCTGAGCCCCGCTGCTAGCTGGACAGGTACATGTTGTGTACGAGTACCTGTACATGTTGTCCACCTCTTCCCTGTGTACCCAGTGACCTACAGAGACCTGTTTACAACAGCCATGAGGATGTGACACTATAATGGTCAGCTTGTCCACATCTCTACGACGTTGGTACCTGTCACTTACATTTTCACGTAGTTCATTATAGGTCAATACTATTTCCTCGAGTTTAACTCAAACTTGTAAATCATGAGTTGCACAACACAACCAATACCAGTCCCCTTTAATAGCCGTCACAGCAACTATTAACCCGTCAATGTTAACGACTGGACTTTTATCATCATCATACAATAATCTATATCTGGACTGTCTCGTCTCACTGTCATCAAACACCATTTTATATTCACTTTTCGCTGATCTCTCACATATTAATCGGTATATACGAACATTTGAATTCCTTAAATAAAGTTGCAAAAGTAATTATTTGCAACAAAATGTTTTTTGTTCATACTGTTGAAAGATTGGCCAAATCAGTTGTCAATCAAAATAAACAATACACGTTTAAAAAAAAATTACAATTAATAAACCGGGAGTGATCTCCTCTAAACTTTTCTCGAATATTCTTATATAAAATAACAGGGGATGGAAACTCGGGCTATAGACATGATTTTTAATCAATTTTAAATACTTAAAGTTTAAATAAACCGGGAGTGATCTCCCCTAAACTTTCTCGAATATTCTTGTATGTAACAAAAGGGGATGACAACTCGGGCTATCGACATGATTTTTAATCCATTTTAAATACTTAAAGTTTTTAAAATAGAATAAAATCTCGTAGAAAAAAAGAAATTCACACCAAGTGAACGTCAAATAAATGTGCATTATAGTGCGGAATATTATTAGAACTTTATAAATTCACATGGGTTTTTCGAGAAATCGAAAATATCGAAATTTACTACTTTCGGTAAACAGAAATTACTCAAAATTTAAAAGATAGCAGAGAATTAGATCTTTTACTTACTTGTGAAATTTCATTTAACTATCTGAAATAGTACTCAAGTTATAGGCTTTTGAAAAATTCAAAGTAGAAAAAGTACCACTTCCGGTTATTGGAAATCGCTCAAAAGTTGATACGGATCTACGATTTTGATAAAATACTTATATATGAAATTTCATTAACCTAGCTGTAACGGTACTCAAGCAATCGTGTTTACAAACGGACAGACACACACACACACACAGACAGACAGACATCAGCGGCAGTTTGGCAAAGTACGTAACTATGTTAAAGATCACGTAAACTTTAGTATAGGGAATTCGGACCGGTCAGTTCTAAAGCCGTTCCGGAATTTTCCCGAAGATACCCCCGCGGGTATATCTCCGACCTCAGGAGTTATGATTGGGATTGTACGTCCAGATTTTTTAACTTATTTTTCTTTACAAACACAGTACTATGTTTATATAAGGAAATATGGCCTCTGGTCAGTTCAAACATTGTTCCGGAATTTTCTCGAGGGTAGCACAATTTTATTCCTGACCCCCTTGGGGCCGATGTACATCTGCAAGAGTTTTCAAAGGGTTTCTACGTTGGAATTTTTTTTCGATATACAGCTCATATAAGGAGACTTTCGCTCGTGGTCACTTTTTAGCCGTCGCCGTGCGAGCAGCGGCTGACCGATAGTTTATCCATAAGGCCGATTCATTTACCCAAGTATATGCAAAACATGAGCCAGATATACAGAGCCAAAGTTCCAAAACACTGTTTTGAAAAGATTCATCGTTTTTTAGAAAATTAACAATGTTTATATAGGGAAAATTCGGACCGGTCAGTTCTAAAGGCCTTCCGGGATTTTCCGGAACATCTCATAGTTGTTGTTTTTTTGCCACCCCCTAGGGTCGGTCTAAGACCTCAGGAATTATGAAGAGGTTCCTACGTGGGAATTTTTTTTTTCGATATATAGCTCATATAGGGCGCCGGTCAGTTGCGCTGAGTTTTGACCCCCTCTTCGTGGACTTGTTGGCCAACCGGCACCGCCCCCCATGTTCTGTTGCCCCAAGGCAGGTTCCTGCCAAATTTGAAGCGCCTGCGGCGCCGGGAAGTGCCTCCGAGCACTTTGCTTTATATATAAATTATACACTACTATTTAAATAAGTGAACTCTACTTCACTTGCCCTATAGACGGTCAGGTTTGAAAGGTAACTTTTTTTTTACTACTTAAATAACCTTTAAAAAAAGCGTGGGTCTCTTCCTAAATATTAGTAAAGGTATCCAATAGATACTAAAGTGACTTACGCTTTTCGTTACAGTTATTTAAATAGTAGTGTATACAATATTTTGCATTATTTCGTATCTTTTAGTGAGAGCACAATTTAAGTTAAAAATAGCTCATTACTCATCGGAAGCCATCCAACGCTAGACTAATGTTTTGCAACACAAATGGGGAATTCCCTGTAGTCAGCACCCAAATAAAATTTTACAGAACAGTATGGAATCTTGTATTTGTATTTTAAATGTGAGTCTCGATTTGTAGATTGTAAACAAATAAACCGGTAGTGATCTCCCCTAAACTTTCTCAAATATTCTTATATAAAACAACAGGGGATGGTAACTGGGGATATAGTTATGATTTTTAATCCATTTTAAATACTTAAACTTTTAAAAATAGAATAGAATCTCATAAAAAAAACATTGCGCACCAAGCAAACGCCGAATAAAAACGCGTATAATAGTGCGCAATATTATTAGTACTTTAAAAATTTACATTAGTTTTTTGAGAAATCGGAAGTAGCGTAAATTACTACTTCCAGTCAACGGAAATGACTCAAAATTTAACAGAAGGTAGAGAATTAGATCTTTTACTTACATGTGAAATTTCATTTATCTATCTGAAATAGTACTCAAGTTATAGGCTTTTGAAAAATTCAAAGTAGGAAAAGTACCACTTCCGGTTATCGGAAATCGCTCAAAAGTTGATACGGATCTACGATTTTGATAAAATACTTATATATGAAATTTCATCAACCTAGCTGTAACGGTACTCAAGTTATCGTGTTTACACACGGACAGACAGACAGACAGACACACACACACACAGACATACGGACAAGATTGCAAAATTATGTTTTTCCGTATCAGTGAGGTGTAAAACGTCGAGATTTGTAAAAATCTCGATTTTTTTTTTTTGCACGATTACAATACTTTCTCTATACTACGTATATACGAGAAAGTAAAAAATAGAATAAAATCTCGTAGACAAATTAATTGCACACCAAGTGAACGCCAAATAAAAAAGCGCATAATAGTGCGCAATATTATTAGTACTTTTAAAATTTACATTAGTTTTTTGAGAAATCGGAAGTAGCGTAAATTACTACTTCCAGTCAACGGAAATTACTCAAAATTTAACAGAAGGTAGAGAATTAGATCTTTTACTTACATTTGAAATTTCATTTATCTATCTGAAATAGTACTCAAGTTATAGGCTTTTGAAAAATTCAAAGTAGGAAAAGTACCACTTCCGGTTATCGAAAATCGCTCAAAAGTTGATACGGATCTACGATTTTGATAAAATACTTATATATGAAATTTCATCAACCTAGTAGTAACGGTACTAAAGTTATCGATTTTACACACGGACACACACACAGACAGACACACAGACACACAGACATACGGACAAGATTGAAAATTATGTTTTTCCGTATCAGTGAGGTATAAAACGTCGAGATTTGTAAAAATCTAGATTTTTTTTTTTGCACGATTACAAGACTTTCTCTATACTTCGTATAATCGAGAAAGTAAAAATAAATTAATGGTTGAACACAATGCAAAATATATTTGGCAACATTATGTAAATAAACACATGTTAGAAAATCGTGCTCCTCTCTCACATCATGTTCAGCACACGCAGGCTTAATGTAATGCGTTAGAGCAACAAAAATAAATAAATAATTAAAGTAACAGCGGCAAAAAAAAAAAACATTAACCAGACAATGTCCAACAAGAACTAACAATAATCATTAATAACTAACTATAGCCAACAGGATCGAATAACAATAGAAGAAAGATTGTGGAGGAGTTTGTTTACCATGGCAACAAGATCAGCCAATCTGGTGTCACAGATGAGAGGAAGGACGTGCATGAATTAAGATACCAGTTACTTCTTCACTGTTCTGTGGCTTGTATGGAAAACTACTGCCAACTCTACAACATTAAAGATTAGGCTACTGTAATTACACGTGAAGGTGGTCTTATGTTTGGAGCATAAAACTGTAGTCTCCAAGATGAGCACAAATAGGACACGGATCTTTACAAACAGCAGTCTTTGAAGATCCTGGGATTAAGAAGGCAGGACACAGAGTTCTTTACACAAACATGAGGAGAAGTAAAAAATGTGTCTTTGGCAGCGAAGTCGAGACAATAAAAGTGGCGCTGGATTGGGCGAAGACACCAACATAACATTTATAAAGTCTGGGGCTTGAGTGGAGCCCCCACGGGTGGCGTAGGGAAAGGCGCTCAAGACAGGCCTGGAGAAAGAATTTTCTGGAATAATTTAAAACCGTAGGGTTGTCTAGCGAGACGACACCACAGCCAAGGATCGGGTAACTGGGAAGAGAATGGATCAAGACCTACACCACACAAGGAGCAAAGAGAAAAATGTCAAGACATACTAGCTCTATACACCAATGCGTTCATTTATATAATAGTTTTAGTCTAAATATAAATAACAGCGTGATTGTGCATTAAACTTATTTCTATAAAAAGTATATAAACATTAATGCAAGTTGTAATTGTACTTGACCGCTTTATATTTTGACCACATATGGTCAGCAAGGTTCGTGTTGACATTTAGGTAAGTGAAGTATCGTCACCTTCATTTTTGAAGTATCGATATCAAATTCTAAATATAATCGAGTCTGGAAATTAGAGATGTGTCGATTGTGACGATTAAAAGCGAAACGTTGAGTGGGTTTTTCTTTAAAGGCCAAACACTCAAACGTAACAATAATTTTATCGCGTGCCATTTTTAATTTTTTTTTTTTCAAAAGTTTAATATGATTACATAGATTTCGCAAGCAGGCAGAGTTATGCAGTAACGAGATGTAACTCCCATATTTCACCAACTTCTTCAATAGATCAATACGATTTTCTATGAAAGCTATAGAAACACCATTTTTAAATTCCATGGCTTCAGCTTTGTTTTTTCCGATAAGAAATTCTTCACCCTCCACAACAGCATCCAAGAAACCAAAATGTTGTGCCATTTCTAAAGCCTGAATCCCGTTTTGACAAGACAGGAAAGCGCCACGTTGAAGCAGTTCTAGTACAGCAGTTGTGTGCCCCTTGTCGACAGCAAGCGACAAAGCTGTATATCGGCCATCAAATGATCTGCTGACATTCAGATCAGCGCCAGCTTTAATCAGAGCTCTAAAAACTTGGAGACTTGCTCGTTCTATAGCCAACATTAGGGCTGTGTCTCAACTGCTGGTCATTCTATTAATGAGGTATTTATTCATCTCTGCACCAGTCTGAGCAGCTTTGTAAATCTCATTGACCGCCCTTTGACCTCCCTCGTTAAAACACATTTTGGTGCAGTAAGATCAAAATAAAACTCTAAATTTATTCCACGATTTTCATATAGATCTCGCTCTTAAAGTTCCTCAAAACAAACTTTAAAACTACCGCGTTCTCGATAATAAAAATCCAATGCAACATCTTGTTAAACAAAAGTATAATGCATGTCTTATATTTATTTGTATTTCAACGATAAGTTCATACTTTTTCCTCTCATTACATTTATAATTTATAAAGCTATAATTTTTAAAAAAATGCTAGGGTAAGTTGATATTAAGACAAATCTTTCCTCCATGAAAACATCAGGTTTATTAAAGGAGTCGCTTATAACAAGAAGTTTTTGCGGTATAAGTTGACAAAGCATTTGATGGCTCGATTATAGATCTTTAGATCCAAATTGTTTGACTAAGTCTCATTGACAATTTTTGTTCTTGTGTATAGGCCTACTGGATTAAAAAAAAGGGAAATTTATTGTATTCCCACCTACATTGCAAAATAAAAAAAATAAAAAAATCCTTGACAATGGAAAATCAAAATGACAAATTTTCGAATCAACTGAACATATTTCTTTAAAAAATTTGCAGGGGGGCGGGGGGGGGGCGGAAAAGGAAGTTAATTTTTTTTATTGAAAAATAATAGGAAACTTAAACTACATTTAAATAAAACAAATATTACAAACCTTTATAATAATAAGCTTTTAACTAATGCTCTGAAAAAAAATGTCTTTTTAGTAAATGCTTTTAATTAAAGAAAAATAAAGTTTTATTTTCTTATTTTCAATGCATTTGAAAGCTTGTTATTATAAAATAATACATTTTAATATCAACGTGACCTCAAGAACACATTCTTGAATATCTTTTCAGATTAACGCAAACAATCGAGATTTTTAAAAATCATTTCTATCATCCCGGGTTTGAGTTTGTTCTGGCGATTTGTAAAGCAAAAGAAATAAAAGCTGTTAATAAAAACGTATTAAATACATTAATAATTAATAAAACAAAAAAAAAACATTACTGTACAGACAAAACACGTTAGTCGAAGTGTTTTATTTTCATTGTTAATAAGATAATTAACTTTCCACGGTAAGCAATACTTACGCCAGTTTGCATATATTCAAAGTAATAACCCCTCCCCCCTAGAATTGTTGGTTTTTCAAATCACTATTACACGCATGAGGTTACGTATCTGTCTGGATTTTGTTCAGCCTTCAGTCAATAGGTGTGGTTGGGGGTTTGCCTACTATTGCCATACGTGGTATGGTGTTTGCCTACTATTGCTTTCCGTGGTATGGTGTTTGCCTACTATTGCCGTCCGTGGTATGGTGTTTGCCTACTATTGCCGTCCGTGGTATGGTGGTTACCTACTATTGCCATTCGTGGTATGGTGTTTGCCTACTATTGCCGTCCATGGTATGGTGTTTGCCTACTATTGCCGTCCGTGGTATGGTGGTTACCTACTAGTGCAAAAATCAAATAGTCACATTTTTTATAACCATATTTATTTTAATAACATCGTACATGATTTTAAAAATATTTATTGGGTCCATGAGAAGCTTAAACTATTTTCCGCAAAAACTGAATTATGATGCCATCAAATTAAGCGTAAACATAAGTGAATAGCGAAAAAAGCGCCGGATAAATGGACTGATGAACAAGAAAAGAATTGAGATAACTAAATACGCAGATAAAGCTAGGTGTATTTGTGTCCTGGCTAATGATTATTCAGAGCGCATTTTTCATTTGATAGCAGTGCGCAAACTATTAGTAAAGAAAAATTAACTAATGATGTCATCAAAATAAGGGTAAAAAAACAAGAATAGCCATGACAGTACGCATTAATTTCATGTTGTAAACAAACTTCCGTCAGATAGTTATTGTTTTGAATAAAGGTGTACTCTGGTTGGCCAATCTGTGTATAATGTTGTGGTCCGTTGAATACAACTGAGTAAGTATTTCATTCAGGTAACAATCTGATGGCATCGGACGTATTTCAATTTGAATTTTAAGTTTTTTTTTTTACATTTGAGTTGAGATTACACACACACACACATAGAGTCTAGAATAGTGTTTAAGATCTATTCTAGATCTCAATCTCGAGCTTCTACTATTGCTAGAGTCTAGCTTATAGATGTAAATGTGTGAAACACTCTAGGGTTTCTGCTAGAATAAAATTAAATGTGTGCAATACTATACAGCCTACATATTTTATGGCGCTGATTGGCAAAACTATAAGTTTACATTTTAGTACATAATTTGCGAAACTACATTTTCTTCGGGTTGTTGAATGTAGTGTATACTTGTAAGTGTGTAGAGACCAGTACATTTATACGGAGGTGTGATTTAAATGGACACCAGCGAGAAAAGTCTCAAAGGTATTTGAGAGGTGTATAAATTCATTTAAAAATCATGCACAGCGTAGTTACAATTAATAAGGTTATAAAATCCTGTCTGTCTGGTTTTTTTCGGACTTTACTAAAGATTGGATGTATTTGATGTTTATAATATTTTCGGTAACTAAATAAAATTAAAAAAAAAAAAGCTAAAACAATTTGGTTTTCACGTGTAATGGCGACATAAACCATGGCATCCTGCTATTGGATTTTATTGTACACATTGTAAGCTAAAAATAGAAAACTAGGTCATGGGGTTTTAAATTTGCATTGTTATTTAAAATCTTGATCTGCAAAGTTTTGTAAACAAATAGTTATCGATCACTAAGTTACTGTACAGCCAATCAATATTTGTCTTACGAAAGTGAAACATCCGGTTATAACTTAGGCTTGATGAAAATAAATAGAAATGTAGCCTTAAACTCAACAAATTATTTTCAAGTTCTCTGGATTTGCAACTTTTATAGCATTTATTCTAAAAATATAAAATTTCTAAATTAATTGTAGGCTTAAGTTTTTATTTTTTATTTTTTTTTACGGTCTAAATCTAAAAAGCACGTTTTTATTCCATGTCAACAACATTATGGAAGGAATCCGGTCAACTCGCTCGCCTCCATTAACACAAGTCCTGTAGGACAAAATTATCGTCGTAGACTACCAGAATCGAGAAGATATTACTTTGAATAACAAGGCAGACTTTACAACTTTGACACATCTATTTCACAGGGTGCTTCCTCTAGAGAACCAGCGGAAGGAAAATCAAAACCAGATTTCAGTCGTAAAGATCGTCAGTCAACTTTTAAAAAAATGTCAGTAGGAAAACGAAAACGAGAATGTGAACGATTGTTGCAAAAAGGCGATGTTAATGCGTGTTCAGAAGGAGACTTTCCACGTTTGTCAAAGGCTGTAGAACTTGACGATGTGGAACTTGTCAAAAACATCCTACATCGTGGAGCTGACGTTAACAAAACTGACAAGAATGGGAGGACGTGTCTTCATGTTGCCGTCTCCAAGATGAAAGAGTTTAATAGTTTTAATGTTCCAGATAAAATTTTACAGCCTCGGCTAACACAGAATAGAATTAACAAATCGTTAGAAATATTAAAGATACTACTGGCTCACGAACTTGATGTGAACATACGTGACAACTACAGGAAAACAGCTTTACATTACAGTGTGGAATATGAACAGTTAGAATTTACTAACATGCTGCTTGAGACAGGGGCTGACGTAAATTTACTTGATGACAACCATGAAACGCCTTTAATAATCGCGTCTCGTTTATATCTCAACATACATAATATGAAGTCTGGTGTCGGTAGAGAAGACATTTCTGTCTATAGAGGTAGAGTCCAATCAACAGTTAGTTTAGGGTCTAGGCTCGAATATTCAGCCAAAATAGTAGCCTCTCTCATCACTCCAGATGCCCGTGTGGACATTGCTGATAAAGATGGCTACACGGCCTTACATTTTGTTGACCAGACGGACAACGTTGATCTAGTTGAACGTTTGCTTGCTGCAGGTGGCGATGTCAGAGATGCAGCGAACAACAAAGTAGCAGTTCTGCATCTTGCAGCGAAAAACGGCTCCTGTGATATTATGGATATTCTTTTAAATGATCCGCACATTTCAGATGTGATTAACGCAAGAATGACAACGTTACATGAAAAATCCAGCAAACGTCTGAAGAGGCACCATGTCCAAGAACGTTTGGGTCACAGTCCGGAAGAGAAAATTTATTTTTTAGATCGCAATGACAGACGTTCACAAGTTTGTCTAAATACTTTGTCTGGTAAAACTGCCCTGATGGTTGCGTTAGAGAACAGCAACGAGCAGACAGCTTTGAAATTGTTGTCTCTTGACCCTGACCTTAATATCCACACCGATGAAGGCTACACAGCGTTGCACTTCGCTGCACTTGGATCATGCACAGACGTAGTGCGGCATTTGCTACACGCAGGCTGTAATGTAAACAAGCAGACAGAAGAAGGACACACGCCTTTAATGTTAGCTGGAAATAAAGAGATTGCTCTCCTGTTGTGTGACGCAGGTGCTGACGTGAATTCGGTGGATAAAAACGGCGACAAAGCTTTACACCTGGCGATATACAGAAGCGAAACAGACGTTGCTCAAGTTTTGATAGATAAAGGCACTGTCATTGATGGAACCTTACCTGAACCTCTGCCGCCTCTGGTATTGGCTGCAGCTCTGAATGCGATCACCATTGTCAAGATGTTACTTAAAGCTGGAGCTAACGTTGACGTCTTGTCTTCTCATGGGATATCCCCATTGATGGCAGCCGCTGCTACTACTAGTGATCTCGGAGGAGACAGTATCTCTCCTATATTTCAAATCCTCCATGAACACGGAGCTGACTTTAACATGACAGGCAAGAAAGGCAGGACAGCTCTCATGTATTTAGTCAAACACGGCGATATGCAGGCTTATTTAGAAACACTTGTATCGCTTGGAGCCGACCTTGACGTCAAAGACAGAGACAACAAAACAGCGCTAGTCTACTGTTTATCGCACACTCAGCAGTTTCAGTATTCAGAAAAGTTGCTAAATGCTGGAGCTAATCCTGTGGTTGGATCAGAGTATCGCTATCTGATGGGTAAGCTTGTATTGAGATACCGACGTCCGGCCTGGTATAGAGATAATATTAAACCTAAGCAAATACTTGAGTTCATTGTCCTCCGCCGCTTTTGTAATTACCTTCGAATGCTGGTGTGTAACGGTATTGTATTAAAAGGTTTAAATCGTGTAAAAAGCAATGGAGAAACAGAGAAGATGACAGCTATGATGTTAGCTCTAAATTATCAAAACCGTGACGTGATAAAATATCTTCTAGCAACTTGCTACTTGACTGTACACGATCTCAGAGGACTACGCCAGTTTTACCAATCAGAATTGTTTCCATACACTAGAGATGAGCTAAAAAATGTCATATACGAAGCGATTACCGAACCCTGGCCCCTGGTCAAACTTGCTTTTATAACGGTGTCGACAATGTTGGGAGAAAGCCCAGAGAGAGAGGAGCGTCTCTCACAGACCAGTTTAGCACCTAAACTCAAACAACTTTTGATGTTCCAATCTCCAGTTTCATTTCTTCCTGTCAGTGATTGGAGCAAGATTTCCTTGTGTTATGATCCTGTTGATTATGAAACCTTGCAACGACCTCGACCTTTGATGCATCACTGGCCTATGGGCATTAATCTTGTTAGCTAAAATGGTTCTATTTTCAACGCTTTAATAATTATACCATATTATATTACATCATCTGCCATCTTCAACCAAGCTATGCATCTATACAGCATCTCACATAATACTGCAGCAAAAATAAGACAAGTGGATCTAGTCATTGAGATTTAGTTGGTTTTGTTTTTGTCTAGGGAGGATGTAAATAATATATAAATACATCGAGGGAGGGAGGGGGGAAAGACTAGGGCTGGGTCACCATAATAGTTATAGAAATATAAATTACAAAAGTTAAGAACAAAACAACTTATATAAAATGCAAACATTCTACAAATAAGCAAAATATATAACTTTTTATAAGCCTTCATGTTTTTTTTATTATTCATTTGTAAATTTATCTATGCTAGTCACTAGATCCACTTATGCAATACAAAACTGCAACACAAAAACACTGACTTCAAATACACAACATCTTTGTACTTTTAACCATACATTTTATTTACAATCACCAGACATAATTATGTTTGACATCTAACTTGTTGAAGGCAGAAAGTTGAGCTAGAATTTTTATATAAGCTTCTATTAATTAAAAATGATAATTCTAAAACGGTTTTCATTGGTATACTATAACATGGTTACATATAAAATGATTACGACTCTAGATGTAATTGTGTTCAGTGTTTAGCCTTTTGCTGTGTTACTGTTGTCTTGTTGGTCACTTATTGTAATGTTTGTCTGATGTGTAGATGTTAGGATTCTATTGGGATTTTGCAATCTGATTATGTACAAAGGTTAACACTTAATTTTAATCACCAGTTTTTAACAGACAACTGACAATTTCAGTCAACACACAAACCCACACATAACTACACATTTCAGCCCCCCCCCCCCCCAAACAAAAAAAACCTCACACATAACTACACATTTCTATCTCCACACACATAACTGCTCATTTTAGTCTACAAACCCACAAATAACTACACATTTCAGCCCCCCCCCCCCAAAAAAAAACCTCACACATAACTGTACATTTCTATCTCCACACACATAACTGCTCATTTTAGTCTACAAACCCACAAATAACTACACATTTCAGTCGCCACACACACACAACTTCACATTCCAGCCCCCCCCCACACTACTGCACATTTCAGTCCCCCCACAAGCCACTGTAGTTCAATCCATTAAACCTTCCTCCACTGTGTGGATGAAGAGACCACCTACACCCCAGTCTGTATACCTGAGCCCCGCTGCTACCTGGACAGGTACACGTTGTGAACGACTACCTGTACATATTGTCCACCTCCTCCCTGTGTACCCAGTGACCTACAGAGACCTGCTTAGAACAGCCATGAGGATGTGACACTATAATGGTCAGCTTGTCCACATCTCGACGACTTTGGTACCTGTCACTTACACTTTCATGTAGTTCATAATAGGTCAATACCATTTCCTCGAGTTTAACTGCCACTTCTAAATCATGAGTTGCACAACACAACCAAGACCAGTCCCCTTTAATAGCCGTCACAGCAACTATCCACCCATCAATGTTAACGACTGGACTTTGATCATCATCATGCCATAGTCTACATCTGGAATGTCTCGTCTCACTGTCATCAAACACCATTTATATCCACTATTCGCTTATCTTTACGCTAATCTCTCACATATTAATCGGTATATAAGAACATTTGAATTCCTTAAATAAAGATGCAAAAGTAATTATTTGCAACAAAATGTTATTTGTTCATACTGTTGAAAGATTGGCCAAATCAGTTGTCAATCAAAATAAACAATACACGTTTTTAAAAAAAATTAAAATTAAAAATAAATTAATGGTTGAATACAATGTAAAACATATTTGGCAACATTATGTAAATAAACACATGTTAGAAAATCGTTCTCCCCTCTCACATCAGGTACAGCACACGCAGGCTTAAGGTAATGCGTTAGAGCAAAGAAAATAAATAAATAATTAAAGTAACAGCGGCAACAAAAAAAAAAAACAACATTAACCAGACAATGTCCTACAATAACTAACAATAATCAATAATAACCATCCATAGCCAACAGGAGCAATAACAATAGAAGGAAGATTGTGGAGGAGTTTGTTTACCGTGGCAACAAGATCAGCCAATCGGGTGTCACAGATGAGAGGTAGGACGTGCATGAATTAATATACCCGTTACTTCTTCACTGTTCTGTGGCTTGTATGGAAAACTACTGCCAACTCTACAACATTAAAGATTAGGCTACTGTAATTACACGTGAAGCCGATCTTAATGTTTGGAGCATAAAACTGTAGTCTCCAAGATGAGCACAAATAGGACACGGATCTTTACAAACAGCAGTCTTTGAAGATTCTGGGATTAAGAAGGCAGGACACAGAGTTCTTTACACAAACACGAGGAGAATTAAAAAAATGTGTCTTGGGCAGCGAAGTCGAGACAATAAAAGTGGCGCTGGATTGGGCGAAGACACCAACATAACATTTATAAAGTCTGGGGCTTGAGTGGAGCCCCCGCGGGTGGCGTAGGGAAAGGCGCTCAAGACTAGCCTGGAGAAAGAATTTTCTGGAATTATTTAAAACCGTAGGGTTGTCTATCGAGACGACACCACAGCCGAGGATCGGGTAACTGGGAAGAGAATGGATCAGGACCTACACCACACAAAGAGTAAAGAGAAAAATGTCAAGACATGCTAGCTCTATCCTAAAACCAATGCGTACAATTATATGATAGTTTTAGTCTAAATATAAATAACAGCGTGATTGTGCATTAAACTTATTTCTATAATAAGTATATAAACATTAATGCAAGTTGTAATTGTACTTGACCGCTTTATATTTTGACCACATATGGCCAGCAAGGTTCGTGTTGACATTTGGGTAAGTGAAGTATCGTCACATTGTTTCACCTTCAATTTTGAAGTATCGATATCAAATTCTAAATATAATCGAGTCTGGAAATTAGAGATGTGTCCATTGTGACGATTAAAAGCGAGACGTTGAGTGGATTTTTCTTCAAAGGCCAAACACTCAAACACTGAAACACGGAAAAAACAACTCGCCCTTTGTGTTATTTTTACAAACGTAACAATAATTTTATCGCTTGCCATTTTTAAAAAAAGATTTCTTCAAAATTTTAATATGATCACATAGATTTTTCAAGCAGGCAGACAAAGCTTGGTGTATTTGTTTCCTGGCTTATGATTATTCACAGCGAGTTTTTCATTTAATAGCAGTTGGCGTCGCTAGGTCTAATTGAAAGCTTATACTATTTTCCAAAGTTTCTTTGGCATGGGTAAAAAAATGCACTGATGATGTCATCAAAATAAGCGTAAAAACAATAAATGCCATGACAGTACGCATTAATTTCATGTTGTTAACAAACTTCCGTCAGATTTTATTGTTTTGAATAAGGGTGTACTCAGTATGGCCAATCTGTGTATAGTTATGTTGTGGTCAGTTGAATACAACTGAGTGAGTATTTCATTCGTGTAACAATCTGATGGCATCAGACGTATTTCGCTGTCGAATAAAATTTTAATTTTTTTTTTATATTTGAGATGAGATTACACATTTAGTCTTAATAGTGTTTATCTAGATCTAGATCTATTCTTAATTCTAGATCTCAATCTCGAGGTTCTTACTATTGCTAGAGTCTAGATTCTAGGTGTAAATGTGTAAAACACTCTAAGCTTTCTACTAGAATCGAATTAAACTTGTGCAGTACTAGAATCTATACAGCTTACATATTTTGTGGCACTGATTGGTGAAACTATAAGTTTACATTTTAGTCCATGATTTACGAAACTACATTTTCTTGGGTTGTTGATTGTAGGGTTTAGTGTAGGGCGTAGGGGCCAGTACATGTATACGGAGGTGTGATTTAAATAAACACAAGTCCTGTAGGAGACCAGCTCAATGTGATGTGGTTTCTGGTCAGTAACACATGGGAATAAATGTAACAACTCCCACCACAAACCAATTCCCCTTCTCTCTAAACACGGATACAACCCCCTCCCCCCCAAATCTTATCTATTCAACAACCCCAGCCACCCACTCCCAATTCCCCCTGCTGACCAACTTCCACCCCTCACACCATGTACCATCCTCCTATTTCAACCATCTACCAAAATCGCGAAGATAGTACTCTAAATAACTACGTAGACGTTACAACTTTGACACGTCTATTTCACAGGGTGTCTCCCCTAATCTAACCAGTGGAAAGAAAAACATAACAGATTTTAACCAGTTGTACAGATCGTCACTCAACTTTTAAAAAAATGTCACTAGGAAAACGAAAACGAGAATGTGAACGATTGTTGCAAAAAGGCGATGTTAATGCGTGTTCAGAAGGAGACGTTCCACTTTTGTCAAAGGCTGTAGAACTTGACGATGTGGAGCTTGTCAAAAACATCCTACAGTGTGGAGCTGACGTAAACAAAACTGACAAGAATGGGAGGACGTGTCTTCATGTTGCCGTCTCCAAGTTGAAAGAGTTTAATAGTTTCGAATATCCAGATAAAACTTTACAGCCTCGGCTAACACATAAAAGAAATAACAAATCGCTAGAAATATTAAATATACTACTGGCGTACGAGCTTGATGTTAACGTCAGTGACAACTACAGGAAATCAGCTTTACATTACAGTGTGGAATATGAACAGTTAGAATTTACTAACATGCTGCTTGAAGCAGGGGCTGATGTAAATTTACTTGATGACAACCACGAAACGCCTTTAATAATCGCGTCTCGTTTATATCTCAACATACATAATATGAAGTCTGGTGTCAGTAGAGAAGACATATCTGTCTATAGAGGTACAGTCACATCAAAAGTTAAGTTAGGTTCTAGGCTCGAATATTTGGCCAAAATAGTAGCCTCTCTAATCACACCAGCTACCCGTGTGAGCATTGCTGACAAAGATGGCTACACGGCCTTACATTTTGTTGACCAGACAGACAATGTTGATCTAGTTGAACGTTTGCTTGCTGCAGGTGGCGATGTCAGAGATGCAGCGAACAACAAAGTAGCAGTTCTGCATCTTGCAGCGAAAAACGGCTCCTGTGATATTATGGAAATTCTTTTAAATGATCCGCACATTTCAGATGTATTAACGCAAGAATGACAACGTTACATAAAAAATCCAGCAAACGTCTGAAGAGGCACCATGTCCAAGAACGTTTGGGTCACAGTCCGGAAGAGAAAATTTATTTTTTAGATCGCAATGACAGACGTTCACAAGTTTGTCTAAATACTTTGTCAGGTAAAACTGCCCTAATGGTTGCCTTAGAGAACAGCAACGAGCAGGCAGCTTTGAAATTGTTGTCTCGTGACCCTGACCTTAATGTCCTCACAGATGAAGGCTACACAGCGTTGCACTTCGCTGCACTTGGATCATGCACAGACGTAGTGCGGCATTTGCTACACGCAGGATGTAATGTAAACGTACAGACGAAAGAAGGACACACGCCTTTTATGTTAGCTGGAAATAAAGAGATTGCTCTCCTGTTGTGTGACGCTGGTGCTGACCTGAATTTGGTGGATAAAAACGGCGACAAAGCTTTACACCTGGCGATATACAGAAGCGAATCGGACGTTGCTCAAGCTTTGATAAACAAAGGCGCTGTTATTGATGGAAACGTACCTGAACCTCTGCCGCCTCTGGTATTGGCTGCAGCTCTGAATGAGATCGCCATTGTCAATATGTTACTTCAAGCTGGAGCTAACGTTAACGTCTTGTCTTCTTCTGGGATATCTCCATTGATGGCAGCAGCAGCTTGTAATACCGATGGTTACAATAACTCCGAAATATTTCAAATCCTCCATGAACACGGTGCTGACTTTAACATGACAGGCAAGAAAGGCAGAACAGCTCTCATGTATTTAGTAAAGCGCGGCAATATGCTGGCTCATTTAGAAACACTTGTATCGTTTGGAGCCGACCTTGACGTCAAAGACAGAGACAACGAATCAGCCCTAATCCACTGTTTATCGCACACACATCAGCGGTTGTGGTGTTCAGAAATGTTGCTAAATGCAGGAGCTAATCCTGTGGTTGGATCAGAGTATCGCCACCTGTTGGGTAAGGTTGTATTGAGAGACGAACGCCCGGCCTGGAATAGAGATAATATTAAACCTATGCAAATACTTGAGCTCATTGTCTTCAACCGTTTACATAATTACCTTCGAATGCTGGTGTGTAACGGTGTTGTATTAAAATGTTTAGATCGTGTAAAAAACAATGGAGAAACAGAGAAGATGACAGCTATGATGTTAGCTCTAGAGAATCACAATCTTGACGTGACAAAATATCTTCTAGCAACTTGCTACTTGACGGTACACGATCTCAGAGGACTACGCCAGTTTGACCAATCAGAATTGTATCCATACGCTAGATATGAGCTAAAAAATGTCATATTCGAGGCGATTACCGAACCCTGGCCCCTGGTCAAACTTGCTTTTATAACGGTGTCGACGATGTTGGGAGAAAGCCCAGAGAGAGAGGAGCGTCTCTCACAGATCAACTTACCACCTAAACTCAAACAGCTTTTGATGTTCCAATCTCCAGTTTCATTTCTTCCTGTCAGTGATTGGAGCAAGATTTCCTTGTGTTATGATCCGGTTGATTATGAAACATTGCAACGACCTCGACCTTTGATGCATCACTGGCCTATGGGCATTAATCTTGTTAGCTAAAATGGTTCTATTTTCATCGCTTTATACCATATTATATTACATCATCTGCCATCTTCAACCAAGCTATGCATGTATACAGCATCTCACATAATCCTGCAGCAAAATTAAGACATGTGGATCTAGTCATTGAGATTTAGTTGGTTTTTTTTTAGTCTAGGGAGGATGTAGACAATATATAAATACATCGGGGGAGGGGGGGGGGAGTAGGGCTGGGTCACCATAATAAACATACACAAATAAATTACAAAAGTTAAGAACAAAACAACTTATATAAAATGCAAAAATTCTACAAATAAGCAAAATTTATAACTTTTTATAAGCCTTCACGTTTTTTATTATTCATTTGTAAATTTGTCTATGCTAATCACTAGATCCACTTATGCAATACAACACTGCAACACAAAAACACTGACTTCAAATACACAACATCTTTGTACTTTTAACCATACATTTTATTTACAATCACCAGACATAATTATGTTTGACATCTAAGTTGTTGAAGGCAGAAAGTTGAGCTAGAATGTTTATATAAGCTTCTATTAATTAAAAATGATAAGAATTCTAAAACGGTTTTCATTGGTATACTATAACATGGTTACATATAAAATGATTACGACTCTAGTTGCAATTGTGTTCAATGTTTAGCCTGTTGCTGTGTTACTGTTGTCTTGTTGGTCACTTATTGTAATGTTTGTCTGATGTGTAGATGTTAGGATTCTATTGGGATTTTGCAATATGATAATATACAAAGGTTAACACTTAATTTTAATCACCAGTTTTTAACAGACAACTGACAATTTCAGTCAACACACAAACCCACACACAACTACACATTTCAGCCCCCCCCCCACACAACTGCACATTTCAGCCCCCCCCCCCCCCCCAAAAAAAAAAAACACCTCACACATAACTGCACATTTCTATCTCCACACACATAACTGCTCATTTTAGTTTACAAACCCACACATAACTACACATTTCAGTCACCACACACACACAACTTTACATTCCAGCCCCCCCCCCCCCCACACTACTGCACATTTCAGTCCCCCCACAAGCCACTGTTCAATCCATTAAACCTTCCTCCACTGTGTGGATGAAGAGACCACCTACACCCCAGTCTGTATACCTGAGCCCCGCTGCTACCTGGACAGGTACACGTTGTGTACGAGTACCTGTACATATTGCCCATCTCCTCCCTGTGTACCCAGTGACCTACAGAGACCTGTTTACAACAGCCATGAGGATGTGACACTATAATGGTCAGCTTGTCCACATCTCGACGACTTTGGTATATGTCACTTACACGTAGTTCATTATAGGTCAATACCATTTCCTCGAGTTTAACCGCCACTTGTAAATCATGAGTTGCACAACACAACCAACACCAGTAGCCGTCACAGCAACTATCCACCCATCAATGTTAACGACTGGACTTTGATCATCATCATACTATAATCTACATCTAGACTGTCTCGCCTCACTGTCAAACACCATTTTATATCCACTTTTCGCTAATCTTTTCGCTAATCTCTCACATATTAATCGGTATATAAGAACATTTGAATTCCTTAAATAAAGATGCAAAAGTAATTATTTGCAACAAAATGTTATTTGTTCATACTTTTAAAAAATTGGCCAAATCAGTTGTCAATCAAAATAAACAATACACGTTTTAAAAAATATTACAATTAAAAATAAATTAATGGTTGAACACAATGTAAAACATACTTGGCAACTTTATGTAAATAAACACATGTTAGAAAATCGTTCTCCCCTCTCACATCATGTTCAGCACACGCAGGCTGAAGGTAATGCGTTAGAGCAACAAATAAAAAAATAATTAAAGTAATAGCGGCCAAAATAAAAAATAAAAAAAAAACACTCCAAAAAATAAACAACATTAACCAGGAATGTCCAATAATAACTAACAATAATCAATAATAACCATCTATAGCCAACGGGATTCAATAACAATAGAAGGAAGATTGTGGAGGAGTTTGTTTACCATGGCAACAAGAGCAGACAATCTGGTGTCACAGATGAGAGGTAAGAAGTGCATGAATTAAGATACCAGTTACTTCTTCACTGTTCTGTGGCTTGTATGGAAAACTACTGCCAACTCTACAACATTAAAGATTAGGCTACTGTAATTACACGTGAAGACGATCTTAATGTTTGGAGCATAAAACTGTAGTCTCCAAGATGAGCACAAATAGGACACGGATCTTTACAAACAGCAGTCTTTGAAGATCCTGGGATTAAGAAGGCAGGACACAGAGTTCTTTACACAAACATGAGGAGAAGTAAAAAAATGTGTCTTGGGCAGCGAAGACGAGACAATGAAAGTGGCGCTGGATTGGGCGAAGACAACAACATAACATTTATAAAGTCTGGGGCTTTGAGTGGAACACCCAGGGGTGTGTAGGGAAAGGCGCTCAAGACAGGCCTGGAGAAAGAATTTTCTGGAATAATTTAAAACCGTAGGGTTGTCTAGCGAGACGACACCACAGCCAAGGATCGGGTAACTGGGAAGAGAATGGATCAAGACCTACACCACACAAGGAGCAAAGAGAAAAATGTCAAGACTTGCTAGCTCTATCTATTCACCAAAGCGTTCAATTATATGATAGTTTTAGTCTAAATAACAGCGTAATTGTGCATTAAACTTATTTCTATAAAAAGTATATAAACATTAATGCAAGTTGTAATTGTACTTGACCGCTTTATATTTTGACCACATATGGTCAGCAAGGTTCGTGTTGACATTTAGGTAAGTGAAGTATCGTCACCTTCATTTTTGAAGTATCGATATCAAATTCTAAATATAATCGAGTCTGGAAATTAGAGATGTGTCGATTGTGACGATTAAAAGCGAAACGTTGAGTGGGTTTTTCTTTAAAGGCCAAACACTCAAACGTAACAATAATTTTATCGCGTGCCATTTTTAATTTTTTTTTTTTCAAAAGTTTAATATGATTACATAGATTTCGCAAGCAGGCAGAGTTATGCAGTAACGAGATGTAACTCCCATATTTCACCAACTTCTTCAATAGATCAATACGATTTTCTATGAAAGCTATAGAAACACCATTTTTAAATTCCATGGCTTCAGCTTTGTTTTTTCCGATAAGAAATTCTTCACCCTCCACAACAGCATCCAAGAAACCAAAATGTTGTGCCATTTCTAAAGCCTGAATCCCGTTTTGACAAGACAGGAAAGCGCCACGTTGAAGCAGTTCTAGTACAGCAGTTGTGTGCCCCTTGTCGACAGCAAGCGACAAAGCTGTATATCGGCCATCAAATGATCTGCTGACATTCAGATCAGCGCCAGCTTTAATCAGAGCTCTAAAAACTTGGAGATTTTTTCGTTCTATAGCCAACATTAGGGCTGTGTCTCAACTGCTGGTCATTCTATTAATGAGGTATTTATTCTATAGCCAACATTAGGGCTGCGTCTGCACTGCTGGTCATTCTATTAATGAGGTATTTATTCAACTCTGCACCAGTCTGAGCAGCTTTGTAAATCTCATTGACCGCCCTTTGACCTCCCTCGTTAAAATACATTTTGGTGCATTAAGATCAAAATAAAACTCAACATTTATTCCACGATTTTCATATAGTACTCGCTCTTAAAGTTCCTCAAAACAAACTTAAAAACTACCGAGTTCTCGATAATAAAAATCCAATGCAACATCTTGTTAAACAAAAGTATAATGCATGTCTTATATTTATTTGTATTTCAACGATAAGTTCCTAATTTTTCCTCTCATTACATTTATAATTTATAAAGCTATAATTTTTTTTAAAATGCTAGGGTAAGTTGATATTAAGACAAATTTTTCCTCCATAAAAACATCAGGTTTATTAAAGGAGTCGCTTATAACAAGAAGTTTTTGCGGTATAAGTTGACAAAGCATTTGATGGCTCGATTATAGATCTTTAGATCCAAATTGTTTGACTAAGTCTCATTGACAATTTTTGTTCTTGTGTATAGGCCTACTTGATTTTAAAAAATAACACGAGTCTCTAAAAAGGGAAATTTATTGTATTCCCACCTACTTGGAAAAAGATATAAAATAAAAAAAATCCTTGACAATGGAAAATCAAAATGACAAATTTTCGAATCAACTGAACATATTTCTTTAAAAAATTTGCAGGGGGCGGAAAAGGAAGTTAGTTATTTTTTTGAAAAATAAAATAGGAAACTTAAACTACATTTAAATAAAACAAATATTACAAACCTTTATAATAATAAGCTTTTAACTAATGCACTGAAAAAAAATGTCTTTTTAGTAAATGCTTTTAATTAAAGAAAAATAAAGTTATATTTTCTTATTTTCAATGCATTTGAAAGCTTGTTATTATAAAATAATACATTTTAATATCAACGTGACCTCACGAACATATTCTTGAATATCTTTTCAGATTAACGCAAACAATCGAGATTTTTAAAAATCATTTCTGTCATCCCGGGTTTGAGTTTGTTCTGGCGATTTGTAAAGCAAAAGAAATAAAAGCTGTTAATAAAAACGTATTAAATACATTAAAAATTAATAAAACAGAAAAAAAAACATTACTGTACAGACAAAACACGTTAGTCGAAGTGTTTTATTTTCATTGTTATAAGATAATTAACTTTCCACGTTAAGCAATACTTACGCCAGTTTGCATACATTCAAAGTAATAACCCCTCCCCCCCCCCTAGAATTGTTGGTTTTTCAAATCACTATTACACGCATGAGGTTACGTATCTGTCTGGATTTTGTTCAGCCTTCAGTCAATAGCTGTGGTAGGGGGTTTGCCTACTATTGCCATTCGTGGTATGGTGTTTGCCTACTATTGCAATTCGTGGTATGGTGTTTGCCTACTATTGCCATTCGTAGTATGGTGTTTGCCTACTATTGCCATTCGTGGTATGGTGTTTGCCTACTATTGCCATTCGTGGTATGGTGTTTGCCTACTATTTCCATTCGTGGTATGGTGTTTGCCTACTATTGCCAATCGTGGTATGGTGTTTGCCTACTAATGCCATTCGTGGTATGGTGTTTGCCTACTATTGCCATTCGTGGTATGGTGTTTGCCTACTATTGCCATTCGTGGTATGGTGTTTGCCTACTATTGCCATTCGTGGTATGGTGTTTGCCTACTATTTCCGTCGGTGGTATGGTGGTTACCTACTAGTACATGATTTTAAAAATATTTATTGGGTCCATGAGAAGCTTAAACTATTTTCCGCAAAAACTGAATTATGATGTCATCAAATTAAGCGTAAACATAAGTAAATAGCGAAAAAAGCGCCGGATAAATGGACTGATGAACAAGAAAAGTATTGAGATAACTAAATACGCAGATAAAGCTAGGTGTATTTGTGTCCTGGCTAATGATTATTCAGAGCGCATTTGTCATTTAATAGCAGTGCGCAAACTATTAGTAAAGAAAAATTAACTAATGATGTCATCAAAATAAGGGTAAAAAAACAAGAATAGCCATGACAGTACGCATTAATTTCATGTTGTAAACAAACTTCCGTCAAATTTTATTGTTTTGAATAAGGGTGTACTCTGGTTGGCCAATCTGTGTATAATGTTTTGGTCAGTTGAATACAACTGAGTGAGTATTTCATTCACGTAACAATCTGATGGCATCAGAAGTATTTCATTGTCAATTTGAATTTTAAATATTTTTTTTTACATTTGATTTGAGATTACACACACATAGAGTCTAGAATAGTGTTTAAAATCTATTCTAGATCTCATTCTCGAGGTTCTACTATTGCTAGAGTCTAGCTTATAGATGTAAATGTGTGAAACACTCTAGGGTTTCTGCTAGAATAAAATTAAATGTGTGCAGTACTATACAGCCTACATATTTTATGGCGCTGATTGGCAAAACTATAAGTTTACATTTTAGTACTTAATTTGCGAAACTACATTTTCTTCGGGTTGTTGAATGTAGTGTATACTTGTAAGTGTGTAGAGACCAGTACATTTATACGGAGGTGTGATTTAAATTAACACAAGTCCTGTAGGACAAAATTATCGTCGTAGACTACCAGAATCGAGAAGATATTACTTTGAATAACAAGGCAGACTTTACAACTTTGACACATCTATTTCACAGGGTGCCTCCTCTAGAGAACCAGTGGAAGGAAAGTCAAAACCAGATTTCAGTCGTAAAGATCGTCAGTCAACTTTAAGAAAAATGTCAGTAGGAAAACGAAAACGAGAATGTGAACGATTGTTTCAAAAAGGCGATGTTAATGCGTGTTCAGAAGGAGACTTTCCACGTTTGTCAAAGGCTGTAGAACTTGACGATGTGGAACTTGTCAAAAACATCCTACATCGTGGAGCTGACGTTAACAAAACGGACAAGAATGGGAGGACGTGTCTTCATGTTGCCGTCTCCAAGATGAAAGAGTTTAATAGCTTTAATGTTCCAGATAAAATTTTACAACCTCGACTAACACAGAATAGAATTAACAAATCGTTAGAAATATTAAAGATACTACTGGCTCACGAGCTTGATGTTAACGTCAGTGACAACTACAGGAAAACAGCTTTACATTACAGTGTGGAATATGAACAGTTAGAATTTACTAACATGCTGCTTGAGACAGGGGCTGACGTAAATTTACTTGATGACAACCATGAAACGCCTTTAATAATCGCGTCTCGTTTATATCTCAACATACATAATATGAAGTCTGGTGTCGGTAGAGAAGACATATCTGTCTATAGAGGTAGAGTCCAATCAACAGTTAGTTTAGGGTCTAGGCTCGAATATTCGGCCAAAATAGTAGCCTCTCTCATCACTCCAGCTACCCGTGTGGACATTGCTGACAAAGATGGCTACACGGCCTTACATTTTGTTGACCAGACGGACAACGTTGATCTAGTTGAACGTTTGCTTGTTGCGGGGGGCGATGTCAGAGATGCAGCGAACAACAAAGTAGCAGTTCTGCATCTTGCAGCGAAAAACGGCTCCTGTGATATTATGGATATTCTTTTAAATGATCCTCACATTTCAGATGTCATTAACGCAAGAATGACAACGCTACATAAAAAATCCAGCAAACGTCTGAAGAGGCACCATGTCCAAGAACGTTTGGGTCACAGTCCGGAAGAGAAAATTTATTTTTTAGATCGCAATGACAGACGTTCACAAGTTTGTCTAAATACTTTGTCTGGTAAAACCGCTTTAATGGTTGCGTTAGAGAACAGCAACGAGCAGACAGCTTTGAAATTGTTGTCTCGTGACCCTGACCTTAATGTCCTCACAGATGAAGGTTACACAGCGTTGCACTTCGCTGCACTTGGATCATGCACAGACGTAGTGCGGCATTTGCTACAAGCAGGATGTAATGTAAACGTACAGACAGAAGAAGGACACACGCCTTTAATGTTTGCTGGAAATAAAGAGATTGCTCTTATGCTGTGTGATGCAGGTGCTGACGTGAATTTGGTGGATAAAAACGGCGACAAAGCTTTACACCTGGCGATATACAGAAGCGAATCGGACGTTGCTCAAGTTTTGATAAACAAAGGCGCTGTTATTGATGGAAACGTACCTGAACCTCTGCCGCCTCTGGTATTGGCTGCAGCTCTGAATGAGATCGCCATTGTCAATATGTTACTTCAAGCTGGAGCTAACGTTAACGTCTTGTCTTCTTATGGAATATCTCCATTGATGGCAGCAGCAGCTTGTAATACCGATGGTTACAATAACTCCGAAATATTTCAAATCCTCCATGAACACGGAGCTGACTTTAACATGACAGGCAAGAAAGGCAGAACAGCTCTCATGTATTTAGTAAAGCGCGGCAATATGCTGGCTCATTTAGAAACACTTGTATCGTTTGGAGCCGACCTTGACGTCAAAGACAGATACAACGAATCAGCCCTAATCCACTGTTTATCGCACACACATCAGCGGTTGTGGTGTTCAGAAATGTTGCTAAATGCAGGAGCTAATCCTGTGGTTGGATCAGAGTATCGCCACCTGTTGGGTAAGCTTGTATTGAGAGACGAACGCCCGGCCTGGAATAGAGATAATATTAAACCTATGCAAATACTTGAGCTCATTGTCTTCAACCGTTTATATAATTACCTTCGAATGCTGGTGTGTAACGGTGTTGTATTAAAATGTTTAGATCGTGTAAAAAACAATGGAGAAACAGAGAAGAGGACAGCTATGATGTTAGCTCTAGAGAATCACAATCTTGACGTGACAAAATATCTTCTAGCAACTTGCTACTTGACGGTACACGATCTCAGAGGACTACGCCAGTTTGACCAATCAGAATTGTATCCATACGCTAGATATGAGCTAAAAAATGTCATATTCGAGGCGATTACCGAACCCTGGCCCCTGGTCAAACTTGCTTTTATAACGGTGTCGACGATGTTGGGAGAAAGCCCAGAGAGAGAGGAGCGTCTCTCACAGATCAACTTACCACCTAAACTCAAACAGCTTTTGATGTTCCAATCTCCAGTTTCATTTCTTCCTGTCAGTGATTGGAGCAAGATTTCCTTGTGTTATGATCCGGTTGATTATGAAACATTGCAACGACCTCGACCTTTGATGCATCACTGGCCTATGGGCATTAATCTTGTTAGCTAAAATGGTTCTATTTTCATCGCTTTATACCATATTATATTACATCATCTGCCATCTTCAACCAAGCTATGCATGTATACAGCATCTCACATAATCCTGCAGCAAAATTAAGACGTGTGGATCTAGTCATTGAGATTTAGTTGGTTTTTTTTTTAGTCTAGGGAGGATGTAGACAATATATAAATACATCGGGGGAGGGGGGGAGTAGGGTTGGGTCACCATAATAAACATACACAAATAAATTACAAAAGTTAAGAACAAAACAACTTATATAAAATGCAAAAATTCTACAAATAAGCAAAATTTATAACTTTTTATAAGTCTTCATGTTTTTTATTATTCATTTGTAAATTTGTCTATGCTAATCACTAGATCCACTTATGCAATACAACACTGCAACACAAAAACACTGACTTCAAATACACAACATCTTTGTACTTTTAACCATACATTTTATTTACAATCACCAGACATAATTATGTTTGACATCTAAGTTGTTGAAGGCAGAAAGTTGAGCTAGAATGTTTATATAAGCTTCTTTTAATTAAAAATAATAACAATTCTAAAACGGTTTTCATTGGTATACTATAACATTGTTACATATAAAATGATTACGACTCTAGTTGCAATTGTGTTCAATGTTTAGTCTGTTGCTGTGTTAATGTTGTCTTGTTGGTCACTTATTGTAATGTTTGTCTGATGTGTAGATGTTAGGATTCTATTGGGATTTTGCAATATGATAATATACAAACGTTAACACTTAATTTTAAATCACCAGTTTTTAACAGACAACTGACAATTTCAGTCAACACACAAACCCACACATAACTACACATTTCAGTCGCCATACACACAAAACTTTCTATTCCAGTCCCCCCACACTACTGCACATTTTAGTCCCCCCACAAGCCACTGTAGTTCAATCCATTAAACCTTCCTCCACTGTGTGGATGAAGAGACCACCTTCCCCCCAGTCTGTATACCTGAGCCCCGCTGCTACCTGGACAGGTACATGTTGTGTACGAGTACCTGTACATATTGTCCACCTCCTCCCTGTGTACCCAGTGACCTACAGAGACCTGTTTACAACAGCCATGAGGATGTGACACTATAATGGTCAGCTTGTCCACATCTCTACGGCTTTGGTACCTCTCACTTACATTTTCACATAGTTCATTATAGGTCAATACCATTTCCTCGAGTTTAACTGCCACTTGTAAATCATGAGTTGCACAACACAACCAACACCAGTCCCCTTTAATAGCCGTCACAGCAACTATCCACCCATCAATGTTAACGACTGGACTTTGATCATCATCATACCATAATCTACATCTGGACTGTCTCGCCTCACTGTCATCAAACACCACATGTCTGGCTGTCATGACCTCTACCAACCACCACAGTTTGCTGGGTGTGTCCGAGTGGTCACATTCAGGACATGGACACGTTCTGTATGTGCCAAGACCATAAGGCATTTTTGGTGTGTACTTGATAACATTACACACCCTGCCCGTCCCTGTCCGAAGGGTGTTCTTTCCCCTGGTGCTGTAGAAAGGATATGGATCTTTCGTACCTGTTATAAACTCTGGTCTGTCAGGACTGGGGAAGTTAACGTCTATCCTCACTGTTAAGTCAGACAGAGCTTTTGTCAGTTCATCAATGTCGTTCTCCATAAAACTAGAAGGAAAATGATCTAATCGTAACTCAGTCACAGGTATGAAACCTTTATGGCCAGGATTTTCTTACATTTTACCAGGTGTGTGTGTAGATCAGTTTCACCTTGACCTTCGAGGCACTCTTGTACTTCTCAGAAATTCTCCGAGAGAGTACTTGAAACTTACAAGTGAAGGGGCGAACTGTTAAAGTATGTTTTCTTAAAAGTGATGCATGAAAGACTCTCTGTGTCAAAGACAATACCCCCCCCCTCCACTACCTGCTTCCATCAGCTACCCCACTCCTAAATACTTCAGCATTATTGGAACCATTTAAAAAAAGAGACACCTGATATTTTAATTCATCCAGCAGCCTGATTTTCTAACTTACTGAAGCAATCACAATTGAATTCAATTGTTAAATTAAAACAACAAATAAAACCAAATGTATTTTACTTTATTTGCTATTGATCTTACAGTTTTCTTTTCACCTTATTAATTAAATATTCTATCACCCTATTAAAACTCTTACAGGAACAGACATGTCTTTAACATGATATTAACTTGGATTAAAAGCTGCGCAAGGGTTTTTCCAAGTTACTTCTTGTTGATGCTTACACTATAAGAGTACAAGCACAAAACCATGTCCTTTCACAAACTGTGTCCTTAGGTAAAAACAATGTCCTCACACAAAATCATGTCCTTTTAACAAAGTGTGTTGTTACATACAACCATGTCCTAACAGCAAATAATGTCCTCATGCCAAGTCATGTCCTAAAGCGGCCCCTAAGTACATAGATATAAACCTACTACTGCCAGGAATTGTTCATGTTGTTTACATGTACATCAAACCTATTTATAATGAAGTAAATTAAAAAAATGAAATGAATAATATCCCGAAAACACTTCCTGATCCAGTATATAGACAATAAACCTACTACTGCCAGGAATTGTTCATGTTGTGTACATGTACACCAAATCCTATCCTAATTAAACTAAAATAAATTAATGAATTATATCCTCAAAACACTTCCTAATCCAGTATATAGACCAGGGGTCTCCAAACTTTTCAGTCCGAGGGCCGCATTAACTATCAAATTTCAGTTAGGGGGCCAGTTTCTTCCAGGCATGTCTTTTATTTTTCTGGGCAAAGTTCCTCAGCCATCACCAACAAACGTTTTTTTCCGTGGACAAAAAGATCTTCGCGGGCCGGATGAGAGGACCTCGAGGGCCGCATCCGGCCCGCGGGCCGTAGTTTGGAGACCCCTGATATAGACAATAAACCTACTACTGCCAAGAATTGTTGTTCATGTGTACATGTACACCAAATCCTATCCTAATTAAACTAAAATAAATTAATGAATTATATCCTCAATACACTTCCTGATCCTGTATATAGACAATAAACCTACTACTGCCTGGAATTGTTCATGTTGTTTACATGTACATCTAACCTATTTAGAATGAAGTAAATTAAAAAAATGAAATGAATAATATCCCGAAAACACTTCCTGATCCAGTATATAGACAATAAACCAACTACTGCCTGGAATTGTTCATGTTGTGTACCATGTAGGCTGACACCAAACAATGTCCTTATATAAAAACTGTGTCCTTCACCAAACTGTGTCCTTACATAAGAACTGTGCCCTTACACCAAACTGTTTTCTTACAACAAACTGTGTCCTTACACCAAACTGTTTTCTTACACCAAACTGTGTCCTTACACCAAACTGTGTCCTTACACCAAGCTGTGTCCTTACACCAAACTGTTTTCGTACACCAAACTGTGTCCTTACACCAAACTGTTTTCTTCCACCAAACTGTGTCCTTACACCAAACTGTTCTTACACCAAGCTGTGTCCTTACACCAAACTGTCCTTACACCAAGCTGTGTCCTTACACCAAACTGTCCTTACACCAAACTGTCCTTACACCAAGCTGTGTCCTTACACCAAACTGTCCTTACACCAAGCTGTGTCCTTACACTAAACTGTGTCCTTACACCAAACTGTCCTTACACCCAATTATTCTTACATCAAACTGTTTTCTTACACCAAACTGTTTTCTTACAACAAACTGTGTCCTTACACCAAACTGTGTCCTTACACCAAGCTGTGTCCTTACACCAAACTGTGTTCTTACAACAAACTGTGTCCTTACACAAATTCAAATCACACCCTGATACAGTGTATAGACAAGAATCTACTACTACCAGGACATATATAAGTATTGTACTTATTTATGTATGTGTACATGTACAAGTATTGTACTTATTCATGTATGTGTACATGTACAAGTATTGTACTTATTTATGTATGTGTACATATATAAGTATTGCACAGAAACCCAGAATCAAACTCCTTAACATCCTGCTTGAGTACCCAGTGACCTACAGATACCAGCACAGAACAGCCATGATGATATGAATCTAAGATGTTCAGCTTTCCCCGCTCACCATGACTCAAGTATTTGCTGTCTGCTTTCAGTTTATCACCAGCATGTGAGTCAAGTGTCACACGACACAGAGGGCAGAAGTTTCTTTGTGTAGGTGATGGCCATCCATATAGTCTGACCACTTTACTTTTATCAACATCAAACCATAATCTACAGCGAGAACAAACTTTGGGTGTGTCTGAGTGTTCACATTCAGGACATGGACAAGTTCTGTAGTTGATCATTCTGTCTGTGTACCTAGCTACACCTCAACCTGTAGTGAGTTCTGTCCCCTGGTATTGTAGCAAGGATATAGATCTTTAAAACCTAGTACAAACTCTTGATAGTCTAAACGGGTGGACTTAATGGCTATCTTGAACCATTAAGTCAGCCACAGCTTTTATAAGGTCATCATCGTCATGGAAACCAGAAGGAAAATGTCCTAAATTTTATGGTACAAATTCTGCATGCCCAGGATTTTGTTTACAACATCCCAGGTATTTGTGTAGAACTATCTCACCTTGCTTTTAAAAACAGTCTACTTTATGCACACCTGTAAATGAAAAAAAAAAGTTTAATTTTTAGGAATTAATTTTTAAAATATTACAGCAGAGGCGTAGCGACCCTTCCCGGCGCCCGGGGACAAACTTTCGATTTGCACCCCCCTCGAACTTTTCATTTGCAACCCCCTCAAACTTTCAATTTGGCGCCCCCCTAAGGTCAGCACCCAGGGACATATGTCCCCCCCCCCCCACCCCCCCCTCGCTACCCCTCTGTATTACAGAATACTCATTTATTCATGCAGTTAAAAAAGAGGTCATTAATTCTATTGTGTGATGAGACAAGAAGTAGTCTGATCTTGCTTAGCTCTAATAGGTAAAGAGAATTCAATTAAAGGGAAATTAGGGTAACAATCAAATATAATATTAATAATTAACTGTTCAAAGGAAAGTAAAGAATTCAATACATTGAGAAGATGAGACCTAACATTAAACCTAGGGTAAGGTTTCAAGTGCAGCTACATTTGATTGCAATGAAAACCTTTAGATCTAGAATCTATATTCTAGATCTACACTCTATATCTATTAAAAATTGATAGGCTAATATTCAACTAATAATATAGTTAGATTAAGATATTACTAATGTTAGGGCCTATATTAGGCCTATATTTAAAATCTAATAAATGCGATCTAATAAATACGATAATTTTGTTAAATAGCCTACAAATATTTAATAATAAAGATCTACTCTAGATCTAGCTCTACTCCTCTAGACGTAGTCTACAATCTTAGCCCTTAGGCAAGTAATTTTTCTTGTTCAGGCATGTTTGGGTGTCACCATTGGAATTGCCGACTAGATCTAGATCTAGGCCCTGCTAACACTTTTCATAAAAATAACTAAAATATCTAATTCTAGATATACTCTAGATCTAGATCTACCTAGATCTTTAGATCTAGCAATTACTTTAAATCGTATTTATTGTTCGATATGTTGAAATAGGATAGGCCTACATATTTAAATAATAGATTACCTGTAATAGTCAAATCACCTTCAATGACAGACGACAGCTCCGCACCGTGTGTAGCCTGGTTAGCAATCGCGTCGTGCTGTGTTACAAAGGTCAAGTCGACTACTAGGCCCTAACAATAAGGCCCTAAGACTTAAATAGTATTCTCGGTTACTTCCCTTGCCCTAAACATATGGCCGTAATACTTAAATATTAATCTCGGTTACTTCCCTTTACCTTTTATTATCTGTTTTAGGAGGGTTGACTTTCTTCTTTATTGAACATGTTTGTTTTAAATATAGGCCCTTTTGTATTAGCCTAACTATTCAATAGTTTTAGGTTAATTTAGACCTAGCCCAAGGAGATATGTTGGTAAAAAAAAAAAGAAAAAAATGTGAATAAATCAAAACATTTTTAAAATTGTTTTCCTAAAATCCTAACCAGTGGCGTTGCCAGGTCGGGCACCACTTCGTGGTGTCACCCCCCCCCCCCCAAGAAACAAAGTATATATATATAGGCTCTGTCGGCCTATAATTTAAAGATATGACACAAACGCGTGCATGTATGTATATAAACTTTAATCACTGCAGACTTAGTAGTATCGATGTTTATCAATAGTCTGATAATAATATAGTTGGATGTTGCATTTTCTGTATAGTTAGCACGTTTACGTCATGGTGTCACCCCCACCCTCTTGTGATAATTGTCAATTTGTACTTTAAAGACTAACTTTAATTAATCATTAATTCAACTGGCAAAAGGCACTTTTTTACCAGAACATTTTGCCCTGGTGTCATCCGGTGCGGTCCCCAACACCCCCCCCCCCCTCTGTTCCTAACGAACTCAACTAAAAACAAACGTACAGCGCCAATGTTACTAAGCCCTGCCTACATTGTCTCTTCCGTACATCACTGAGTTCACCCAGCTGTAATGGGTATCTGACATGAGTTGTTGAAAAGTAAAGGCAACTGGACATACTGATGGTTAAGTTTTGTTGCTTCAACTTCAATCAGAAAATTCCCATTTGATAAAATAAAATAGCAACAAAAAAAAAACAACAAAACACACCCCTGTTGATTGCCACTGAAAATTATCTTTATTAAAATAAAAGATCAGTCAATGACTCACTCACCCCCGTACACACTCTATCTAGTTACTGACATTATGACACGTTTAGAAGGGAAGGATAAAATACCCACACACACACATATATTGTGTGGACACCCACACAAAACCGCATGGTGACAGGTCCCTCACAAGAATGTGTGGTATGGGCACTAACAGCTGTGTGGTCACTCACACAATTGTGGTGAGTGAATCAACATACACACCTTACCATCAAGAACAAACTATACACATTCTTTACACATGGGTAGAGTAAGAAAATGTACACAAACTGTACAAGTTACAACAGTTGATGACTGAACAAAATGTACACACACAAATTTAAAGCTCAACAACAAAAGTTGCTAGTGGAATAACAAAACTGATTTGGGTGCTCCCAACCACATTTGACATGGAGGGCAGAAACAATTACACCAATAATTACTGGGATTAAGTCATTACACAATGTAGTGTATGTACAGAAATTATGGCCATTCATTTTTCTATCCATATTCAAAATCAACCTGATATATGTACAAACAAAACAGATGGTTGACCAATGTGGCAAGGTGAGGACATGACACATAGTTAGCCAGTCACATGATAGACTCTGGGGCACCATGTGATGGTCACATGATAGACTCTGGCCACCATGTGATGTTCACATGATACACGCTGGCCACCATAAGATAGTCACATGACACACTCTGGCCCACCATGTGATGGTCACATGATACACACTGGGCCACCATAAGATAGTCACATGATACACTGGGCCAACATATGATGGTCACATGATACACGATACACTATTGGCCATCTCATGACAGTACTTAAATACAAAAACATCCCCCACAGTAAAAATAGTTGATCAACTGAATGTAAGACAGAAAGACTTGGAGCTTGACAACAACACAACCTGTTGCACTTAACTTACTGGGGCAGAAAATGGCACAAAAATTTTTTTTTTTTAAATTTGATCTATGTAGGAATACATCTATGATGAAAAATTTGTAAGTCAGGACATTTGCTAAAATCTCATATTAGAACACAAAAACAATTGTATCTAAACACCCCACTCTATAAAATAACGTTTGAAGAATGAATAAACAGTGAACAATAGTAAATTGTTAGCGGGGACTTGGTTTGCCACAGATAAAATGCATTCTGTAATTATCTCAACATAGCAATCATGGCTTTAGCAAGTATTCCTAATGACAATCAAGTGAAAGAACTGACCAGCAAGCAGAAAATAAAAGATGGAAAATATCAGCATGACACATCATAAAGCCAACAGATTTCATGGAGTTCGACATATCAAACAATGATCAAATAGTACACAAATCATCAATGTGTTGAAACAGCTGAGCAAATCTTACAAAAAACTACTGTAATTCCCAATAGTTATCACTGTTTTTACATAAAATCACAATCTTACTGTAGACACTTAAAAAATTAATTTTAAAAATAATTAATTAAAAAAAAAATTTACAAAAAGATATTTAATGCATATAGACCCAGAATGCAGAGAAATCTTTTTGTTAGAAGATAAAAACACCAATAAATAAACAAAAAAACATCTAGTTTAAAAAAAAATAAGACAAACATTTGGTCCAGTTTCAACAGCTGCAGTCAACAACTAAGTCATTCAGACAAAGGTGGGAGAATTTATGGCCAGGTAATATATGACTCAAACAGTTAGAGGGAAAAAAAACATTTCTAGACAATAAATAGAAATGTACAGCTAGAAGAAATAGGGAATGATAAAACTGTGGCTAAAAGTCAGAAAAGAAGAAACCACATAAAGTATGATATATTCTATCTGAATAGTAAGTGTATCAATGGCAAAAGCTCATTTGATTGGTGGTATAATATATGAAATGTCAAAGTTCATGACTAACAAAGAAAACATGAGAAAGAACAGACAATACAGTGCTGTGCATGTAAACATTACAGTTGTAACCATGTTGAAGATTTGACTTTGATTGATTACAGTAAAAACATTTTCAAATTAGAAGAGAAAAAACAAAACATGTCCTTTACTGACCAAGTAACTGGCCATGACTTTGGTGCAAAGCAATGGATTTTAAACAGCTTAAAGAATTAAGCATTGATCCAGCGTGACTGAGACAAATTCAAATTACAACTTTTTATATATATTTTTTTTACAGTCAGGAATAAATTTATGAAAATTATAATGTGGAAATTGTTTAAATTAAGAGAAAAAAATTGTTAAGAAATTTTTCTTTTGAAAATTACTAGGCTTGACATAACTATTAAATTAATAATAACAATGATTAAAAATTTTCATCACAAAGAGCAGAAGGCTAAAAAAAAAAACAATAGGGTAGTGAAATAGCAAACAATGCAAACACATATAAATTATATCACAACAAACCTGGCAATGCAGAGTTGTCTGCATTCAAACACATCTGATGAAAATTGGCCATATGAAAAATATTGCTCAAGTTTTACATTTTTTCTGTTTGGCAAACCATTCAATATTTTTAGGGAATGATAATCATGCCAAATGAATTTTAAGTCTACATTTAACTAAATGCACATGCTAATGATTGTCTTCTGTGCTAACAATACAATCAAACTTGATTCACTGACAATGTATCTGTACACCCATGCTGAAATTGTCCTAAGTCACAAGAGAGTTATTGCCCATCTTTAGCTGATATAAGTAACTAAATCTATTCAAACACACACATCAAAACTTGGCCATGGTTGAGTATTCACAAACAACAGTAAAAACCTTGAGACATGAAGAATTTGGTTCAAATCCATGATATTGTGACAAAACAAAAACAACCAACTGCTGGAACAGCCTGTGACATTGTCAAAAGCTTGGTGTGGCATCATGGGAAATGTTCAAATGAAATCTTGGTAATCCTCACCTTATAGGCAAGCAGGGACTAGCAATGTACACTGAATTAAATTCTACTACACTGTTGCACCAACTCTAACATCTTCTAGTAAGAGGTAATCAAAGCTTGGTTTATCTACTCGAGAGGTCGCGGGTGAACATGTGATCATAATATCCATTTGACCTCTCTCCGATATTTGTACAATATTTGTCCGTCACATGACTATCACGAGGTATCCACCAGTGTTATTATACTAGGAGTCACATGCTTTTGTAAAATCATCTGTGATTGGTCAGAACTGAATGTGACAAACACAGACAAATTGTTCAAGTTGTAAGTGCCGGGGTGGGCCATTCCTGCTTTCAGGGACAAATGTGAACTCTGACCTTTGCCTAAGCTCAAGGTGGCCTGAGTGAGACCTATCCACCGCACTGACTGGGTGGCCAAAGAGGGTGACTGCAGGCCGTCCGATGTGGCCAAACTGTCTGGGGTTTTGCTAGTGTCGATCATGACTCTAACCTCTTTTTCTGTGTGGTTTTGGACGGTCAGCCCCACCACAACCACACAAATGCCTTTAGAGAAAGCGTGCTCCTTCTGGTGTGGGTGGGTGTATGAATACGACACCAGCCTCGTGGTCACCTCTGGGTTGGGAGCTAGTTTTTCATCCTGCTCTGAGTCCTTGGTGAACTTCAGCAGGGGCTTGCTGACCGGAACAAGAGGTATGGGGTAGGAGATGGACACAGTGTTCAGCCGGTCAACATGCACATGGTGTTGACCAACAACGATTTTCATCTGCCCGCTCTCCTGGACTACGTAGGCCTTCCACAGGAACACAAGAGTTAGCTTGACCATGATGGCAGATTCCAAAGACTCATTGGACTCTGGCACTTTAAGTCTGGACTTGGGGTTGTTCTGGTGGCTGTCTCTGCTGTCCGTGGCGCTGCCGTTGAGGGTCTGGTGGCGCAACCAGCTGCGGACAAAGAAGTCTGAGCAGGGGCTGCAGGATGTGTTCACCTGGTCTCTGTCAAACGCTACCTCACTGAAGATGAGGTTTTTGGAACCTGGAAATGGTCAGGAAAACAAGAGGTAATAAAATAACAAAGAACATTTCTGGTTACAACAAAGGTGGGACGTTTTTATATATAACAATACTAAACTGATGTAGCCCATATTTATAGAAAGGATAGTTAGAGCATAGTAAAATACAGAGGGGGTTAAAATATTGCTAGTAAAAAATGAGATGTTTAAGACGTTACCTCCTTCTTGCTCTTGTTTCAACCCTTTCATGACAAGCTGTAAAGTTTCACGACTGCCAAGACGCACACCTAGAATTATTTTATATAGAACAATAAATTTCCTTGCATTATCTCACAAATACTAGAATAATATTACATATCCCTGTACCCTAAGTTTCATTTAACATTTTTTAATTCAACAACATATATATCAACCAAATGAAGGTCATACCTGAATGGTGTTTTGCACCTAGACTGACCAGGGTCCAGTTAGGACTGACACACGAGACCTGGGTCACCTGTAGCTCCTGTACATGAGGTCGTTGCACCTGGACCTGAGGGTACATTATATTATAGTTGCAGGTACCTCAACATGCCCTTAGCAAAATTAGGTGAAATGAAACTGTTGAGGTAATTAGCAGGTAGAGGAAAAGTGAGACAGTAGACCTGAGGTCAGAGAGAGCAGGTGACAAAGGTGAGACAGTAGACCTGAGGTCAGAGAGAAAAGGTGACAAAGGTGAGACAGTAGACGTGAGGTCAGAGAGAGCAGGTGACAAAGGTGAGACAGTAGACCTGAGGTCAGAGAGAAAAGGTGACAAAGGTGAGACAGTAGACCTGAGGTCAGAGAGAAAAGGTGACAAAGTAGAGACAGTAGACCTGAGGTCAGAGAGAGCAGGTGACAAAGGTGAGACAGTAGACCTGAGGTCAGAGAGAGCAGGGCAGGTGACAAAGGTGAGGCAGTAGACCTGAGGTCAGAGAGAGCAGGGCAGGTGACAAAGGTGAGACAGTAGACCTGAGGTCAGAGAGAGCAGGGCAGGTGACAAAGTAGAGACAGTAGACCTGAGGTAAGAGAGAGCAGGGCAGGTGACAAAGGTGAGACAGGAGACCTGAGGTCAGAGAGAGCAGGTGACAAAGGTGAGACAGTAGACCTGAGGTAAGAGAGAGCAGGTGACAAAGGTGAGACAGTAGACCTGAGGTAAGAGAGAGCAGGTGACAAAGGTGAGACAGTAGACCTGAGGTCAGAGAGAGCAGGTGACAAAGGTGAGACAGTAGACCTGAGGTCAGAGAGAGCAGGGCAGGTGACAAAGGTGAGACAGTAGACCTGAGGTCAGAGAGAGCAGGGCAGGTGACAAAGGTGAGACAGTAGACCTGAGGTCAGAGAGAGCAGGGCAGGTGACAAAGGTGAGACAGTAGACCTGAGGTCAGAGAGAGCAGGGCAGGTGACAAAGGTGAGACAGTAGACCTGAGGTCAGAGAGAGCAGGGCAGGTGACAAAGGTGAGACAGTAGACCTGAGGTCAGAGAGAGCAGGGCAGGTGACAAAGGTGAGACAGTAGACCTGAGGTCCAGGGCAGGTGACAAAGGTGGGACAGTAGACCTGAGGTCCAGGGCAGGTGACAAAGGTGGGACAGTAGACCTGAGGTCAGAGAGAGCAGGGCAGGTGAGAAAGGTGAGACAGTAGACCTGAGGTCAGAGAGAGCAGGTGACAAAGGTGAGACAGCCTTGAGATATGAGAGAGCAGAGCAGCAACCAAACAGTCCCCCACCTGACTGAGGTTCTCCAGCTCACAAGCAAAGATACAAGAGTTGAGCTCCTGTCCCCTGACTGAGCCCACCCTGGCTCCAGGGCGTGTCACTGTGGCCCTGACACTCAGAGACTCGACTGTGTTCAGAACCGCCCGGTGACGTACAACTCTGTGTCTGAAATAAGACAGAACTAATGCTAGGATATTTTACATTTCAAAGAAAAAAATTGAAGAAAAAACAAATTCCCTAAGTTTGTAGAAATTTAAAAATATTTATGACAAGAAATTATATAGATTTTTCTATTGGCAGGACATATACTAGGCCTTTGTTTTTGAAAGTATTGCCGTCAGCTTAATTATAGTAAATACAGGTATTAAAGAATCTTGATATGCCGCAGTATAGTACTATCAGATATTTTATAAGAATAATTTAAAAAAATGTTTTGACAGAGACTAAAAAACAGAAAAGTTCTAGAAGAGGGACAACACCAGAGGTAGAGCCACTTACCCAACATTTGAAGGGTGCTTGACAGGCTCATAATAAAACAAGAAGTCCACCTCATGGATCCCACCAATGTCGTTGCCCCTGACCCACATGGGCAGGGAGACAGTTTCCCCAGGCTTCAGGACATCATTGGGCAGGGGAATGTCCAGCACATCAGGCAGCACCAGGAACTCATCCTTCCCTGGGACTGTGCTGGTCAGCGTGGCGCTGATGGAGCTGCACTGTGACCCCCTCATCTGGTAGATGTACGGGTACTTGGGTAGGTCAGAGTTGCGGCCAAAGGTGAAGAACCTCGGGTGACTGGAGGTGACTCGCAAGGACCGCAGTGGGCTCCGTCCTGCATTGGTCAATTCTATTTCTATACATTGCACTTCCCCACAGAGAAGGTTTTCTGGGAAATCACAGAATGCTACCTGCAAGTGAATACAAAGTTTATAAGGAGATGATACAAAAACTTGGATCACTTTTTGTTCTAAATTTTGCCATGGTAAGAGTTCCAGGTTATACTGATAGCTTAACCCTTTGAGCCCTGGCCTCCCTGACCTAATTTCTCCCATTTCCTGAGCTCCCAGGCCCAAACCGATTGTCACTTATCTTCTTCTAACTTTGCCTATAACTTTTGAACCGTTTGAGATAATCAAGCCAAATTTGGTATGCAGACTCAGGATCAAACAACAATGCAGCAAGATTCTGAAATTCTTAATTTTTTTACACTGTTTGAACAGAACAATGTATATAAAACGAACACATCATTATTGTTTTGATAGAACATTGAAGAAACCAATTTACATTTAGTAATTGTTTTGTTATTATTGATACCTGGCCATACTTGTTCAACGCCAGAAGTCCACTTTTGTTTGATAACTTTCAAAACCGTTATCACTGCCGGACCCGATGCAAAGAAAAAATTCGCATGCTTTGCACCAGTAAACATTTTTTTTTCGTTTCGGCAAGTCTTTGTCCTTGACACCACATGCATCAGAACGTACTTGAACAGTTACATTATCACTGTCAATTTCAATGTCACTGTGTTCAGTCTCAAATTCAACGTCACTATCATCACAATATAGATCAGGAATATTATCTTCTTCATCAGAATCAATAAGTGGTTGTATTGCCTGAGATGCAGTCATTCTACTTCTTTTGTTGATATTTCGGTATTTTGCTTCATCTTTTGCATCAACTTTATGTGATGAAGTCGACGGCTGTTGCTCAGCTTTTCGTTTCGGCGGCATTGCTGCGAAATGTAAACACTTTCACTTTTCCTAAAATCTATTTTAAAATCATAATCCCGCACTCAAAAGACATATGCGCAGTTTTAGTCAGTCTTCCGCTAATTATATTTAATTAGACTGTATACCGACCGCTAGGAATATGACGCTAGATCATCGGGCTCAAGTTTACCGGCCTGGCGGGCTCAAAGGGTTAAAACTTTTGTACAGGATGTTTTGGTGTGGGACTGCTAACCTTGATGTCTTAAGTCAAATGTCTGAGACCACAAACTCTACTTAATCTGTCCTATTGACCATTACATCTTAGAGGGTACTTTAATTTTCACTTTGAATACTTCTGAACAAAGTGCCAGAGTTGTAAAAAGTTTGCAAGCCAATGTGTCACTGTATCAAAACATCACACATAGAGTTACTGGAGCCAAGCAAAAAATAGTTCAGAGAAATTTTTTTTTGTGTGGAAAAAATTGGAAGTAGTTTTTTTAGCCCTGTCATTAAAAACTGAGCCTAGCACTGTATTCAAACTTCTGCTAAAACCATTGATATTTTCCCATCTGATAAGTATGAACACTTAACATCTTCAGTTTTGGGTATGAGTCCACTCAACCATATAACTAACCATTTGTTAAATAAAAACAATCTTTAAGGCTAACATTACCTCAAGAATGGGCATCTCCTCTTGTACAATCAAGTCCAGCCTCCTGTCAGGGCCGTACAGTTTCTGTGTGCGCTCCTCCTTGGTGCCGTTGAGCCGAGGGCCCTGTGGCTCCAGTTTCTGTTTCCCCCTGACCATCACACTGTTGACATAGCTGGGCTTGTTCTGTCCAACCTCTTGTGGCAGGGAGGAGTTCTGGGCCAGTGAGGTGGTGCCCAGGTTGTACGCCAGACCCAGAATCCTCAGCTGACCAGGCTGGCGGGGTGTGAGGGTCAGCTGGATCTACACAATCAGTGGTTGTAAACAGGTTTTAAGTTTCGAGAAAATGTTTAAGTTTTTAACAATAAAAAGAAGATGAATTTTAACAGAATAAAAGCTTCATTGAAAAAATTCTTTTAATAAAAGGTTATTTTGCATTAACTAGTCAATGCTGAAGTTATAAATACTAATCAAACACTGCTGTCCTGTTACAAAATAATTAACTTTTTTATTGAAGAGCTACTGTGTGCTCGTCTTGTCACAATGTTGAAATAAGATCAACAAAAGACATGATGATATTCAGAAAATATAATGCGAACAGAAAGAAGAATCAGATTATTAGAAAAACATAGAAAGATACTCACATATTCACTTTGTATGCCTTGCACTATAACTTCTTTAATAACTGACGTGTGAATAATTTCATCAGCCAAGTTGTTCTGTTAAAAAAACAAAATATAATTGTGTTAATCCAAGTTTTTAACATCTGTAGCCAAAGACAGTGTTACTCTATCACTGAAATTTAAAAATAGAAATAACCTTGAACTTACTTTAACACTGGTAGTTACTTCATTAGAGATGACCTGAGGTGGGTCAGGGCCTTGTATAGAGGGTAGGAATGTCCAGAGTAGGGAGACTTCAGACAGGACTAGCATCACATGCAGGGGGTTCTCTACTTGCAGCTCTATTGTGATGGGCTCTGGGATATTTAAACAGCTTGAGTTATAGGGGAAGATATTTAATCAAAGTGCAGTTAATATAGGAAACAAAAGAAGACGATGTCATATAGATACAATTAAATTGAAAATATCCTGACTCAAGGCAAGTAAAGTAGCTTTTTGAACATGAATATCCTATTTGATTCCAGTACAGCGAATAAATTATTGTATAGCCACCAAATCTCAATCTGCCTACACTTTTCCTTAAGTATTTAAGTCACTTGAAATGGACAAAGACAGCGCAAAAGACCGGCAGAAATAAACTTATAATGCTAGTGCTCAGCCTACCCCCAACAAAAGACCTGTATAAATAAACTTATAACGCTAGTGCTCAGCCTACCCCCAACAAAAGAACGTCAGAAATAAAACTTATAGTGCTAGAGCTCAGCCTACCCCCAACAAAAGCCACTGGACTGGCACGGTTGTCTGTGCTGTTGGTGAACAGCTGGGTGCTGGGCTTGATTGTCCGCCCTGAAACCTGGATCAGTTTCTGCTCCAGTGACTCCCACTTGGCCATGTTCTCAGCGTCACTGTCAAACCACATCCCTGTGGCCAGCGTCTTGCGGCTGTTGGCCTCTGCAAATGATGCACTATGTTATTACAGTAAAAAGTTTTAAGAATAAAAAGATGACTTTTAATAGACTGAAACTATATTAAAATAATTCTTTTAATAACAGATTATACTGCTACACTTGTAAATGCTGAAGTACTTTTTAAAATTATAATCAAACAATGCTGTACTGTTACAACATGATTAAAACCAATGTTCTGATGACAATATACAATGTATCATTATCTCATCAATACAAGTCTAATAATATATATTTACAGAAAAGGGGTATTCATATTTAACAACTAAATAATAATAGGTTATAGCAGCATAAAAACAAATTACTTAATTCTCTTATAGATATTTTCTAGAGTGATTAAAAAATAAAAACAAATGTACAAAACAAAAAACAGCAAAAAATAATTTTTGTGTACCATTCTCTTTGCTGTTAGCTGCTAACAAAACTTTGGTGGCATTGCTGTCTACTATGGGCAGAGGTAGTTCAGGCAGGTGGCCATAGGTGCTGTTGTTTCTCTCCTCTTGTGTCAGTAGTTGCTGAGAGAATATGTCATAACAGTATTTAAAGAAAAATGTGTAAGCTCAATATTTAATTTTTAAAAACAGACCCAACTAAAACAGAATTTATAATTTTCACACGAATAAAAACAAGGTACCTCTTAGTTAAAAATAGAAATGTATACATTTTCTAAAAAAGATAAAACAAAATTAGAATACAGGGAATCTTTAATCAGTGAGGTACAAAAAGCTAAATAAGACAGTATCAAAAAGGTGTACTAAAAATGTACTATGACCAACCTTATAGACAAAGAGATATTCCCTGAGAAAAGCTGCTTGTTGTGTGGTTGGCTGCTTGCTCTCCTCAGTCAGGAGATGTTTTAAAGCTGCTGTGGCATTCTCATACTGTTTCAGGTTAAACGACTGTCGCCCAATTGTAAAATGGATGTGATCCTAAACAAAGATTATTTAAAAATTGTCCATCACATTAAATTTTATTCAGCATGGTTTAAGCTAAAATAAACAACGTAAATAATTTAGCTAAAGACTCTTGGGAAATGATGTAAGATCATTAAGAAAATAAAATAATGATAACAACATATTGAATTTATGTAACAAAAACTTACCTCAGCTATCGACCAATGCTTTGCTTTGTATACTTGTAAAGCTTGAGTATAGCATCGCAGCGAATGTTTTTTCTACAAACAACCCATACAATTTTTTAACTCAATAATTTTTTTCTTCTATAAGCAATGTTTTGTTCAATGATACCAACAATGTAATAAGCAGTCGAGTAAGAACCAATAAAATGAACAAACCTGTCCAGCTTTATTAAAGCGATGTCCAGCCAGTATCATGTGAAATGCATATTTCCTCACCATAGGAACCTTCAGCGCCAGAAAACAGTGGGCGGCTTGTTCCAGGAACAGGGCACTGGTCAGGTCATTGTCCTGCAGGTCACACAAGAAAGCACTGGCTTTACTATTTCAATAACTAAAACTGGTAAGAGCAGTTATGTTGTAAAATTGTAATTGTAAAAAGTAAAATAAAAACTCCCAAAAAAACAACTGACCACCACTCACCTCACTGGTCATCTTAAGGAACTGCATTGCTGCCTCATTGAACATTGCTTTCTTCTTCAAAGCCTCAGAGCTGGTTAGTGTGGCGCGGGTGGCGTAATGAGGATTTCTAAATTGTGGACAGATGTTAGAAGTTAAAAATATATGTACTAAATTAAAGGAGAAAATTTATACTGGTCATGAACTTGCTTTAAACTTTCATCAACTGTCATTATGTTTATAGTTTTAGAGGAGCAGAAGAGCAGACCTGCATGAGGTTAGATATGTTGATATGGCTGTTTCCATGTAGTGGTGGGGGTACTGTTTCTGGCTCTGGGTGCCCAGCAGGAATATTGCCAAACTTGCCATTTCCTAAAATTAATTTGTTAAAAAGTTTTTTAAAAAATTCATCAAAACATAAATCTTTTAGAAACAATAAATGAAACAAAAAACAAACAAAAGGAAACATACCAGAGCTCCAGCAAAATGCAACCAGGCCTGATCATTGTTGAAGTCTTTCTTGGCGGTGTGATAAGTGTTGTAAGCAAAGTCATACATTTGAAAAAGGAATGCAAGGTCTGCAAGACGACGAAGCTGCAGTTCTGGTGCATCTTTGGTATATCTACACATAACAACAGAAGCAAACTACATTTTCTCATTTAATCACTTAACTTTAAAACTTGTAACCACTAACTTGTTTTAAATGAGTGTCAGAAACAAGCAAGTCTTAGAGTACTCACACAACAGTTGTGTTCTGTGATGCTGGTATAGACCCAGTTGGCTGTTTATTACCAAACCATTTCTTGGTTGCACTGAAGAAAGATCTATGAATGCCTTTTCTTGATGCAAGCTATGAAGTAGACCAAGATTTATTATTCATTATTGCTACAAAGAAATCACAACAATTTTAGCTACAGTACTTATCTCAGCTATTTACAAACAAGCAGGGACTAAAGTTTAGAATGTCTTACCTGATCACTGAGTATCTTCATTTGTCGTTCAGCCCAGGGGATCAACGCCCTTACAACAAACTCATGCATGAATATACGCAGCCTGTCATGATCACTGGGTGACAGACACATACCATATGACTTGGTCTGTGAGCGATCTGCATTTTTATAGTGGCCACTGTAGTTTGAGTGTCGTCCATCTATGGTGATAGTACACAATTATAAACACAGTTTGTACAATGTAAACACAGGGCATAGAGCAAACTATATATGATTTCAGGAATCACATGGACAATTTAAAAGAATTTGATTAGGTAATAAACAGTAGACATCTAAATTACACTTAAAAAATAAACAGATGCAAAAATAACATTAATAACATAAATATAAGAATAAATAATTCACAGAAACCAAAACAAATAAACAAATACAACTGATATTGCTAAAAACCACTAGACAAACAGTGGATGACAGCTCTGGACAAGCACAAGATATACAGATAGACAGACAGCAGATGACAAATATAAATGGAAAGTAACAGTAGAAGACAAATACAAACAGAAAGAAACAGACAAAAAAATGACAAATGTAAACAGAAAGAAACAGAATGGATGACAACAATAAACAGAAAAAGACAGACAATGAATGACAAATGTAAACAGAAGGAAACAGCCGATGACAAATATAAACAGAAAGAAACAGATAGTGGATGACAAAAATAAACAGAAAGAAACAGACAGCGGATGACAGCACCTTGGTAACCACTAGCTGCGGCTGTGGGGTCACTATCTGGTGAGGGTGTGTCTCTACTGGGTGGTGTGGTGGGGGAGGCGAGGGGGTGGCTAAACTGCTCACAGGAGGATGAGGAGGTGATTCCGGATGAGCCTAGAGAGTAGTAAACCATAACAAAATCTAAGAGAGAGCAGGTAGGCTTTAATCAACAGGTAAATCTAACAACACTGAGATCATGTCAACACTCATCTATATTGTTTCATTAGAACAATAGTGTGCAACACAGGGTGCAGAGAGAGATGTGAGTTGAGTGAATCTCAGAGTTATTCAGCTATAAAAAAAAAAAAAAATAATGTTAATTCAGGTGTAGTTGAAAATACTACAGCTAGATTTAACTACTGCTCAACATGAGATGAATGGTAAACAAAAGTACCAGACTCTTCCATATGGTTGTCATAGATGGAGTCAGTCATTGAGTTGCTGGGGAACTGGTCGTTGTTGCCCTCTGTCAGGTGGGATGGGAAACTGGGGGGAGACCCATCAATGTGGTCACTGTCCATGCTCTCCTGAAACAAGTGTGGATATTTGTTCATCCTTAAATATATCAAATGTAATCTTTTTTTTTAAAGATGAAAATAATAAATACACCAATATTTAAGCCTAGAGAAATTTTGATGACAATAAAATCACAGTGTCAGAATAAATGAAAAATATTTTTTTCTTCTTTAGCAGTTATCATGAAAACAATATCACTTGTAGGGTGAAAATTAACAAAGTGGTTATGTTTGCAATAGCTAAGATACTTATTTAACAGCTGAAGTACAAGAACAATTACCAAAGAGTTGGATGGCCTGGTCAAGAACTGGCTCCAGGGGTTTGGCTGTAGAGGGCCACTTGTTCTGATGGTGTCCAGTGTATTTTTAGACCTTGAGTTGATCTGCAGCAGGTGACAGATCTGAACACCAAAGGTGGCCTTCATGCTCTGGTACACCGCTTCAGCCCTGGTCAAGTGAAGAGTTCAAGTTAGATATTGACAGTATCAAGGGGGCTCTGCATGGCTAGGTAAATTGAAGGAATCATGTTTAAGCACAGGCTATTCACCATCTACAGCATTAAAAAAAAAACCAAACAAATCATTTGACTGTTCATCATCCTCAATTTCAAGCATGAATGTTCACCACCTTTAACATCATGTATGCTACAATTTGAAATGAGATTATCAGAACATTGCAATTTTTTTTATACCTTTGTTTACATTCCAAATGATTGACCAAATCAAAGATTGTGCATGATCCACAATTTTATATAACAAATGCAAATACCTAGATTGTACATGATGGACAATTTTATGTAATAAATGTATAAATACTATAAATAGGTAGACTGTTCACGATCCACAATTTTATATAACAAATGCAAATTCCTATATTGTATACAATCCACAATTTTATTTCACCAACATAAATACCTAGATTGTTCACCATCCACAACATCATGCAACAGAACATAGTAGTGCAGGACACCCTGGCAGAACCACCGAGGTAACTTGTTGGGAAACTGCTGCTGCTGTGTCACTTGCTGATTGGCTAGACTTGTGAATGTGCTCAGTGGGTCACCATTGCTTGAAGCAACCACAAATATACCTAAGCTATGGTTAAAGATTATTTTTTTTTAAATTTGTAATTCAAATACCTTTAAATTTGTCGGTAAAAACAAACACAGAAAGAAATTTTATCCCTACTAACATTCAATGAAGAATGGGAAGCCATTTTCATAATGGGAGGTTGTTGGTTAAGTTAAACTACATGAGGTAGTAAAAAAATAGTAATGCAAAAATATATCAATGATCTATGTGCAGAGAGTGAAGTATATTAATCTTGTTATAAAATTTGGGAGGCAGTTTTTAATCATGTTTCTAAAAACATGTATTACTGTTTGGGTCAGGAATATTGGAAGATAATATATGCTATATACAAAGATATAAATCAATAGCCCCAGCCCATGACATTTGAGCCCCTGCTACAACATGAAGGATACATGACAGACAGTGATTCAGGTACTCATGATCTGAGGCTGGCAACACCTGGAGGAAGTGTTCTCTCCAGCTTTCAAACCAGGGAGTGGAAGCTGAAAGACAAGAATACACAGACATTAATGCATGGATTTGGGTAAAGTATGTGAAGTACCTATGGAGATTATTTTAATTACATGAGTTTCACAGTTATACTTTTAAAACTTAATGTAAGTTAAAGGAAAAATATTGGCACTTGATTCCCCAAAAGAAAATGACAACAGTGCTCAAATATATCTGAATAATTTAATCCTTCATATTGGTAGTAAAATTGCTTCTGAAGTCATTGATCATTATGTAACTAAATCAACAAAATGATGCTAGCCAGAATCCTATGATCACGATGTATCAAAAACTGCTTTTGATGCTTTTTTGCAACTTTTTAAGGGAAAGAACAAAAAATGCCCTTACATAAAATTGTGACAGCAAAATGCACATCTAAAATTAAAGTATTATGCATAATAATGCCCAACTAAGGAGACTACAGTAAAGATTTGGGCCATGTCTAAGATACTCACATTTTAAAATGACCATTACAAAAACCTGAACAGCTTGATTTATATATTTTTAATTTAATTAGTGCTGCACTAAGTTATTATGGATATTACTGTAAACACTAGTACTTACAGCTGAGCTGGAGGTCATAGTTTCCTATAGACAGCATATTGTTTGCCCCAGGTTCCTGTGTCTGTCCGTGTGTTGATGCCACAGCATCACTCAGTTGTTTTTTTATGACATTTTGCTGTAGAGGTGCTGCTGCCATGTCACAAGCACTAATGCGCAAGTTGTGAATGGAATGTGTGACATTGTTAGCATCCCGAATGTGAACTGAAAGACAAGATTACTTAACATTTATTTTAACTTAACAATAACATTATACATAGGCCTAGGCCTACTCTTTTATTAAAAATACTACATACATTGGCTAGAGAAAAATTGGTATTTAGCAATTGGAAATTACAATAGGCCTAATCATAATATAAAATCGAGGCAGAGGCAATGATCCTAAGCAAAGTGGTATTAAATTAATTTTATTTTAAAAAAATCTTTCCTAAAATTCTAAAAAAATTAATTTGTTTTCATTCATTGGCAATGTTTATTTCTTGTAAACTGAACTTAAGGATTATTCTACATTATAAATTTAACTGTTAGTAGGGGCCCGAATTGAATAACCATGAAACATTTAGCATTCTCAGTGGCATATAATTATAAACCAACCTTCAGAGGATAATCGACAAAAGGGCTGGATCAGCTGCACGAAACTTAGGTTGTTTTTCTGACACAACAACTGCGCATCATCACTACACAAAACAGCAATATGGGGACTAAATGTGCTTTGTATGAACTCATTTGCATTTTGTTTACACTGTGTCATGGTTGTGTATTGCTTTATAAACTTGTCACTGCAACATATAATGCAAAATAGAGTTTTGGTTTATGTTATCATCCCTTATTCACTTTGCTGTCATGCGCCATTTTGAGTGACTCCGCCACTTCCGGAAACATTGGTCACACTAGCGACTGAAAAGGCGACTATCATAATAGATTTATCAATAGCAACGCATAAACTACATACCATTATTATTACCATGCATGATATATAATATAATATATATATATATATATATATATATATATATATATATATATATATATATATATATATACGTTTTTGCAGAGTATAACAGTGTAGTTAAACACAACTTCCGCGACTGTCATTTTTCTGTTAAGTTTTCTGTAGGCCTTTTTTAACGAATATGGCTAATCACCAATGTAAGCTACTTTCTGTTAATATGTTGGGTTTTTATGGGACTGCGTGGCCTAGCGGTAGGACGCTAGACTGTTAATTAAAAAGTCACGGGTTCAAGTCAGTAGAACGTCCTTGAGTCCACCCAGCTCTGATAGGTACCCAACTCACGATAGTGAAAACTAAGAGGGCTGGGCATAGTGCTGACCAAGCTATCCCTCGTCTGCCCCATGTGTCTTGGGCACGAACGGGAAAAGATGATAGATGTTATGGGGTTAATAGATGAAACTAAATTACAATAATAAAGCGTTAAACTAACAATAAATTAATGACATTAGAATAAGTAGTGAATGACTAGATCTAATTAGATATCACACTTTTGTTGAATATTTATCTTTTTATTTGTTGTTATATAAGTAAAAGACGCTAATTTATGCTAATCATTTTAAGTGACACTTTAAAACTGAAATCTAATGGATTAGTCTTTAATTCTTTAATAGTGTTGTTTTATTTTGATACAAAACATTTGTCAATTGTCCTTTATTAATTATTTATGCTGGCACAACTTTAAACTTATAGGGAGCCAAAATATAGTAGTAGGCCCTATCTATATTAAGCAAAAGCCTAATTAAATGTAAATAAGGTAGTTTGTTTAACTGGAGTTCAAAATATTAATTACGATAATGTTAATGCTATATTCCGTTATTTAGTAAAATCCTCCAAACCTGAGGTGAACTCATCAAGATAAATAAAAAGGTCATAGGCCACATAAGGTCACTACCTCTAACCCGCTAACCTCAAAAAGCCTTACCTCACAGTCAGCATCTGCACACAGACAGTGATGGCCGACTGACTTTTACGCTGTTTACAAGCTTAAGCGTCCTTCACAAACTAGATCCAGATTAAAATAGAACTATCTGAAAAGAGTCTTCGCATAAGTTTCCAAGATAAAAATGCTTCGCTCATTAGATAAAACAGTGGGTTTATCCACTCGCCATTTATGTCAAACTCGAAAGACCGTGGAAAAGCTTTTTAGCAGAACGAAAGTTCTGACAATCGACAACATGAATCCCCATGTAAAGAACATTGAATATGCAGTCAGGGGCCCCATTGTCATAAGAGCTGGAGAGATAGAGAATGAACTAAAAAAGGTTTGCTATTTTAACTATAGATCTAGTTGTAATAGACTGTAGAGATCTAGATCTTCTATTTCTAGTATATTTCTACTAAGATTTTTTTAGAAGTAGATTCTAGTATGTATTGTTGTATGTAATAAGTAATAATTTTATGGTCGAGAATCGAGTCTACTATATTATATGTATTTTGTATCCCTCAGTACAATATAATAGTATTAGTATATAGGCCTATGTAGTGATTTTTTACTTACATTTTTTACCTCAAATATTATATTTGTCTCTGTTATACTTTATTGCATAAACAGTTGATTCTGTTTTGTTTTGTATTTTGGGATGTCTGTGGAATGAATCAATTGGAGGATGATTATAGATACCTGTGTCCGATAATGGAATCTTCTTTAAAAAGGGGTGTTGGGTTGTTAGTAGTATTGTAATGTCGACTAATTTTATCGTTAGAAATTAGGGTTAGGCGTATGGTAGGACCAGGGTTGGGGTTAGGGTTAGGGACAGGGTTAGCATTGACATTAGCTAGCCATGTGTGCATTTAGTTAACTACCAGTAACCTAACACCCCTTTTTTAAAGAAGATTCCATTATCAGACACTGGTATAAACATTCTCCCGTTAAGGGTCATGTAGCAAACCTGAAAAAAAAAACAGCCCATTCAGCCATCCAATATTTTAAATTTTAAAATTGTCTCTCATAGGGAACAAAGAAAAATTTTACAGATGTTATTCGAGCCAACATTGGAGACTGTCATGCAACTGGACAAGAGCCTCTGACATTTTTAAGACAGGTAGGTCTTAAATTGTGTAGTACAATGTTTTGTTCTTGGTGTTCTTTTATGTTGAAAGAAAGTAAATAAAGAGCCATGTAGTCAGTAAATCTTTTCTTTTACCACATGTAATCTGTTATTGACAAAACAATTCAGCTTGAAAGTCAAGATATGCTTGATTTGTAGGTTGTTGCTCTGTGTGTGTACCCTGATCTGATGAAAGACCCAACTTTTCCTGATGATGCTAAACAAAGAGCTGATCGCATCCTTGGATCTTGTGGAGGACGAAGCTTAGGTAACCATTACATAGTAGTAGTTATAAGTTTTTTTTCCAATTATTTGTGTAATTGTAACATGTATTTCTTATTCTAGTTATTTGTTTTTCTGATTTCATCTCTCATTAAGCAATGTGACAGTTTTGTTTACCACTTACTATTTATCAGCAGTCACCATAACTGTAAGTGATATGATGAACTAGTTTTCCGATTTTTAATCGTCAGCATTTAAAAAATTACTATTGTGCCATTTTGTTAAGTCTCTAAGTGTTGATTCCCTAACATTGAGTTATATTTATTTTTCCTTAAATTTGTGAAATCATTTAATTGTATATGTGAATCTGTAAATAAATTAAGTTTACTCATGTTGACAATACCACAATTTTTAAATACATTTTTAAAAAGAAACTGACAAAAACTGATTCTTAGACTGGTTATGTAGTGTTGAAGCAATGCTATCTTTTAAAAATTCTTCAAGGCGCCTACAGTGACAGCGCAGGTGTGCCTGTTATCAGGGAAGATGTGGCTAAATATATAGAAGAGAGGGATGGTATCCCATCAGACCCTGCCAACATTTTTCTCTCTGGGGGTGCCAGTGAGTCCATTAGGGTAAGCGGTACTGTCAGTTATATTTTGATCCACTTTGACCTTATGAACATATTAATATGGAGTGTTGTAATTTATAATAAATGTATCAACTAACCCTTTACATTTAAACTTTCCCTCATTTTAACTAAAGGAAAAAAAAAACTTGAATTATGGCAGCGCACCATGTTTCTGCCATTTTAAAAAAATTCAAATTTTTTTAGGTGGCTGTACTTATTGATTGTTATAGTGCATATTTAAAAGAAAAATGTGTTACAGAAATATACTAACTAATTTATTTTGAGACTTTTATATTTTGTTATTAACTACTTTGTACTCTATTCTGTTGTATACATCATTATGTAAGTTATATTAATAAACATTTTTACAGTGTCAGATATTCATAAAAAGGTTTTAATGTTATATTAACATGAGCATTTTAAAACCAATTATTGTATTATTTAACTATTCCAGAACGTGATGAAACTCCTCATGACTGCCCTGCCAGGGAAAGAACGTGCTGGTGTTATGATACCCATCCCCCAGTACCCCCTCTACTCCGCAACTATTGCTGAATACAATGCTCACCCTGTATGTCTGTATACATTTTTTTCTCATTTGATTTGTTTAGCTTTTACTTTAAAAGAAATATAACTGTGGTGGCTGTCAGCTAATGAAGTGTTGTGTTTTTAGATTGGCTACTTTCTGAATGAGGCTGATAAATGGTCCCTTAGTGTGGAGGAATTAAAACGTTCATTAGCAGAAGGGAAGAAACACTGCAAGCCCAGAGCCATTTGTGTGATCAACCCAGGCAACCCCACAGGTTTGTGATACACATCACACACATTCCCACAATATCACACATGCCACACCCACTCATACACACATACACAGTTCCATCTTGCACATCATTCACACTCACCCATACACTGTCTCATCACCCATACATTCACTGGCATCTTTGATCTTAGCAAGTTTTAATTTCACATAAATATAGCTCCATATTTTGTCTCACAAATACTTGAAACTTGATAAAACGATGTAAAAGAAAAATGGATTTAAATTTTTCAGGCCAAGTGCTAACAAGAAAAAATATTGAAGACATCATTAAATTTGCTAAGGAGGAGAACTTGTTCATCATGGCTGATGAGGTTTTTGGCTAGAGTAGCATTAATTTTATCTGGCTATGGGAGCTCTACTTTTTGGGCTAATTTGGTTAATAATTGTGTAATTATTATTATAGTTGAACTGGATAATTAAAAATACTGTTATTTTTTGTATTATATAAGGAATGTTTGTTTTCTTTAGGTATACCAACACAATGTGTATGCGGCAGATTCAAAGTTTCATTCCTTTAAGAAAGTGTTAACTGAACTGGGCCCACCATACAGTGAGATGGAGCTGGCTTCATTCATGTCAACATCAAAGGGCTACATGGGAGAGTAAGTGACCTTTAACCTATGCAACTAAACTGGGTACCTAACATAGTTTATTCATCAAATTGAAAATTAATACAAGTGAAGGTAATTTTATTTGCTCTTAGTATGAAAAATATATAAACAACATTAAAGATAAAATATACATTATTTTTTTAGGTGTGGTTTCCGTGGTGGATATGTGGAGATTATAAATATGGACCCAGCTGTTAAAGCCATGCTCACCAAGGCAATCTCAGCAAAACTTTGTTCTGCTGTGACTGGCCAGGTTCATATTTTTAATGTTTTTTTTTACAAAATTAGCAGTTCTTTACCTTAGAAAATACAATTTACATCATTTTCAAAAATGTTTTTTGGTGTAGAAAAGCAGTTTCTTAAAATATTTGAATATGAATGCAGTCAGATAATATAAAGCTAATAATTGAAGTCTTGAGTTTTTAATATCTTAAAAAGTAATTTAATAAAATATCAAAATCTTTGAAATACTTTATTAAATTAAGATAAAAAATTTAATCATATAAAATAATTAGTTGCATACTTTATGTGTGTACTATATTATTTCTGACATATTTAAAATTGATTTATGGCCGTGCGTTTTCATGACACCGGACATTTTTTAATTTTCTTAGCATGAGAGGTGAGGTTTTCTGAGTGCCTAGCACTGCTTGCATTAAAAAGATAAAAACTAATTTACATTTACTAATGTTTTTCTATGAAACAATTCTTTCAGTGTGAAGTTAATTTCAGTAAACATGTTTTAATGTTTTGATAGACTAGTTGTAATTATCACAGCACATTTTTTGTCCATGTAGGATAGAAACATTCTATACCTATTTTTTACCACATGATTGAATTTTTTTTTTGAACTCTCTGTATTTTGAAATACAATCTTGAGCTTCTAATAACTAATTATTGCTTCTATAATACTATATATTATATTTAACATCATAAATTTAATTGAAGGAAGGTAGTAGGCCACTTTATGATGGACAATAATTTTTCCTAATCTGTGTGTCTTAAGAAAGCAAATATTAAAAATATCAGTTTAAAAAAAAATTAATGACAGATCTACTAAAATGTGACAAAAATGTTAATATAACATTCAAAGCTATTATTATGACAAATCTTAATTTAGTAAATTTTAAATCCAATTCTGACAATTCAAAGATTTGATTTGAAATAAAAAAGATGTTTGTAACATTCAAAATCTATTTGGAAAAAAATTGTATTAACAAGTTTCAAATAAATTTTAATTATCAAAACATTTTATCTAAAGAAATCTTATTTCTATAAATTTTAAACTAAATTATAACATAAAAACCTTTTAAAAATAAAATATAAAAAATGTGCAATTTAAAGCTGCACTTCATACTGAATTTGAATGTAACATGCTACCAGTATTACGGTTGGAGAACTTCCCTCGTTGATTTAAATTGGTAGCTCATAATAGTTCCCTGCCCCATATTTTGTTATATAAGCTATGATGGGAGACAAACGATAACTTATTCTCATTACTTCCTAGGCTGTTCTTGATGTAGTGGTGAACCCTCCCAAACCTGGGGAACCTTCCTATGCTTTATTCAAGCAGGTAAAAATCCATGTCACTTAGTGTTTATTTTACTTTTTTAAGTTGGCTTGCAGTACTGCCAAAATTGTATAAACATTGTTTATCAACAGTAATCCACTCATCTACTTAGAGGAATAATTTACTCTTTTCTAAATTAGTTCTTCAAACCAAGTAATATTTACACAAAGAATGTATTATTAATGAGAGCTCTTCTTTATTGTGTAGCAAAAAGATGCAGTCCTAGGCCAGCTAGCAGAGAAAGGGAGGATGGCAACTGAGATCTTCAACTCCATCAAAGGCATCTCCTGTAACCCAGTGCAGGGGGCCATGTACGCCTTCCCCAGGCTGGACCTGCCTAGGAAAGCTGTGGAGGCTGCTAAGGTAAGGATTAGTGGAGGCTAAGGATTAGTGGAGGCAGCTAAGGTAAGGATTAGTGGAGGCTAAGGTGAGGATTAGTGGAGGCGTCTAAGGTGAGGATTAGTGGAGGCTGCTAAGGTAAGGATTAGTGGAGGCTAAGGTAAGGATTAGTGGAGGCTGCTAAGGTAAGGATTAGTGGAGGCTGCTAAGGTAAGGATTAGTGGAGGCTAAGGTAAGGATTAGTGGAGGCTAAGGTAAGGATTAGTGGAGGGTGCTAAGGTAAGGATTATTGGAGGCTGCTAAGTAGTTTTCTGTTAGGGTTAAGTAGTGTTCTGTTAAGGCTAGATAGTGTTTTGTTAGGTTTAGATAGACTTAGCTGTGTCTGGAGACTTGTTAACTGAAACTACCCTAACTAATGATTTAACCTTGAACTCTGACAGGCCAAAGGTCAACCTGCTGATGCTTTCTACTGCTTCAGTTTACTGGAGGAGACTGGCATGTGTGTTGTGCCAGGCAGTGGGTTTGGGCAGAAGGAGGGCACATGGCATTTCAGGTGAGGCTACTATATTGTAATGGTTTAATTTAAGCCTTTATTGACTTCACTGCCACTTTAGATGTTAGCTAAAATTTGAGAGAGTTTAGAAACTTTAAGTTAGTTTTTGTTTAAATGATCTGTGTATATATAACTATAACTTCTTTCTTAATGGAAAAATAAAAATAAAATACATAATAGTGGCTTTCTAAGGGTTTTGTGGTAAAATAAATGCCAGCATTGTTGTTTTGCAGCTGTTTTTACACAAATTTTTACCCTAATTCTTACCCAGATTTTCATATTAAATATTAGCATTAAAAGAAATGTCAGTATGTGTATTTGCCAATCAGCAATTTAATAAAAAACTGAATACTTTAAAGAATTTTTTTTATTGTATAACTGTATGAAATTAATATATTTTCAGGACAACTATATTGCCCCCTGTAGAGAAACTTGGAGAAATGCTGAATCGTTTTGGTGACTTCCACATCAAATTCCTGAATAAATATTCTTAAACTTGATGCATTTTCTTCTGAAAGATAAACAAAGGGAGGAAACTGGAAAGTTTTCAACCAGAGAACTCTTTTGTGTTAGAAACTGTTGACATGTGGCTTCCATACATTATTACGTGCATATAATTATACTTTAATTTTTGGTGGAATGGTTTTGCTTCTTGTAGAAAGATGAATGTAGTGGTTTTGGTAATGAACTAAAATTTGTATGATGATACGTTCACTGAGATGATAATTCTGTTATAGTGGAATGTATTGATGAATTGTTTACTTGTGAATAGATTACTAGTTGCTGTAAAATTAGTTGTTTGTATGACAGATGATATTAACTGTGAATTTTACTATAGTACAGTTTATCTGGTAACTTGTAATTATGTAACATAAATGGCAGCTCAATTAGAACAGTATTGTAGTTATCAGATGGTAATTGTTTGTCATTTCTTCTGAAGTTTAAAACTTTCATTTAACATTATTTACATAAACCTGCTGATACATCAGCCCTCCACAAACTGAAAAAAAAGTCATTTCAAAATATATTTCTGGATTATTTATCCTCCTGATCTGAACACAAGTTTTGATATTATCTTTTTAGAAATTTTGAAGATCTGTTTAACATTACATTATTCTATATGGAAGGAAGCCTTGCTGTACTGCTGATATTACTTACATAATAATATCATTGTGTAAAGTTGCAAGTTATTTTACAATGATCTGTGAATGTGTATACTGTGTTAAGTTACTGTAAGAATGTTTATTTAAACTTCTTAATGTATAAGAACCTGTGAACTTGATAGCTTGTGTACTCTATATACAAAAGGTGTGGACTATATGCTGTAGCTCTACTGAGATTGTTAGCATCTATTTCCTCATCCATGAATATTGTAATGAGTCCCCAAATTATGGGGTTGCCCAGCCATTGTATGAGAGTGACTTGTCTACATATGCTCCTGTGTTAATGTATAACCATATATTTGAACATTAAACTGGTACACAAATGCTTTGTGTGTGCCTTTTGTTTTAATAATATGGAAGGCTCGCTGCACCAATTTCAATACTAGATGTATGTCAATGTGCAACATGCTTGTCAAATACTTTTAAAAAAATCAAGTTATGTAATTTATTAAAGTATCCGATCTGTTCTATTAGAATAAAAAAATTAGTTTGGAGTAGACACCCTTGTTAAATGTTAATTTTCTGACAACTGGTTGGAGAAATATAATAGATCTATAATCTAAAATAAATATTTTACTTTCATTATGAGTACAATGTTTGCTTTATTTTGTAAATGTTTGCTGAAACAAAGATCCGTAGTCACATTGCATCTTGAAGTTTTCCATTGATGAAATATTCCATAATCTCACTTTACTAAAAGCTGGTTAGGCTCTTATTTCTATGAATTGTGCTCCGATGGCCACACCTTAGGGAAAACAGCCACACTGATAATTTATAACAGCAAATAATAACAAACTTTCCAATTACAAAAAGTACAATATTTATTGTGACCAGCAAATATCACTTAGCACACCACAGTATGGTGCTAATAAAAACTGCTCCTGTAAAAGTCCTTCACCAACAAAGAAAGCGATAACAAACTTGTAACATTTGATATAAAACATTGTAATGAAAAAACATAGCAAAATCATGAAATGCAATTACGCTGTAAGAATTAATATGCATTTAAGGGGTGCAGTAGATAAAGTACTAGTTACATTTTGACAAGATGTAACTTGTTTTTAAAAATTGGAAATGCTTTTAATTTGTTTCATAAAATCAACTCAATTATCAACATGTGAATGTTTCCATTAACCAAATTTACAAGAAAGATACAATAAAAACAACCAAATAATATGCAAAAACTGCTGATTTAATAACAAAATGCAACTTAAGTACTCTCTCTACCACTTCCTTCTAATTACTAGTAAATAAAGACACATCTGCATGAAATTGGCATTGCTTACAGCTGTAAACTGATATGTAAAGTTTTCATCAGAAGTTTGCTAAAGTAATATAAGTCAATATTTGCTGCGATACCATTATGAGCTAGAATAATGTAGAAAAACTCATTGCTTTATAATTAAAAAAAAAAGTTTGTATGAAAACATAATACTTGGTTACATGCTTTTTGTATCAACAACTATTATACCCTCAAACAATAATTTGTAACTATCTTTCACAATTACAGCAGTAAGATTAAAATCTCAACACATTTTCTGCCTATATTTGTAAGAAATAGATGGCCAAAGTAAGTTGACAACAATGACTACGACGGCGAGGATGTATATATTTATCACTGTGTTCTCCCTGGGAAGAAAACACTGAGCGAGGCTGAAGTTCTGGTGGTTGATGCGAGCCTGAAACAAGGGTCAAATAGGGTCAATTACATGTATGAAACATGGGTCAAATAGGGTCAATTACATGTATGAGACAAGGGTCAAATAGGGTCAATTACATGTATAAAACAAAGGTCAAATATTCAATTACATGTATGAAACTAAGGTCAAATAGGGTCAGTTATATGTATGTAACAAGGGTCAAATAGGGACAATTATTTATATGTAACAAGGATAAAATATGGACAATTATTTGTATAAAACAAGGACAAAATGTGGACATACATGTCTAAAATTACTATTAAGAGTTGGGTTGTCTAAAATTACCAGTAAGAGAGTTGGGTTGTCTAAAATTACCAGTGAGGGAGTTGGGTTGTCTAAAATTACCAGTAAGAGAGTTGGGTTGTCTAAAATTACCTGTAAGAGAGTTGGGTTGTCTAAAATTACAATTAAGAGAGTTAGGTTGTCTAAAATTACCAGTAAGAGAGTTAGGTTGTCTAAAATTACCAGTAAGAGAGTTGGGTTGTCCCTGTTCCTCCAGCTAAAGGAGGAGACGCTCCACTCTGGAACCTTATTGTCATGGACACGATAACAGCCGTGGTGTGTATGTGCACTGATGACTAGCCTCGGCTGAATCAATGAAAACAACTGCAAGAGAGAAAAAAAAGCAATAATCAAATCTTTCCATGTCGAGGAAACCAAATTTTTTTAACAAAAAACTCTGCACCCCAAATGCACATCTACTCACAAGGTGGGTAGACCTGAGATCAAGACAGTCCAGTCGCGGACGAAATGGAATGGTTTTCTCCTGAGGTGGAGCTGAGTCTTCTGTATTGCACTCAGAATCTGAAGCTCTGTACATGGGGAAGTGCTGGGGAAAATGTCATGGGGTAGCTTTTTAATTAGCCAGTAACTCACTAACTGTCATGGGTCAACTTTTATTTTAGCCAGTAATTGAGTAAATACAAATAATTCCTTAGTTTTAGACACTTTGCAAAAGTAAATCTAAATTTAAATATTCACCTGCAATAAAATTGGCTGCGTTTTACATCTGTTATCTGTTGTCTTTAAAATAGAAAAAAAAATGTTTCAAATTTAAGAATTCATCCAGATGAAATCTAAATAGTGTTAAAAGGCCTAAAGAGAGAAAAAAGTTGCCAATTAATATGAGCATGAAGTTAACTTTCATTCTCTAAACTTTTCAGCCAAAGGGCCGCATTAGCTATCAAATATAAGTTCATGGGCCAGAGTTTCTTCTAGGCATCTTTTCGGTAGTTTAGAGACCCCTGCTCTAGATAATGCTCCTTATTTGTTTCTATAATCTTCCTATTTCCACATTAGCCCTTATTTTTCAATCAAAAGAAACTATATTAATTGGACATGAATCTAAAACACTTGATACATGCAGATATTGTAGCTAGACATAAGACATAATTTTAAAAAAACTGGCCAATAAAAAAAGCCAACTTATCATGTCAAATGTTATGATAGTTATGGCAACTCATCATTTCAATGTTATGATTGATCTGGCAACTCATCCTGTCAACAATTTAAACCTGTACTAAAAATATCTTTACCGTAAGACAGTCGGGCAGGACAGACAAATTCTTGGCTATCTCCTGCAGCTGTTTCTCCGCCTGCAGACAGATGCTGCACTCATCGCCCTCCATGGCCATGGAGTTGACCAAAACAAATAAATTATTTTTGATGTTGAGTATTCGGACAGAAGGGGAGTTAAATTCTTCAACAAATCTTTCGTGCTTGTGTTCGGTCATCCTGTGGGGCAAACCATAAGACAAGTTTTAAGACACAGTGGTTGATGAGACAGGTCTCAAGACACAATGGTTGATGAGACAGGTGTGAAGACATTTTGTTTGATAGGGAATGTGTTGAGACACAGTGGTTGATAAGATAGGTGATATGATACTGTGGTTGATCAGACAGGTGTTAATACAGTGGTTAATAAGACAAGTGTTAAGACAGTAGTTGTTGAGACAGGTGTTAAGACATTTTGTTTTATAGGAAATGTGTTAAGACACAGTGGTTGATGGGGCAAATGTTAAGACACAGTAATAGATTAAAAACTATTAGCAGTAATAATAGATCTTCTAGAAACAGATGACATAAGCCAATAGATAAGGAATTTTCCTACAGAAATCATTTACATGTAGTGAAAGCCTTCGTCATGGTTTCCTGAGAGGACATGGAGTTGTGTGCCTTTAGGAACAGCAAACATTGATTTAAACCTGGCCACATGATACAGGAACTCTTCATCATCGCACCATTTACCTTCATCCAACAGATCACCTGAAACAGGTTCATAGGTATTCAATGTCAATAGTTTAATGATGTATACAAAATGGCTGGGAACTTTGAACTCTTCAGCTCAAGAAAATAGTAAATGTACAGTTCTTTAGTGACTTTGTAAAAAGGAAATAATTGTGTACACACCTAAAACAAAGACCACATCTGGTTTGTGTATTAACATTGTTGTCTGGAAGGCTTGCTTCATCTGCCACTCTCTGGAAACAACAATAATTGCAACTAATTCATTCAACAATTACAAAGGTTGCACTGGGCTTTCTAACACTTTGTTTAAGTCCACTATATCTCATGAACTAAACAGTAGTATAAATAGTATCAACCAGCAGCATGAGAATTTTACATCTGAAGCTAGCAATAGAAAATATAACAAAGCCTCGGTATACCAATAGGTACAGGACCAAAATCTAAATTAAATTATAAAAACAGCATTCAAGAATATCCCAACACCAGATCTTGATACAACAGGTGAAACTCTCAGTCACTGTCCACACAACACGACCTTGTCAAATAGGACAAACATCAGACAGTACAAATTACCTTCGGAGTTTATCAAACCAATGGCCTTGCCGAAATCCTAAAAGATGAGTATCTGCTATAAACATGACCTTGATGTTCGTGCCATATCCTGCGTCTGATGACTGGATGTAAGGGACAGAAGGCCACGTACATTGGATCATCACAACAGCATAGTGAAAGACCTGGATGGGACAGTTTTTATACTGGATGGGACAGTTTTTATACTGGATGGGACAGTTTTTATACTGGATGGGACAGTTTTTATACTGGATGGGACAGTTTTTATACTGGATGGGACAGTTTTTATACTGGATGGGACAGTTTTTATACTGGATGGGACAGTTTTTATACTGGATGGGACAGTTTGTATACTGGATGGGACAGTTTTTATACTGGATGGGACAGTTTTTATACTGGATGGGACAGTTTGTTTACTGGATGGGACAGTTTTTATACTGGATGGGACAGTTTTTATACTGGATGGGACAGTTTGTATACTGGATGGAACAGTTTTTATACTGGATGGGACAGTTTTTATACTGGATGGGACAGTTTTTATACTGGATGGGACAGTTTTTATACTGGATTGGATTTGACAGTTTTTATACTGGATGGGACTTGACAGTTTTTATACTGGATGGGACTTGACAGTTTTTATACTGGATTGGATTTGACATTTTTTATACTGGATGGGACTTGACAGTTTTTATACTGGATGGGACTTGACAGTTTTTATACTGGATTGGATTTGACAGTTTTTATACTGGATGGGACTTGACAGTTTTTATACTGGATGGGATTTGACAGTTTTTAAAATCTAGTAGTTCCCTTTCAAACCTGACGGTCTATGGGGCAAGTGAAGTAGAGTTCACCTGTTTCTGTAAACTTTACTTTCCCCGTGAGTTAGGTACCTATCAGAGCTGGGTGGACTCAGGGATGTTCTTCTGACATGCAACTGGATTCAAACTGGACACTTTCAGGTTAAGAGTCTAGCGCTCTACCGCTAGGCCACTCTGTCCCACTTTTAAAACCAGTGTGAACTCAATTACTTTATTTACATTAAAGATAAAAAAACATTACTATATTTAAAACTTTTTTCAGAAGAAAGACTTAGTTAACTCTAAACACATGAAAACAAATTCAATAAAATACACATGAACAATAATACCAAGTTGGTGCATACCTCACAGTAGAGAAAAAAACACAAGAAAATGAGGAACGATCGAAAGATTTTGTTGTTTACAATGAGATGGGAGCATTTCTTCACAGGCCCTAAAACATGCTCCAGATAAATCATTGTATTAATAGTTTCAGCTGTAGCTTTAGCCACATCATTGAAGACATCTGTTGCTGATCTGAAAAAATATATGGAATTGTTAATCGAAACAAGTTGCGGAACAACAAAATAAAAGAAGCTCACTTTGTAGTTAACCTTATCAACATATTTTTTATATTAGCATTAACAATACTTAATTTACAAAATTAATACTAATGACTGAATCATTTGATACAGATATCAGTCCACGGACAAATTCAAAGTTAGATGTGAATGAGCATTGCCACATAAATTTGTGCTAGAAAATCTTGAACACTTGCAATAGCCAAACATAAAATAAAGTTCAAGCCATGGTAATGAGCTTAGAAGAAATCACATATAAAGTTGGCATCTCCATTGATTTAGTGCATAACAGGATCAGAAGTTGGATAAGCTTCATGATAATCTCTTAATAATTGTATCTACCAAATTTGTTGAGAGGGACCTCATCACTTCAGTTGACATCGTCACGTGCTTTTTGTTTATTATGTCTCTTACACTTATAAAATAAAAATGAATACTTTTAAAAACTTTTGAAGCCTAAAAATAAAAACTAATTTGCCAATGCAGAGAATTTTAAAATTTTAAAAATAATTTTACTTTTAGGCTACATTTCTATGAACTATAAGCCTAAGCATAGATCCGATAAATTAAGGATTAGACCTTTCATTTGTATTTAAATATTGTATTATGTCTAACTGGCTCAGGACTAATCATATTCATAATAGATCAAAATGTTTTGTCCATTTCATTTTCATCTTAGAACATTAAATTGCACTTTAAAATCTAAAAATGAAAGTTGGCATTTTATTTAGAAACATAGGGCAAATAATATAGGCCTAGGCCTAGTTGTAATTAATTAATAACAGGCCTCTAGGCCCCAATATTTTAACCCTCTTGAGACGCCCGGGCCGATCTATCGGCCGCTGGTTTTATAGCCAAAAAGACGACCGGCCGATCTATCGGCCGGGTCTCAGCCGCGATAGTAGACGCCACACGATTGGCTTTCTAGTATCATATCAGCCAATCAGATTGCTTCTAACTGTTATAGTACATATCTAGCACTTCAATGGCGACTTCCATTGAAAGTTTGCCTCATTTTTTTGTTTTTTATCGATTTTTTTAGTGCCGTGAGTCCTATCATAAATTTTCTTATGTCCAACAGTCCAGTCATCAAAATATACTAAAAATATACTTAGAAATTCTAATGTAGAAATAATAATCAGTAAATTAGTTCAGATTATTGAATAGATGTTTGTGTATTATTTAGATTAGCATTACAGAGAGAAAAAACGTATTGTTATACAAATTTACTGTAATTTAGTGCCGTCAATTTTTTTTTCGTGCATAAATTATGCAAATCAGAAAGCTCAAATATATATATGTTGAGATTTTTATTAGATTTATAAAAATCATATTAGCTCATTCAATTTCCTAATAAATAATATATATTTTTATGCATGTAAAATAATTATTTTATTTTTTTCAAAATTTTTTTGTGATACAAGTGCAAAACTTGAAAGTAGGCTCCGTCTTCTTAGCACCGGCTCTCTAAAAAAGCTACGTCTTAAGAGGGTTAAAGAATTCTCTTATAAATATGATTTATCTGTCAGTGTTACAAGATACAGGGACAGTAATAGAGTATGACAATTATCAATTAACATCACTAACCATTAACTTGTCAGCACAATTACAAATTAAGAATAAGAACTTAGATTTTATCTTAGATTCTCTTAGAATATCTACTTAATATTTTATATAGTATGGGGGCCTAATCTAAATATTTAATAATATCAAGATAGGCATACATATAGTGTAACAGGTAACAATTAAATTAGATAGGACCTATTCTAAATCTTAATTCTAATCTAAATGACATAGGCCTATAGTATAGGGCTAGGGCTATAGGCCTACTACTAATTAATTAATTGGGCCTAGATTCTAGATCTAGAAATTTAAAATTTTAGTTGTAACTGGTCCTAGTTATTAGCTTATAGTTAAGGAAGTTAAGGTCATAATCCATTATCATTAGATTATGATAAGATGGTGATGATAAATAAGGTGTGTGTGTATCTCCAAAGCAAACTGATGCAGGATCAATTCAATGGCTTGCAGAGAGGGAAGCATAGTTTCCTCCAGGCATCTCTTGGGAGGGGGGGGGGAGCTAACATTATTTTAGTAAGATCTAGATCTAGTAGCCTACATAAAAATACGGCACGGGGACTGTGTGTGTGTATGATACAGAATAGATCTAGAACTGAGTATAGAGTATAGACTATAGCACAGTTGAGAATAATACTAATATTAATAACTAATAGTTAGGGATGTAACGTTGTATGAGATGAGTGTAAAATTACTAATTAATTATATTAATTAATAATTAGGCCTAGATCTAGATCTAGATCTACCGAGTATCGGCGACTAATATTAGTATTAGGCATAGTTTTTAAAAATAAGTTTTTAATAATTAGTCTATAGTTACTAGATCTACTTCAGCATACATTTGTTATAGATACAGGACAAGCCATACGTCAAGACAACAATCATTCAGACAAAAGATTTTCAGTAGATGTAAAAGCTTGACTAGTAAAAATGCGAAATTGCTGTCTAGTTTCAACAGTAAAAAACTTTTCTTTAAGCTTATGATAAACAGTAGGCCCAAGAGAGACAACCGTAAGACTAAGTTAAGACCCACTACCTTGGCTACAGTCGTTGGTTTATCTTTAATATCTTAGGTTACTTTTTGAGCCAAACGGCATTTATTCGATCAGTGTAGATCTAGTTTAACAAAATTTAATGTAAAAAATATCTAATCGTATTGCAATGCATTTTTTGCGTGGCCAAAATCTTAATATGCAAAATTGAATATTGAATGCTTGAAATTGAAATTTTCTTATAGGCCCTTAATAATATTAATCTTAATTTTAATATTTATTAGTAACGCCTGGTTAGAAATATTTTTTAATTGCCCGATGCAGTGTTTCTTCCAGACTTTTTTCTCCGTGAGGGCACTTGATATTTTCGGGGAGGGGGGGAGGGGTGCGGTCAACATATTCCGTGGGGGGAGTGGGGAGGGGGGCGGACACTAGTAAAACTATATGTTTACTATTTAAATTCCATCTCGTTCGGGGAGGGGGGGGGGGGGCGGTAGACTTTCTTCGGGGGGGGGGGGGGAGGGGGGCAAATAGATGCCTGGAAGAAACTCTGGCCTGATGTAGTGTTGCTTAATATCAAAATACACTGCAGCCTTTTGGTAATATGTAATTGCTCTATAAAGGCTTACAACAGTGATATTAGGCCAATTTTTGTCTTTTTATTAAAATAGTTTTTGGTAATTTACCACATTAGAGTACTAGCTAGTGTTAAAGTTTATTATGAAACATTCATTATAAATTCCTAATATCATTTTCATCGTCATATTCTTTCACATCATGTTTGCCAGATATTTACCATGATCTGAATATCTGAATCGTTTCTAAATGGATACGTCAACCATGGATGTAAATGAATTATTAGCTGAACATGGCCCGTGATTTCGTTTGTATGGTATCGTAAGAATGCTGATGGTGCGTATAGAAGTTTCTTTGTTTTACACTACCTTATTTTATTATCCCCCTTTTTAAATATTTTTTTTTCACTGACAGGGTTATTGGTATTTCTCGTCAGTTTCCCTAGATCAATTGAAAAAAAGTCAAAGTTATATATTAAGCTTTTGGTTCACAATCCCATTTTCACGATTCCAGTGCCACAATGATGGGGAATGTTATCTTTGTCTAGGTTTATTTTATCTTCACTTTCATGTTTTGAACCAGTGTTTCTTCCAGGTGTCTACCGCCTCCCCTCTCACAGAACGAAATGAAATTTATGTATAAAATATAGACTTTTAACAGTGTCCGCCCCGCCCCCCCCCCACCCTGGAGAAAAAAGCCTGGAAGAAACACTGTTTTGAACGCTTGAATAAGATAGATATTTAGCGTCAAATTAGGGGGATTAAAGTGGGAGGGGGGTGTAATATTTTAAACATAATTCGTTGTTTTCATTACCAAATTGCATGTTACTATTGTAGCACTTCTCACCGCTTATATTCAGCCTGTTCTAAATGAGTTTTTTCCCCTGGTGTTGTAGCATGGAAACTCATATCTGATTTATTTTATTTACTGTCTGGTACACGGGTACAAACTCTGGTCCGCCTAAACGGAGTACAACGGCTGGACTGTTAGATCAACTCAGAACTTTAGAACTCAAACACATGATTAGAGCTTTACTTTAATTAATCAAGAATACAAAATACACAAATGTTATTAAGATAAAAATAGAAATTACAACAATGTCATAGATTTTATGATCGTTATTATCGTTTGTTAACAATTTTTAAACTAATAATACAAAAGTTCAAAAGTTAGGCATCACCATTTTATTGGAGAGTGTTAAACCACATGACTCAATCTTGATCAGACAAACTATGGTAATAAAATAAAGTATAGATCTAAGTGTTATTAAATCAATACCGAGTGAGGACATTAGGCAAATCACATTCATCGATTCCTAGGGGAATCGGAGAGAGGGGGGGGGGGGGGGGTGTAATTTTGTGACCATGTGTGCTGATGGGGATGGTTCAGATAGTGTGGTGTCACACTTTTGCATTTAAAACAGTAATGTTAGAAACTGAATTTTAGCCGTCATGTTACGTTTTAGAAATCCATTTTAGTAAATTGTAATAGACATTGATTCATGTACTAATGTTGACTAAGCGCAGTCAATAATTTAAAAAGATATCGATGTTTACAAAAAATTAAACTGCAATGTTTAGGGGTTATATAAGCAGAGGTGTGACGTCATTTAGGGGGTGGGAGAATCTGGCTTTTTGCAACAATGTGTGACGGATGGTAGGACGGTGGTAGAAAGATGGACTTCGAGTATGGATTACCATTAAAACAAAACCACAAGGGGTCGACCAACAAAGTTGAACAACCTTTACTGACAATCACTGCAGTTTGTGTTCTTTTGTTGTGCATACATTTACCAGTCAGCATCATACTTTAACCCACTAACATTTAATCCACCAGCGTTAGCCCCACTGTGAGGGTGGTCAGCCCACCAGCCCAGTCTGTACACCATAGCCCCACTGCTACCTGGGCAGGTGCACGCGGTGTACGTGTATCGGGTGTGATCACCCACCTCCTGCGTGAGTACCCAGTGACCCACAGACACCTGCTTAGAACAGCCGTGAGGGTGGGATACTAAAATGACCAGCTTTAAATCATGCTTCTCACTCTCGTATTTTTCTTCTATGTACACACGCTGGCCAAGAAATCGTCCAACCATCTGCTGAAGCTGTGTCCCTATCTCCATGTCATGTGTAACATAAAACAAACGACAAAAATCTTTCTCAGCCTCCGATGTATCGTCCACCTTCCACCCAGTAAGGTTGATGGTTGGACTAGAATCGCCATCAAACCACAACCTACAGCTGGACTGTCTCGCTTCACTCGTATCAAAAACCACATGCTTCGCTGTCCCCACAATGACCCTCCACCACACTTTACTAGGTGTTCCCGATACTTCACATTCAGGACATGGACATGTTCTGTATGGCGGTTCTGTTTTGTTCATATCTTCTGAGTACTTGGTCGCTAGCCACACCCTTCCCGAGCCCATCCTCAGAAGCCTCTTACCCCTAGAGCTGTAGAAAGGATATGGGTCTTTTGTGTCAGGTACAAATTCGGGTCTGTCGGGGCTGGTGAACTTAACAGTTATTCTAACCGTCAGGTCGATTAAACATTTGGCGACGTCAAAGATGGCCTCATCCCGGCAGCCTGATGGGAGGTCTTCAATGGAAAACTTTTTAGCTGGGATAAACCCGGTGTGGCTGGGATTTTTAGGACAACTCGTCCAGTGTGTGTGTAAATCTGCCTCACCTTGACCTTCAAAACATTATTGTACTTCGTGTGTACCTTTGCAAGTGAACAAATAAATAAATACATAAATAAAATTTGATATGATATGATATATAAGTTGATGTGTTGTTTATTGTCCAGCTTTAGTATACCTAATAGATAACGCATGTACATTAAGTTACATTGTAATCATGTTAATTTTTTAAAATGTGTATCCAAATAATTTCTAGTTAATTAATGAGACCCAGTATATGAAAACAAAACAAAAAGAAAATGTTTACAAAAGAAAGCAAACTTTTCTTTTTACTATCAAACAAATATGCAAGTGTTTTAAAAGAAAGTATTTGTGTCATATTTACCTGTGAAGCAAAACGACAAATCACTGGTCGATAGCTCGGGACTAGCCATGATCCTCTCCTGTCAACCACAGTAAAATCAGTTTAACTTGATAAAAACATGAATCATATTCCTGTTAATCTAACTATAATCAATTCGAAGTTTATTTAAAGCTAAAAGATTTTGAATATTAAACTTGAATAAATAAAAATAAAATACACAAATAATCTCCAGGTACGGTGCTAAATTGCTGTACATAGACATACATATGCTGTCGTGCTGATCTTACAGAAACGATACGCATCAACAAAACCTGTCATGCAATAGTGTGCTGTGTCTACAAGCTTATCGCACCAGTAACTTCAAGATTTGGCACACTATATATCAATTTATGTAGATTGCAGTACCGTATATCAGTTTATAAACGTGCTGTATGGAATCAACGTGTCAAACCACCAGTTTAAAAATGGGTTGTGTGGAGGTATTTAATTTCCTTGTTCGACTTGAACTCTGTTACTTATGGTAATTAGCACTGAACTATCTGCTGTCAATGACGTACCAAGTTGGACAAGATGAAACAAAATTATCCACCGATTAGGTTTGGGTAAGATTGGGCGTTTGGGTGTAGCTTAAATACTTTCACAGGAATTTTAGTCTAAGCATAGGCCTACTTGTCACACTTGTGTGCGTGTGTTTGTGTGTAATATGGGGGGGGGGGGGGAGGTCTAATTCCCTCCAAAACTATGGATCTGGAATAGCATAATCTGTTCTAAATGGGTACAAGCCTAAATAGGGATCAGGTGGTCAGTACAACATACATAAAAGTATACATTATTTCAATTATTGCATAGCAACGATATGAAATTCATTGTTTGTAAAAAAAAAAATCATTTCTCATGATTTAATATGAGCGATGCCTTTTTTAAACGGTATGATACTATCGATTACGCTCGAATATCAATCAATGGAAATAATTAAATTTGAGAAAAATGGAGCGATTGTCTCAGATTTCACAGACTTGAATCAACAGCTGGAGTATTTTAAAGACTTATTGTCGTGGGCACGTTACACATAAAAATAAAAGCAAAGTATAATCTCTCACAGGATTCAGGCGTTTGACTGATTGTTGTAAGCGCTTGTGGCTTGACTCACACATTACACATAAAAGTAAAGTATAATCTTTAGGCTGATCCAAGTCCGCAGTGGTATAAACAGATTTAGATCAAACAGAGGTGTTATCAATCTGTCATGTTAGTGTTAGGTTAACACACAGAAAAGTGTGATAGTTAACACAAAGTGTAGGTGTTTTGTACCCTTGGTAAAAAAAACAACTAGTTAGCTCTTTCGATAACCTTATTGAGGGATAAATGGATATAGAGTTGTCTCAGTTGTAGCTGATAGTATTGTGTTTATAGAGAACTGGCACCCACATTCAAACTACCAAATGCTACAAATATTGGGAATTATATATAAATTCAGATCACCAGCTAGTTGAAGTGAAATCAATATTTTACTAGACACGACATGTCAAAGCTGGGCAGAGGCGTAGCGACCTTTCCCGGCGCCCGGGGACAAACTTTCGATTTGCATCCCCCCGTCGAACTTTTCATTTGCACCCCTCCCCCCCTCAAACTTTCAATTTGGCGCCCCCCCCCCCCTAAGGTCGGCGCCCGGGGACATATGTCCCCGCCCCCCCCCCCTCGCTACGCCTCTGAAGCTGGGAGTATATGACTTACTGCCAAAAGCAGATAGGTTTTGTCACAAGTCGGGAATAGTAGTGGTGGTGTGTGTGTGTGTGGGGGGGGGTGCTTTACCCATCTGTTGACTCCCGACCTTGCGACGCCGCTGTGTACAATGTATTCTGTTTAGTATTCAGCATACATTCTCCAAGTAATAATTGAGCCCACTTTCAAAATATCACAGGAGGGGGGGGGTTACTATTTTAAGCGAGTTATTTAGTTGTTAGGTGCTGTAAAGTAATCGAAAAATTTAAACATATTTTAGGCAACTCCGATTAAAGATAAAAATCATCCTCGTAAATGAACATTGCAATAACTGTCAATAGGTCAAGCTCCTCCAATTCCAACTATACCATGATGAGCTGTTTCTTCCTTTGTCTTATATATCCCAATGTGTAGGCCTTTGCTGCTGAGCTTTCTTTACAGCACTATATCATGCACGAGCTCGAAAATTCGCAACTGTTACTGAAAGCAAATAACCAACAGATTGTTATCTACTCTCTGATGTTCTGCGCCTGCGCCATGATTGATACAACAAGCAGTTTGATCTTCCGCCAATCTCAAAGCTCCGTTTGACAAATGTCGCAAACCGCCGCCCTTCGTTGTTCTCAGAAAGCAGAATAAAAAAATTGATTTGAAGCGAAATTAATATTTAAGACATGACATTGATTTATAATATCTACTTAAGTTTCAAGATTGGGCTAATCACTTGGTAAATGTCGCCGTAGTGTGAGCAGTTCGCTGGAGAATATTGTTTAGAGAGTACTTGAGCACAATTTGTTTTTAAAATAATTTTGATGGAGAGTATTTTATTCTAGTAATTAGTTTTTTTCAAAAAAATAATTTTATTCTAGGAATATTTGGAGATTAATTTATTCAAGTGCTTTTTGGAGAAAAGTTGTTAGATATAATTTTTATTTTTTGTTAGAAAGAATTAGTTTTGAATAATTTACGACAAGGTTTCACTGGGGACAAACGATGTATTGTAGTGCACGTAGCAGACGGCGGCTTGTGATTTTATGTCTCACTGTCGTGTCTGTCAATTTCCTGCTCCTGGCAGTACTCAGTAATGTTCTGACTTCAACTCTGGAGGTAAATGATTCGTTCGTTTGTTGTTGTATCAAAGGGTAGATGTTTTAATCTTAACGCGATTGTAATATATTAATAGATATATCATTTTAAAAAAAAGATAATTCTGATACTATAATAATAATAATGATAATAATGATAATAATGATGATAATAATAATAATAATAATAATAATAATAATAATAATAATAATAATAATAATAATAATAATAATAATAATAATAATAATAACAATAATAATAATAATAATAATAATAATAATAATAATAATAACAATAATAATAACAACAACTACAACAAAAACAACACTACTGCTACTATACTACTACTACTAATACTACTACTACTACTACTACTACTACTACTACTACTACTACTACTACTAGCATTAAACACAATAATCACAATGATTATAATATATTTATATCTATAGTTTAAAGTAATCGGTTATTACATGTAATTAAACAAATCTCTCAATTTAAAATATATTATTTCATGCGTTACTGCAAATAAAGTATAGCTGTACACATGGAAATCAGAATTAAACAGAGATTTTGACACATAAAATTATAGATTTAAGTAAATGTTCACAAAGCAATGAGATCGCCATCAAATGATGTCAGTTCCCTGGGGTAGGGAGGTTTTCTCTATTTTTTACGGTGAGTGGTAGTTTCACTGGTTAGGCGTTTTGGGATGATGTCTGAAAATACCCGTAACTCAAGGAGTACGCCGAACTCAAAGTTGACGGACCAGAAAAATTTACTTTGCTTTAGACATATCAGACATCTGGACCAATGCATAACTAGTCCTCACGCTAATGTTGATTGTAATAAAGCGAGATAGTGTCCGTAAATTAATTGAAGGATTTTAAAATAATGTTTTTAAGTAAAAAAACAACCAACAAAACAAGGCCATTGGTTTTGATTAATACATGATTAGTAGTTAATATTTATCTTCGATCAGCACTGATTAAGAAAAAAAAAGAACCGTCCAAAGATTTTCACCTAAGCCTCAATCATCATGATCATTTTTCCTATTCGTTCCTTGCAGAACATAGGGCCTCTGTCACAGCTTTCCACTCCCCCACGGTCTCCTGCGGCTCTTTCCAGCTGTTCCTTCCGTCCTCTCGGCCTCCTTCAGCACGCCACGTCGCCATGTCTTCCTGAGTCGACCCCTGCGTCGCTTACCCTGGGGGTTCCACCCTAGGACATGCCCGACTCTATTGCCAGCGTCCTCCCCAAACGTTAGCCCTATCCATGGCCATTTCCTCTCAGTGATTTGCCTTTATATTATTTCCTGTCCATACATCTACCATTGTTTTGAGTATTTTAGCTTGTATTTCCATTTTATTATTTCTATTTAAAAAAAAAACAATAAAAAAAAAACAAAAACAACTTGAAATGTAACGAATGCGGCTGTAGTATATTAACCTACCGTTTGTCTATTCGTCAGGATAGCATCAGATCCAATGAAACGCGTCATGAAAAAGTGAATGGCATGTCACAAAATGATGTACTGGAACTTCACAACAAACTTGTGGACTTTGGCCTTTTTCAACATAATACAAACACATATGACGTAAATAGTAAAGTAAAGGGAGACGACCAAGATGAATATCTGACAGAGTTCGAGTGGGTTGACTGGAATGACTACAGATTAATGCAAGAAGACGCCAACAGGACTGGATTAGGCGAACATGGAGATGCTGTAGATTTGGGGAAGATTAAAAAGTTGGAAGAGAATGAAACGAAACTAAACGCTAAATATAAATACAATGTTGTATTGAGTGATATGATCTCACTGGAGAGGTCTATAGGAGACCTCAGGACAGCAGCTTGCAAGAAACAAAAGTTTATCAAAAACATTCCACGCAACTCTGTCAGCATTATCTCTGTGTTCTATAACGAAAGATTATCGACCCTACTTAGAACACTACACAGTATCTTTAAAAGGTCCCCTGCTTCATTACTGAGAGAGGTCGTTCTTGTGGATGACGCTAGCAGTGACGAAGAACTCAAGAAACCACTTGACGATTACGTCAGCACACATTTTGCAAAGGTGAAGGTCGTTAGAAATCAACAGAGATCTGGTTTGATACAAAGTCGGATGATCGGAGCAGACACCACAACGGGCAGGTATCTCGTGTTCTTGGACTCTCACATGGAGGTCAACTACAACTACCTGCCTCCTCTGGTAGAGCCGATGGTTTTCAACTATAGAGCCGTCGTCTGCCCCATGGTGGACTTTATCAACTCCGACACAATGAAAGTGGACGGATTGACCAACAGAGTCCGGAGTGGTTTCGACTGGAGTATGACATATAAAAGAATGCCAATGAAAAATATCGATGACATCACGCCTCATCCTAGTCCTACAATGGTGGGATGCGCATTCGCCATCTCGCGCAAGTGGTGGGAGGAGCTAGGGAAATACGACCCCGGGCTGCAGATTTGGGGCGCGGAGCAGTACGAGATCTCGTTTAAGTCCTGGATGTGTGGCGGAAGTGTGGTGGATGCGCCGTGCTCGCGAATCGCGCATCTCTTCCGGCCACTTCCCTACGTACGCGATGTTGATGACTCTGGCGTCATTGAAAGGAACTTGCTACGTCTGGCGTCTGTATGGATGGATGGGTACAAAGATGTCGTCTTGGCTCTAAGGTCGCGGATGAAGAACATTGACTCAGGAAACCTAACAAGTCAATTCGAAATTCGCGAAAAGTTAAAGTGTAAATCTTTTCAGTGGTTTCTAGAAGAAGTGGCACCAGACATCCTTCAATACTACCCTGTTGTCACTCCACCTTCTGTAGCGTACGGGAAAATCCGAAACACCAAAAACAACACATTGTGTATTCAGAAGATTCAAGACGAATTACTATTGGTTAATTGCACTACCCAGTCAATACCTTTGTTCAACTTCGATTGGAGGAATCACATTCAAAATGAAAAATGCTTTTGTAACCCCGGAGGGGACTTTGTGTACATGTTTGAGTGTCTGGACTTCGAAGACCGGCCAACTCAGCATTTTGCTTTAGATCCCTCCACTGGACACATCGCGAATTTTTACACTCGGCTATGTCTCGACTTCGACCAAAATAGCCTGAAACTGAAAATGAAAAAATGTGACTCGTCTTCGCCCACTCAAAGGTGGACTCTGGAAAATGTCAATTTGACCCTAGCTGGTACACTCTGGTCCAAGTATGAAGCTGTCACTTATCACTATAGTGTTAGGTGACTATAAAAAACTATTTTAAAAAATATTATTGACTATGCTTTTACTGACTCTTTTGAATATTTAAAAATATTCTTTACGTAGAAGCTTTTACACGCCATGTTCTAATGTTTGACCATAAACATAAATGTAAGGGAAACCCAAGAACTGCAAAGGACATTATAAATAACGAACAATTCGACTTCACGAAAGTCTGGGTTTTCAATAATTTAAATAAAGCTTTTTTTAAAATTTTTATAATTAAGATCTATATGCATCATAGCATTTTTAAATTTGTAATAATACTTGAAAGTTAAATCAATGAAAATAAATTAAGCTATGATAACTCTGTCTAAAAACGTTAACGCGAGTGTTTGCTTGACTTGGCGACATTTGCAAGCTGAGATTAAACTTTTACCAAATCGACTTTGACTTATCAGATCAGCTTTTCTTCTTTATGTTCTTCCTGTTCTCATCGATCGAGAAGATTTGTATACACACTTTAAGAACATGTTTACTTTTTAAGCATATTACTGATTATATAAAAGGAAGTTAATAAGAACGTAGAAATGATATTGATAATTGCTATAAATCTGATCTGTATGTTCATAATCTAATACTTAAGTCTGGTAGGGGTTACCATAGTACAACTGGTAGAATTGGGGAGGGGTCAAAATTCTACAACGATTGTCCAACATTCGAAACAGTGTGCACGTGTGTCTGTATGTGTGTGTGTGTGTGTGTGTGTGTTTGTTGTCACTCCAAAAGTAAGACGTAGTAAATACATTGCACTTTTTCTCATAGAAATAGGTCAGTATGCCTGGTGTTGGTTGGGGGGGGGGGTTGAGGGTGAGGGGTGGTGTACGATACGATGTGATCTCTTCTTAGAAATTGGTGGCTGGTAATTTTGTACACATGTACAAGACAAAATATAAATAAATATGGCTGGTATGCTAGATAGTTTCCCTTCTAAATCTGGTATATTTTCTAGCTGGTCTTATACATACGGTATACCTGAAAAGTTGTCCTTGTAACAAATGAAATTATACAAAACTTTAACTAAATACAAACTATACTGACCAAGAGGACAATATTTAAGCTTAGTGTTTAGCATAGTTATGTAAGATTATGTTTTATATTTTAACAATTATCAAGCAAAATGTAAGGATAGTGTAATTGCTATTCTTAGCAATGATTTTTTAAAAGTAAATCTGAAGATTGGGCAAACATTCTACTGTAATCTCAATCCCCTAATATTATTGGGTTTATATAGTTCTGACACATGTGGTCTCAAAGCAAGACACGTGACTAGAGTCGTCAATAGAACCAACATCCTGTTCTCAAGTCACCACCAACTGCGCATGCTCCAAATAAACAATTGATTGCACTTTTCTTGTTGATCAAACCTTCCAATCCAGATAGCAACCACTCCCGACACTTTCCGTAAGTCGATAAACTGCTATTTAAACGAATAATTTTAATACATTTTTCGATTACTTTACAAATCATTAAAGGTTGGCGGTGTGGCCGGATTTCAATATGTTAGGTCTGCTTTGTTGTGAACAGTTTAAGTGACAGTATTTTTGTTACACCGTGTTTTGTTAGAGAGTATTTTAGAGTTTTCTATCAGGCAGAATTTGATCGAGATTATTTTCCTGGATTGTGACGATGTATTGTATTACACCTCGCGGTCGCCGGTCGATGTTTTTATGTTTTGCTCTCATGGCTATCAATTTTATGTTGTCTACAATCGTCATCAATGTGTTCACTTCAGGTATGAAGGTAAATAATCTGCATATCATATGTTATTTAAATGACATAGACGTTATCTGGATTTACTTTACATGTTATGGCTCACTATAAAAAGTGAACCTCATCATGTCAAGTGCGCTCTAAACCATGCCTAATATAACAAATTTTAAAAGAAATAAACGAAAAACTATTTCTTTGCTCTAGTAAAACTGTTTAAAAAAAAACAGAAAAATAAAATAAAAATCCTATGCTATATCTAAATGATAATGTTTTATCAGACTTTTGTATTTTTGTATACGAGTAATAACATTTATACATATTTACAAACTATTTTTAGAATTGCACTAAACTCCTTGTATGCCGAAGTTATTGAAACAGATGAGCTTTACTTTATCTGCCTCATGTGTCTTATGCACAAATGTGAAAAGAGGAAAGTCAGATTTAGCTTTACGAAATTTTCTTGTTCAATCCTTGACAAGCCCCCAATTTATTAAAAATTACAGCAATTAAATTAACTTTCCAAAACAGTGCGCAGACAAAAAAATGCATTGAAAATATTCTAGTTAGACTTTGATTGCTTTGATGGGAAATTTTGTGGGTAGGGTTAGCAACTATATGGAACAGGTTGTAATTAATTTAATTAAAGTACTGATTTTAAAATATTAAATAGTGCTTTTTTTCTGATATATATATATATATATATATATATATATATATATATATATATATATATATATATATATATATATATATATATATATGATAACATATAAATTATGGATTATCTATTTAAAATAGGAAAAACTAGCGATTGAGCTGATATACTCAAGTAAATCACACATCAAGAACTTGGACCTGAAGTCAAAAAGAGAATTTGGCAATATTGGGAAGGAACTAAAACAGCAGAGTGTAACACATCAGTGCACTAATTTAGATAACCAAACTGGTATATTGAAGAGAGGAGACCAAGGCCAATTTCTAACAGAGTTCGAGTGGGTTGACTGGAATGACTACAAACAGATGGAGGAAGACGCCAACAGGACTGGCTTAGGCGAACATGGAGAAGCTGTACGTTTGAAAAAGATAAAAAAATTGGACGCTAATGACAGAATTTTAACCGCTAAATATAAATACAATGTTGTATTGAGTGATATGATCTCACTGGAGAGGTCTATAGGAGACCTCAGGACAGCAGCTTGCAAGAAACAAAAGTTTATCAAAAACATTCCACGCAACTCTGTCAGCATTATCTCTGTGTTCTATAACGAAAGGTTATCGACCCTACTTCGAACACTACACAGTATCTTTAAAAGGTCTCCTGCTTCATTACTGAGAGAGGTCGTTCTTGTGGATGACGCTAGCAGTGACGAAGAACTCAAGAAACCACTTGATGACTACGTCAGCACACATTTCCCAAAGGTGAAGGTCGTTAGAAATCAACAGAGATCTGGTTTGATACAAAGCCGGATGATCGGAGCAGACGCCTCAACGGGCAGGTATCTCGTGTTCTTGGACTCTCACATGGAGGTCAACTACAACTACCTGCCTCCTCTGATAGAGCCAATGGTTTTCAACTTTAGAGCCATCGTCTGTCCCATGGTGGACTTTATCAACCCCGACACAATGAAAGTGGACGGATTGACCAACAGAGTCCGCAGTGGTTTCGACTGGAGTATGACATATAAAAGAATTCCAATGAAAAATATCGATGACATCACGCCTCATCCTAGTCCTACAATGGTGGGATGCGCATTCGCCATCTCGCGCAAGTGGTGGGAGGAGCTAGGGAAATACGACCCCGGGCTGCAGATTTGGGGCGCGGAGCAGTACGAGATCTCGTTTAAGTCCTGGATGTGTGGCGGAAGTGTGGTGGATGCGCCGTGCTCGCGAATCGCGCATCTCTTCCGGCCACTTCCTTACGTTCGCGATGTTGTTGCTGAAGACATCATTGAAAGAAACTTGCTACGTCTGGCGTCTGTCTGGATGGACGACTACAAAAATGTAGTCATGACTCTTAGACCAAAGATGAAGAACATTGACCCAGGAAACCTAACGAGTCAATTTGAAATTCGCGAAAAGTTAAAGTGTAAATCTTTTCAGTGGTTTCTAGAAGAAGTGGCACCAGACATCCTTCAATACTACCCTGTTGTCACTCCAGCTTCTGTAGCTTACGGGAAAATCCGAAACACCAAAAACAACACATTATGTATAACAACTAAATATCGTTTAAAGTTAGCCGACTGTTCTGACCAATCGGCGACTACGTTTACTTTTGACTGGAGGTTCCACATTGAGAGCGGTAAATGTTTATATAACGCCATGGGCGAGTTTGTTTCCATGTTTGAGTGTTTGGACTTTGAAGACAAACCTACTCAACGTTTCGCTTTTAATCGTCACAATGGACGCATTGCCAATTTCCAGACTCGATTATGTTTAGACTTTGATATCGATACTCTTAAGTTGAAGATGAAAAAATGTGACGATACTTCACTAACCCAAAACTGGACTTTAGAAAATGTCAACACTACCCTTGCTGACCAACTATGGTCGAATTACGAAGCTGTCAGTTATCATTATATCTTGGAGTAGAAAACCAATTTCTAAATTCTCAAAGTATCGACTAATTAAAATGAAACTACATAGCCGATTTACGACCTGCATACTATTTAAGATCCAATTGAAAACCGTATTAGCAACTATTTTTTCTCGTAAACTTTTTTTCACTCTGAATTCTAAATAACGTATATAGCTTTTTAAAAATGACATTTTACAAATAATTTATTGATATATTATTATTTAAAAATAAATTAATTACAGTGAATTTTAGATTGTAAATAAAATGATAGTTTTGTTTTAAAAGAATAAAATTTAAAGCTGTTAAAGTTTTTAAAAATAAAATAATTGCTATAATCTATTGAAATTATAAACGTCTGCACAAGTTTCTAAATTGCAGCCGTCTTTATGTACGGTTGTCAACGAAAATAATGTAGAATAGGCTCATCGTCGTATTTCTTTGAAGATGAGTCCAGCTGTCGATCCTGCTTTCAATTCGGCCAAAACGACGTCGCCAGGAACATGGATTAACTCTTTTTAATCTCGCCCACGCTTTAAAAAAATCTATACTTCAGAGGATCAATTAGATTATGAGATTAGACTTAGCTGTATATCTTCATGTTTATTTTCTTGTTCAATGGGCAAGAGGAAGTAACTGTGTTTGTTTACCCAAGCTGAGTCACTGGACTTGCCGTTTGGCATGTAAGGAAATACACCAATGTTTACAAAATTAGAGTTGAGATTTAAACTTGCCGTTTGCCAAGTAAGGAAATACACCAATGTTTACAAAATTAGCGTTAAGATTTAATAGTTTACCTTTAACTGTTTGATATTGCTATTAAAATAATTTTAGTTGTAGGAGTATAGGGCTCCTGCTAATGGTTATGTAACGCTGATTTGAATTATTATAAAAAATACATGTTAAATAAATAAAAATTCCGGGAAACACACGTTATGCGTGATTTTAGTCTTCATCTTCCTAAGTTTTATTTTTAACAAAAAAATAATTTTTTATCTTAATGTAAAAAAAAATACCCCGTACAATCTTGACGGGCAGTTGCTAGTATAAGATGTGTTGTGCTTGACAGTGCTTGATCATACAGTGACATACAGGCATGCGTTCCTCTACCACTTGTTGCTGGTCACGTCTCACGTCAATCCAGCATTACATCAATTACATAATCGTTAATAAGACACTAATGCAAACGTTAATCCCAGATTTCAGTTTGAAATATTATTCTACGGTAATTTATCAAAATTATGTCGCGCATGTAAGAGTAAAATGCTGCTGGGGTACGACTTATCAGGGAAGGTAGACTAAATTTTGAACTAATTACAATTAGATCTATTATTCAGTAAAAAGCAAGCATCTATGATCGTTACGAAACCATAAAACACGAAAGCCTTGTATAGTTGTTTAAAGTTCCAGTATCCAGTTATGATCAAAATAAATTATATGCTCTCATACTAACTCAGGCGAAAAAAAACGACAGCAATTAATAGAGATTAACGGTTAAGGAATTTCAAAAGCACATGCGGAGATTACAGTTTTTATTTTAGTTTTATTGATTAGTTAACAGCTGGTGTATTCACAGTGCAATTACGTATTAAATAGTAGGCCGACTGGGTCTTTCATACATTCTTATACACATCAACATTTTTATTTAACTAGAAATTTAAATGCTTTAATGTCTAATAATTAGAGCGGGTATTGATTTATAAAAAACAAAAACACAAATGGGCTGATTGCGTAGTTATAAATAAGCACAACCATTAACCCTAATCCGACTAACATGTTTCAGTCTATGTTGTATTCTGCTCTAACATAACGTCCACATTAGTAACTGCCTAGGTGAGGTCTAACGATTAGTCCCTTATAGTTACATGCTTGAATAGGTGGTCACAAACATTCACATATAATTAATAGATTAGGACATTCATTATAAAGTCATTCCCACCAGCAAGCTGTGTGAAAACACACAAATAATATACAAATGTGAGAAGTCCGGTCAAAAAATATCAGCTTAGGATATCAGTTTGCGCCATTAGCTATCCCTAGATACCATATTTGTAATTTTTACTTGATTAGAACGCTTGTCAACTTGTTATTCAAAAATAAACAATGAAGACGCTACTTTTCTTGGATCTTCGTTGTTGGGGGTAGGCCTATGTAATATATTGCTAGATTAAATTCAACTGTTTGTAGCTTTATATACTGTTACTTTACCATTTAGTAGCTAGTGTTTACAGAAAATAGCAGATAATCTTTTGTCTGCCATTGGTGTACTTTTGTTTTGCTGTCTCTTTTTGTCTGTTTGTCTATCCACGTTCCCACTTACCTGTCTGTCACTTGAGTGAGAAGTTAGGAATAGGTTAATTAGGTGGCTTGGTCTAGATGACTTGTTCACTGCGCGATTTCAACGCAGACAGAACTGCTACAATTGTTTTGATTATAGTTTATTTGCAAATATTGTATAGACAAAGACTTACAATACAAATAAATACAAATAAATTTAAAAGACAACAAAGTCTTTTGTAACTGTATGAAGTCATTCTTGTGGAGTTGCGTAGCTGAAGCGTTGAGAGGTACAGATGGAAGATGACTTCACATGTTTTCATTAAAGGTGACTTAATTTTATTTACTTTAGCCATTTTTTCGTTATTTTTAAAGCGAAGCCAACTCTATTATTATCGACATATTTAGTTAAGCTTAGTTATTTCCCCTCACAAAGTGTAAACGCTCAGCCAGGTTTAAAAAATATTGGCATAAAAAAAGCTAAAATGTTAAGCCATCTAGTTTTTCTAACAAACACAAATAAATAAATAAATAAAATATAAATATTGTTTGTATGACGATAGCATTTATTTGTGTGGTGTTGTCTGAACTAATGAAAAAAAATAACCAGTTTGAAATATGTTAGCCTTATTTTATTGAACGATTTCAATTTTGAAAAAAAAAACAACAACCAACGGACTGGTTGTGTTTGTTTTTGAAAGAGGAAAGTATTAGTCGTTTATTGACTGATGTAACAGTCGTACAAGATAAATTAGGTACAACAGATTTGGTCCCCAATTTGTTGCCAGGGTGATTTCTGTATGTGGATTATATATTGTTACCGCACTTCGTCGATAGGCAGTAGAAGCAGTAGCACCGCCATCGAGAGGACCCATCAACAAGAGGACCCATGGAAAAGAGGACCCAGCAACAAGAGGACCCATGGAAGAGAGAGCCCATCAACAAGAGGACCCATGGAAGAGAGGTCCCATCAACAAGAGAACCCATGGAAGAGAGAGCCCATGGACAAGAGGATCCATCAACAAGAGGACCCATCAACAAGAGGACCCATCAACAAGAGGACCCATCAACAAGAGGACCCATGGAAAAGAGGACCCATCAACAAGAGGACCCATGGAAAAGAGGACTCATCAACAAGAGGACCCATCAGCAAGAGGACCCCAGGGAAAAGAGGATCCATCAACAAGAGGACCCATCAACAAGAGGACCCATCAACAAGAGGACCCATCAACAAGAGGACCCATGGAAAAGAGGACCCATCAACAAGAGGACCCATCAGCAAGAGGACCCATCAACGGGACCAAAATACAAGGGGACCAATCAAGAAGGAGATCAGACACAGTGATTTTAATTTTTTAAAGTTTGTGTTTGTTTGTTTGTGTGTGTGTGTGTGTGTGCATGCATGTGCACGCGCGTGCATACTAAACAAAAATAAAACGGGAGTAATCTCCCCTAAACTTTTTCGAATATTCTTATATAACACTATGGGGATTGGCAACGCGGGATATAGACATTATTTTTAATCAATTTTCAATTACTTAAACTTTTTTTAAAAAAATAGAATCTCTTAGAAAAAGAGAATTGCGCACCAAGTGAACGCTAAACAATCTGTGTATAATAGTGCGGAATATTATTAGTACTCTATAAATTTATTTTAGTTTTTTGAGAAATCGGAAATTACTACTTCCGGTCAACGAAAATTACTCAAAATTTGATAGACGACAAAAAATTAGATCTTTTACTTAGATTTGAAATTTCGTTTAAAAAAAACAACTAAAAAGTAGAATAAGTCCCACTTCCGGTTATCGGAAATCGCTGAAAAGTTGATACAGAAGTACAAATTTGATATAAAACTTATACATGAAATTTCATCAACCTAGCTGTAACGGTACTCAAGTTATCGTGTTTACACACACACACACACATACAAACACACGAACAGAATTGCAAAAACCAGTTTTTCTGATTCGAATACGAATAAAACGCCGAAATGTTGATAAAATTAAATTTAGAATTTGTGCCCGATTAAAATAAGTCCCCTATACTCCGTGTGTGATGAAGTACTGAGGTGTAAAACGGTGAAAACTGTCAAAATTTCATGTGATTAATACTTCCTTTATACTCCGTATACGAGAAAGTAAATAAACCATTGCAAACACCGACAATCATCTATCCAAAAACAAGCTAACCCAGCCACCAAACAACACAACTAAGAATGTATGTTTGTATTACGTGCTGCACAAGGGGCTAACCCGAAAGTCTTGAGTTCAAATCCCGGGCTCTAGTCTGTTGGATCTCCCTGAGTCCACCCAGCTCTAATGGGTACCTGACTCACTGAGTCCACCCAGCCCTAAGGGTACCTGACTCACTGAGTCCACCCAGCCCTAAGGGTACCTGACTCACTGAGTCCACCCAGCCCTAAGGGTACCTGACTCACTGAGTCCACCCAGCCCTAAGGGTACCTGACTCCCTGAGTCCACCCAGCCCTAAGGGTACCTGACTCACTGAGTCCACCCAACCCTAAGGGTACCTGACTCACTGAGTCCACCCAGCCCTAAGGGTACCTGACTCACTGAGTCCACCCAGCCCTAAGGGTACCTGACTCACTGAGTCCACCCAGCCCTAAGGGTACCTGACTCACTGAGTCCACCCAGCCCTAAGGGTACCTGACTCACTGAGTCCACCCAGCCCTAAGGGTACCTGACTCACTGAGTCCACCCAGCCCTAAGGGTACCTGACTCCCTGAGTCCACCCAGCACTAAGGGTACCTGACCCACGTTAGGGGAAATAAAGGCTACTAGGCATAGTGCTGACCGCTCTATCCTTTTGTAAGCCGATGTAATTGAAACGAACTATACTTCATCTGTTCCATGTGTCTTGGACACGAACGGTAATAGACGAATACGGAGCGCATCTCCTGTGTGTTTCCAACATATTTCTATAACGTGATTAGGGTAGTCAAGTCTAGAGTCTGCCGCTGTAAATATTTAACTGCTATGATCTTAAACTGTGCCTATCACGTGACAACCGTCGCTTGAAACAAACCAACATCTTGTTATCAATCCTCCAGCCCTTCTGCGCATGCTCCCCGTGAGCAGGAATTGATTGCGCCGTCGTTGTTTATCAAATTTATCAATGCATTTACAGCCCCCCCCCCCTGTTTTTAAACGAAAGTAAACCATAAAAACCAGTTACTGGTGTACACGACTCTATTAACTCACGATAAGACCAAAGCTGACATTTTGTGTTGTGAGTGTTGTGTTGGCGGTTAGTTTAACCGGACCCGAAGATGTATTGTAGTATACGTACCAGACGCCGGATGGTGATTTTGTGTTTTGTGGTCGTGTCTATCAATTCTTTGTTACTGGCATTCGTCAACAATGTGTTTACTTCTGGTGTTAAGGTAATGAATGTGTGTGTACATTAATGTTTAAAGGCATATTCACTGCGGAAATGTGTCAACTACTATTTATGGGTGTTAAGATCTTAGGGAGGTCATGGGAGACGGGAAAATACACAGCCTCGTAAAAGATATCCTGAAGATAATATTTGACGCCCGATGCTCTATTAGGAGTAAAGGAGTAAAGATGACGAAGTAAAGTTATCTGAGATTCAGCTCTCAGATATATTTTAAAAACTTAATGGTAATATTGGAATAAATATTGATTTTGGGTGTATCAGAGTTAGGTGTGTGAACAAGTTAGTGTTTTAGTAACACACTGCGCAATTTTGTTATCAAAAGCATTACCTTCTAATGAGGGTACACCTTGTCATTATCATCAATATTTGCACTAGCCTGATGACTTAACGGTGTATAAATTCAACAAGAAAATACATTTATAATTTTTTTCAAATTTTTGTCTTTTTGTTGATCGTTCTTAATTGTAATGTTGGACGGGATTTCCTTCAACACAAATAATTATTACGTGTCAACATAAGGACCATTGATTTCAGCCTGCTTTTTCTTTCTGGATTTGCCTCCATAGCCTTTGTTCATCCAAGAATAAGCTACAAGGCGAAAGTCGTTAGATTTTGGAATTTCCTTTCCTAGATAGGTATTTGTCTCCAATTATCGAGTCTCATCTGCCAGGAATGTTCCGTATTTTCTGGGGATTTCGAGTTGTAGCCAAAACCACCGATGTTATCCAGTTATCCAGTGTGGCACGTTGTTCAGGTGCCATTGTGGAAATGTGTTTTTTTTATTCCATCAAGCTACACTATGTCTGTGCTTTCAGCATCTAGTGTTGTGTACCTGTGTCTCACCTAGTGTTGTGTACCTGTGTCTCACCTAGTTTTGTGTACCTATGTCTCACCTAGTGTTGTGTACCTGTGTCTCACCCAGTGTTGTGTACCTGTGTCTCACCTAGTGTTGTGTAACTGTGTCTCACCTAGTGTTGTGTACCTGTGTCTCACCTAGTGTTGTGTACCTGTGTCTCACATACTGTTGTGTACCTGTGTCTCACCTAGTGTTGTGTACCTGTGTCTCACCTATTGTTGTGTACCTGTGTCTCACCTAGTGTTGTGTACCTGTGTCTCACCTAGTGTTGTGTACCTGTGTCTCACCTAGTGTTGTGTACCTGTGTCTCACCTATTGTTGTGTACCTGTGTCTCACCTATTGTTGTGTACCTGTGTCTCACCTATTGTTGTGTACCTGTGTCTCACCTAGTGTTGTGTACCTGTGTCTCACCTAATGTTCTGTACCTGTGTCTCACCTAGTGTTTTGTACCTGTGTCTCACCTAATGTTCTGTACCTGTGTCTCACCTAGTGTTGTGTACCTGTGTCTCACCTAGTGTTGTAAACAAATATTAAACTTAACACTACTATTTCAGTCCTAACGTCTTCCTCCAACCCTGTTATGTCCAATGTACACGGAGCAATTAAACATACCCACCCACTCCTTTCCACCATTTATTGCCACCTACGTCTACGTTATATTACTTAACTTACTTACTTACTTAGCCCTTTAATATACTTATCAACTTTTGTTTTTTTTAACAGGACAAGCTATCGCTGGGGCTGATATTCTCCAATGAAACACATATAAAGGACATAGATGTATTGTCGGAAAGAGACCTTGTCAAACTTTACAAACAATTAATCGACTCAGGACTTATGCGTAAATACACACGTTTTGATGACGTAGATGGTGAAGTAAACGGAGACGACCAAGATGAATATCTGACAGAGTTCGAGTGGGTTGACTGGAATGATTACAGATTAATGCAAGAAGACGCCAACAGGACTGGATTAGGCGAACATGGAGATGCTGTAGATTTGGGGAAGATTAAAAAGTTGGACGAGAATGAAACGAAACTAAACGCTAAATATAAATACAATGTTGTATTGGGTGATATGATCTCACTGGAGAGGTCTATAGGAGACCTCAGGACAGCAGCTTGCAAGAAACAAAAGTTTATCAAAAACATTCCACGCAACTCTGTCAGCATTATCTCTGTGTTTTATAACGAAAGATTATCGACCCTACTTAGAACACTACACAGTATCTCTAAAAGGTCTCCTGCTTCATTACTGAGAGAGGTCGTTCTTGTGGATGATACTAGCAGTGACGAAGAACTCAAGAAACCGCTTGACGATTACGTCAGAACACATTTCCCAAAGGTGAAGGTCGTTAGAAATCAACACAGGGCTGGTTTGATACAAAGTCGGATGATCGGAGCAGACGCCTCAACGGGCAGGTATCTCGTTTTTTTGGACTCTCATATGGAGGTCAACTACAACTACCTGCCCCCTCTGATAGAGCCAATGGTTTTCAACTTTAGAGCCATCGTATGTCCCATGGTGGACTTTATCAACGCGGACACGCTGCGAGTGGACGGATTGACCACCAGAGTCCGCAGTGGTTTCGACTGGAGTCTGTCGTACAAGAGAATACCGCTGATAAAAATGGACGACACAACCCCTCATCCAACCCCAACAATGGTGGGATGCGCATTCGCCATCTCGCGCAAGTGGTGGGATGAAATAGGGAAATACGACCCCGGGTTGCAGATTTGGGGCGCGGAGCAGTACGAGATCTCGTTTAAGTCCTGGATGTGTGGCGGAAGTGTGGTGGATGCGCCGTGCTCGAGAATCGCGCATCTCTTCCGGCCACTTCCTTACGTACATGACGTTGTTGCAGACGATATTATTGAAAAGAACTTGCTACGTCTGGCGTCTGTCTGGATGGACGGGTACAAAGAAGTCGTCATGGCTCTACGGCCGAGGATGAAGAACATTGACCCAGGAAACCTAACGAGTCAATTTGAAATTCGCGAAAAGTTAAAGTGTAAATCTTTTCAGTGGTTTCTAGAAGAAGTGGCACCAGACATCCCTCAATACTACCCTGTTGTCACTCCACCTTCTGTAGCGTACGGGAAAATCCGAAGTAACAAAAATAGCTCATTGTGTATTCAAACAAAAGACGACTATTTATATTTGGTCAGCTGTGAAGACCAATCAGTCACCACTTATAATTTTGACTGGAGGTACCACATTGTAAGCGGCAAATGTTTTTCTAACCCCGGTTCAGAGTTCATTTACATGTTTGAGTGTTTGGACTTTGAAGACAGATACACTGAGCTTTTTGCATTTAATCGTCACAATGGGCGCATCGCCAATTTGCAGACTCGATTATGTTTGGATTTTGATATCGATACTCTCAAAATGAAGATGAAACCATGTGACGATACTTCACTTACCCAAAGCTGGACACTGGAAAATGTCAATACGACCCTTGCTGACCAATTCTGGGCTAGATACCAGGCGGTCAGCTATCTTTACAAGTAAAATATGTTTTTTTTTTCAAGTACACAGAAATGAATATAGATAAAACTGCTCCAAGAAACATAACATTTTTAAATAAGATGAACATCTTGTGTTTTTTTAATAATGTATCGATGTTTTTTTTAGTCTAAATTTACATCATGTTGTATGTAAGTTTTGCACTGCGTTCTACATTATGTTTACAGTTAACTTATTTTACATTTGTTTACTTGTTTTACACTGTTGTACATTAATTTTTACATTTACATTATGGCTTTGGAATCTTTGGTGGAAATAAACTAGTAATTTCCTTTTGTATATTGTTTGTAGGCTACACCATATCTACAGTATCAAAACCTAATTGGTTGCAATTAAAACATTCTGTTGCAGTAATACCTCGCAGTTTCCAATGTAAACTTCTCCTTATTTCCAAACCTGGTGACATTTGCTGAGAAGCAGACGGAGCTAATCTTTTTGTTTATCAGCAAACGATCACGATTGTAGACCCAGGCTTTGTGCTACGTCCAAAGAGCCTCGTTAGGGTTAGGGATTAATACTAATAAATCTTGAATAAATCTCGAATAAATCTCGAATCCCCCTTTACATACAGACACTTCAGAGGATGAAATCGATGCGCAGTTTAGATATCGTTGTACATTTTTAACTTTCTCCTATATGAAGTATAGAGGAACCATTGTTAGCTTGAAAAAAATCGAAATCGAGATTTTTACAAACCTCGACGTTTTACACTTAGTTTTTCTATTTTGTCCGATATATATATATATATATATATATATATATATATATATATATATATATATATATATATATATGTGTGTGTGTGTGTGTGTGTGTGTGTGTGCTTGTGTGTCTGTGAACACGAAAACCTGAGTACCGTTTTAGCTGGGCCAATGAAACTTCATATATAAGTATTACATCAAATTGGTAGCTAATGGTGTTTGTTTAATCTAACTCTTGTCAGCTGACAGTGTTAGAGTTATGCTTTTGAAATATGAAAACAAGTTGAGGATTTTATATAGAGATTTGAAACTACTTGGGGAGGGTGGAAATGGTATCTATATATATAAAGCAAAGTGGTCAAGTGCCCGATAGGGCACTTCCCGGCGCTGCAGGCGCGTCAAATTTGGCACGATGATGCCTTGGGGAGATAGAACACGAGAGCCGGTGACGGTTGGCCGAAAAGTCGACGGAGAGGGGGTCAAATCTGACCTCGACTGACCGGCGCCTTATATGGGCTATATTACGAGAAAATATTTCCTCCGACGACCCCCCTTGAAATTTTGTGAGGTGGTAGGAGAACGCCTTGGGGTGTCACAAAAAACTCGGCATATCTGGGAAAACTTCGTAAAGGGGTCAAAACTGACCAGTTGTATTTCCCTATATAATCTTTGTATTTTATGGGAAAAACAGAGGGTCATTTCAACGCAGACTTTAGGGTACTTAAACTCGGTATATCTGGCTAATTTTTTTGCATACGTTTAGGACAATGGCTTGACCTTTAGGGAAAACTGTCGATTTGACTCAAAGCCCTCGACGAGGGCTAAAAAGTGACCGCGAGTGAAATTCTCATTATATGAGCTATATTACGAAAAAAAATTTCCTCCGACGACCCCCCTTGAAATTTTGTGAGGTGGTAGCTGAATGCCTGGGGGTGTCAAAAAAAACTTGCCATGTCTGGGAAAAATCGGGAAATGGGTCAAAACTGACCAGTCGTATTTCCCTATATAATCTTTGTATTTTATGGGGAAAACAGATGGTCATTTCAACGCAGACTTTAGGGTACTTAAACTCAGTACATCTGGCTAATTTTTTGCATACGTTTAGGACAATGGCTTGGCCTTTAAAGAGCACTGTCAGTTTGACTCAAACCCTCGACGAGGGCTAAAAAGTTACCGCGAGTGAAATTCTCATTATATGAGCTATATTACGAAAAAAAATTTCCTCCGACGACCCCCCTTGAAATTTTGTGAGGTGGTAGGAAAATGCCTGGGGGTGTCACAAAAAACTCGGCATATCTGGGAAAACTTCGTAAAGGGGTCAAAACTGACCAGTTGTATTTCCCTATATAATCTTTGTATTTTATGGGGAAAACATAGGGTCATTTCAACGCAGACTTTAGGGTACTTAAACTCGGTATATCTGGCTAATGTTTTGCATACGTTTAGGACAATGGCTTGACCTTTAGGGAAAACTGTCGGTTTGACTCAAAGCCCTTGACGAGGGCTAAAAAGTGACCGCGAGTGAAATTCTCATTATATGAGCTATATTACGAAAACAAATTTCCTCCGACGACCCCCCTTGAAATTTTGTGAGGTGGTAGCAGAACGCCTGGGGGTGTCAAAAAAACTTGCCATGTCTGGGAAAAATCGGGAAATGGGTCAAAACTGACCAGTCGTATTTCCCTATATAATCTTTGTATTTTATGGGAAAAACAGAGGGTCATTTCAACGCGGACTTTAGGGTACTTAAACTCAGTATATCTGGCTAATTTTTTGCATACGTTTAGGACTATGGCTTGACCTTTAGGGAAAACTGTCAGTTTGACTCAAAGCCCTCGACGAGGGCTAAAAAGTGACCGCGAGTGAAATTCTCATTATATGAGCTATATTACGAAAAAAAATTTCCTCCGACGACCCCCCTTGAAATTTTGTGAGGTGGTAGGAGAATGCCTGGGGGTGTCACAAAAAACTCGGCATATCTGGGAAAACTTCGTAAAGGGGTCAAAACTGACCAGTTGTATTTCCCTATATAATCTTTGTATTTTATGGGAAAAACATAGGGTCATTTCAACGCAGACTTTAGGGTACTTAAACTCGGTATATCTGGCCAATTTTTGGCATACGTTTAGGACTATGGCTTGACCTTTAGGGAAAACTGTCGATTTAACTCAAAGCCCTCGACGTGGGCTAAAAAGTGACCGCGAGTGAAAGCTCATTATATGAGCTATATTACGAAAAAAAATTTCCTCCGACGACCCCCCTTGAAATTTTGTGAGGTGGTAGCAGAATGCCTGGGGGTGTCACAAAAAACTCGCCATGTCCGGGAAAATTCGTTAAATATGTCAAAACTGACCAGTCGTATTTCCCTATATAATCTTTGTATTTTATGGGAAAAACAGGGAATTTCCAACACAAGTTTTAGGTTACTTAACCTCTGTACATCAAGCTAATGTTTTGCATACACTTCTATAGCTGACTAGGCCGTATGGAAAAACTGTTGGTCAGACTCAAAGCCCTCGAGCAGGGCTAAAAGATGACCGCGAGTGAAATTCTCCTCATATGAGATATATATATAAATAAATTGACGAACGATCCCCTTAATATTATTTGAGGTCGTAGACCGACCCTGGAGGGTAACAACAAAAAAAAACGTGATTCACGTCGGAAAAATCCATTGTAGTCGTTAAATATGTTCATATATCAATTTTTTAATATAAGCATAGTAACTGTTTTTAAAAAAAGTAAACAAAAAAATACGTCATTCGGTCCATTTTCAAGGGAGGTAACCTTTTTAATAATTATTTTTCAAATAATTGTATACTATTTTAAACAGAAACAGAAAACGACAACGTATAACATTTGTTTTAAACCTAATAAGTTATTAATTAAGCTACGTATCATAATTAAATAAAAAATTAATTTTTAAAGTCAATGTAATATAAATTATAAGATATACTGTTAATTGAACCTCTGTATTTCTTATTCCATTTTATTTATAAATAGCGTACTTTCTAATTTTTGCTCTAAAAGCGATTGTTAAACAACATACAACATCTTCTCTGAAATTAGCCTTACTGTTTAAATTTAAGCACTCCACACCTCATCCATCACCAAATAATTAGTATTCAAATTATCACATGTTTTTGAAAACCTAAGCGAAGCTAGGCAGTATGCCTAGTATATATATATATATATATATATATATATATATATATATATATATATATATATATATATATATATATATATATATATATATATATATATATATATATAATTTAAATATTTTAAAATTTTCTGTTTCGTCTAGTATTCTTAGGGGTCACTGCCCCCCCTCCCCCGCGAAAAGATGACTAGAATAAAGGAAATTAAAAAAAAAACCAGAGTATTCACACGTCTGAATTCATGAATCCTTTAAGCACAACCCGTTTTTTTTTTCAATCTACACACAATCTACAAATAGATCGAATCTAAAACCAAACTCTAATGAATGACCCGTACAAACACGACGGGCTGCTGCTAGTATGACTTATGTTGTCCTCTCGTGACCGCAGTTTAAAATAAGTTGGCATGTGTCAAGTGGTTTCGATCTTACACATGCTCTTATCCCTTCCGCATGCTGGCTGTCACGTCTTGGGTTAGCCGTACATCGATAGTCTAAACGTTAGTGTGTAAGAAACATAAGCAAGATTTAGGGTTAAAATATCAAACTGTAATAATCAACGATCCTATTGTTGCATATGTGTGGGGTGGATAGATTTATAATTGTGGTTAAGTGAAAGTAGATAGTATCGGTAAATTACATCGATAATGCTCTTCATGAACACAACTTGACCATTGTTTACATGAACACAACTTGACCATTGCTTACATGAACACAACTTGACCATTGCTTACATGAACACAACTTGACCATTGCTTACATGAACACAACTTGACCATTGCTTACATGAACACAACTTGACCATTGCTTACATGAACACAACTTGACCATTGCTTACATGAACACAACTTGACCATTGCTTACATGAACACAACTTGACCATTGCTTACATGAACACAACTTGACCATTGCTTACATGAACACAACTTGACCATTGCTTACATGAACACAACTTGACCATTGCTTACATGAACACAACTTGACCATTGCTTACATGAACACAACTTGACCATTGCTTACATGAACACAACTTGACCATTGCTTACATGAACACAACTTGACCATTGCTTACATGAACACAACTTGACCATTTTCCAATATTAAAGAAGCTTGACCATTGT